TTTTCGCATATTATTGAAAAGTTGTTACATATTCATGAAATGAAAACGAAAACGGTTGGTGAATATTTTAAGTGAAGCGCTTTGCTTGTCATCCTTGTGGCGGGTGGCGGACTTTTCAGTAATTTGCATGTTACTTTCAAGGATTTAAAATTAGAGCATGACGCCCACACACGTCTGTGCGCCGATGTGTGACGCAAATTGATGGCCTCCCATGCAACTGTTAAGTGAAACGCTAATGAAATTAGCCGTATACGAGTATAATGTGGTTTAACATGCGTAACGCAACCATAATGAACTCACTTCCGTTCCGCAGCCCCCACAGTCCCACAGACAATTCGAGGGGGTTTCTTCATATGTATTAGCACCTCAATCATAGGTTGCAGAGCCTACGAAATGAGGAACAATATTTCTATTAAACTACTTAAATTACAATCTTATTTAAACATTTTCTCTTAGGCAAAATAGTTAGGATACTCTCGATTCGGATAAGAGAAGTAGTTTAGTAGCAAAGTCAAGTACTTTAATATATATGTATTTATGTATTTATTTTCACAAAGTACAGTTCACGTTTACAACCGTCTTGTCCAAGGAACGATCAAAAAGTGATGTCCTCTTTATTGCTTACCTTTGAGATCGGTCTTGCTCTCAGTGTGTACACTAATGCTTATTAAACTATGCATAAAAGTGTGTACACCCTTACTTTCTAGTAAAGTAATTAAGCATTTAATCGGTCTTATTACAGACCTTGACTTCTTTTTGTTGCTTAGCAATTAGAGCTGACATTCTTGTGGAATCCACCAAGGATTGGAAGAGAAGTGATTTCTGAAATCGTTTCATATCTGAAAATGCTCGCAGGGTATATATTATGTTTGTATGTCTAATCAGACGCAGAGGGAAGCAATGCGTTCCGGACCCACTTCCGTTGACGTCGTTGTGCTTGCTGTCTATGAATTTGTTTAGCATTTCAAGCGTCTAATTTATGTTGCAATAAATTCTATTATTGTTCAATAATTCTACTGCTGACGTCAATTGTTCAATAATGTATTCCGTTGCCAGTTTTGAAACTCCAACACAGACACACCCACAGACACATCCTGATTCATACTGTTGCATATACATAAGTGCTGTGCATAATTAAAGCTCAGCTTTTTGTGAAGGACCTGCGAGCTGAGCCTTGTTTGGGTGAATTAATCAATAAATTTTAATTTACGACTTTATATATTGATGCGCAGCTACTTAATGGTCTTAAAATTTAAGCAAATAAACCAACGGCACACACCGTCTTAGCCTCCTAATGCGAAATTCCAAAATTTATGGCATTTGCTGGATGGCCCTATCTTGCTGGCAAGCATTACTGTCAATTTATTGTTATCGCATATATGCATAAATAATATGATGAGTTTTGTTAAATTGAATTGTAGAGCGCCTTTGAAGGGGCCCCACCCTCATGTATCCTCAGTGTTTGATTGAATCATCTACAGGAAGTACGCATCCGGCATATAAGGCGGGTCACATCCTTCCGTTTCCATATTGTTTCACTCTTGTTTGAGTTATTTTAAAAATAAGAAGCAGTTAACATGTGCAGAATGCTAAGCATAGACACAACAATACAGGATTAACGATACAATCTTGTTTGAGCATCTTTATTTAAATTAGGGCTTTTGCTTCTTGACATAAAAACTATTCAGCAACTGTACAAGTATACTTAAAGTTTTACTTAACCCAATTTCACTTCTTGGGTTTATTTAGGAATCGTAAATTTGATTTCTTAAACTGCAAATGTTTTTCTTTGCACAAGGATATGCGACATTTTAAAGACTGTCTGCCAAAACATCAAAACAATATTCAAATTTATACTTTCCCCACAAAGCCATCAATTCCAATTTCACACCTCGTTGCGGCCGCACAAGGCTCGCTTCCCTCACGTACATACAAGTATGTATGTATATTTCAGAATAAAAATGTTCCTTTCTTATCCACTTGATTTTTGGCACTTACACAACACATCATTGTATGTGTCGCTGTACAGAAGTGTGTTTGTGTCTGTGCGGGTCCTTTCGTGTGTATTGTGGGGCTGATGGACTCATTTTTTCTGCCGACATCTTACAAAGTTTGTTTGCATTTTTTAAATTTAGGTATGCATAAAGAATACATCTGATATCAAGTATGCAAATGCGAACATGTCGAAGATTTTGTGACTTAAAGTATTGAAATTATTGGGTTTTTCTTTGACGATCTCACACCCGCAGGGGCGACGTGCTGAAACCCACACAGCTTATTATATTTACGGCAAGCTAAGAGCAACAAAACGGCCTCTTTCCGTGTTTTTGGCTGCAACATTTCAATTATTTGGCCGAGTGCGAGCCGCAAGTGTGCGGTTGATGGATCCGTTCGTACTTATTCAAGAACGAAGTGCGGTTCGTGTTTATTGCCAAACAGAATAAATTAACATTGCATCTGGCGTGGTGAGCGTGTCTGTGTGGGTGTGTCTGTGGATACCTTTGGTGTGTGCCCAGTTCAGGTGACATGGGTGTGCAAGCTGACATATTGGTAGCCTTGGCAATGGGCTTTAAGCGAAACAACCACAAAAAAGGAAAGCGTGTTATAAATCGGAAGTCAAAATAGCAAAATATCTACCTCAGAAACATTTCCATTAGAAGGCAATGCCATTTTAGAAATGCACACAAGACATTCTAGACATTGCAATACCTATATATATGGCATCTATGTATTTGTTAAATGCATGTAATGTTCATGAAGCTGTTAAACAAACTTAATAATTTGAAAGTCACCTCGAGAAAAGGCTATTATTTATAAGTAGGTTGCAATAAATGCAGATTTTGAAAGTGTATTCAATTATTTTATAGCATGAAAAGGTAGCACCCCACACACACACATACCATATTACTCTTGATGCCTACATCAAAGGGGTTTAAGCATTTAAATTGCATTAAAATTAAATAAAATGTGCGTGGAGAAAGTTTAGAGTTGTGTGTACATCGCGGCGTATACGCAACATGGAAATCAAATCAAACAAGCCGAGCGTGCTGAGAACGCTGGCAGTGAAAGTGGCAGCTAAGCTGCACGCTTTCCTCCTAATCAGCTGAGAGTCAACCGCAGAATCCCACGCTGCTGCTGCTCCAACTGCTCCAACTGCTGAGCTCGAAGGGTTCGGTCGCCACATTCGTTTGCCTTGTCGTCGAGGATGTGGTCGCGTGCCTCTAAGCGATTTTATCTACATTTTGAGCAACATAGAGCACGAAACACTAATTTCACCTTTGTTTGCGGTTTGTTCTAGAAGTTTGAGCCCGCGAAAAAGTTTTTAATTAACTGTGGCAAATACTGCGACTCTGACCTCGACTTCCTAGCCCCACGCCCCTATCCTCCCCTCTGGGTCCTCCAATAAAGCATTGAGGTAATGAGGCAGAGGCGCGTGCCTCTGCACACCCAGCGAGTTGGACCCTTCCTCATTTGTTTGTTTGTTGTTTTTGCTTGTTTGTTGTTTTTGCTTGTTTGTTGGGCTGTTAGCTTTACAGATTGAACGGTTTTTCTAAATTCGCTCATTGTTAAGCTTTTTATGTGGATTGCCCTTTTCACACCGAGCTCATCCGCCAGGTGTGGCATAAAAGAAAAGAAAGCAAAAAAAAGGCTAACAAATTAGCTAGTAACGTTTAAAAATTGAAATTAAATATGACCCAAATATATATACAATTAGGTTCACTGTACCGCCGACAAAACAGAGTGAGAAAAAATCCTCCAAACAGGATTAAAGGGCAATGCTGCGGAGTGTGTGTGTGTTTGTGTGTGTCTGGGACGTAATTCAATTTTGAGGTTCGCATGAACATTTAACTTTCATACCCTTTAAAAAGGGGTTAGAAAAACATGCTTGGCCTCAGGCCGAGACGCATCAAACCATCCGAATATTTCAATCGGGCCTGGGTGTTACTCAATGAATATGCAAATATATTGAAAACTGATCGGATTGCAGTCAGGCGGCATAAACTTAGAAAGACGACGGAAGAAACTTAGTGCCTCAAATTTCCCCATATCGATTTGTTCCGAAGATTGAAATAAGACACTTATGAGCAAATAAATTAATTGTTTTCTTAAACGTTCAAAAGTTATTTGGCATTCATGATTCAGTATTATGTCAGGCATGTGGACCCCCATATGAGCGTCATAATTAGAAATCAGATTTAACACAACTTTTCTTTTAAATTATTTCCACTGTTTGTGTAAATAAGTTTCGCAAATTTGCTAACAATTTTGTTAAATTCTGCATCCAAGAAATGGCTACATGCAAACAATCTGGCAACGCCACGAAACTTAATGTGATCTACCTGGGCATTGAGAGTCGCCCTCTTTATCCGATTTTAAACATTTAAATAGGCAGATGACAAGCCAATGCTCAAAAAATATATACCCTTTAAATTCATCATTCAAGTGCATTTCTTAATTTGTTTGGATATTCACAATGTTACCCTTCTGTTCTTGGCAGCGACAACTCTGTCAGCACTTTGGTGGGTCACTGCTCCCTTCCGTTACACCTCACAAACTATCCGTGGAACGAACATCTTAGACAGGTCATTGTCATGGTAAGCCTCGCTCATTAACTTACATTGATGGTATCGGTGGACCAAATTGAAATTAAACTCCGCAATTACTTACATAAATGCTGCGCAGACCGGTCTTCCGCAGTTAGCAGCAGTTCATTGAACAACATTACGCAGAAATTGTGATTAATTAGAACATCAGATCGGACTGTGTCGATTGCGATCTTGAATGGCTGGCTGGCTGGCTGGCTGGCTAGGCAGCTAACTGGTATAAAAGTGGTTTGCAAGACACGCCAAGGCCACCAGTTAGTTTGAAGCCATGTTGTTCTACACAACCCAAATAATAGCGCGTAAGTAAGCGAAATGCGTTAGCGCTTGACCCAAATGATCTAATTGAGTTCCGTCATCAATCCAGTGTGCTTGGCCGGCACGAGCTTTGTGGGGACCATGGCGCGTCGCCATCGAGTGGATGGAACCCAAGGCAAAGGAGCAGACCAGCAGCGTGCTCTGTTGGCACCACGTTTTCCTGCCTTTCCACAACAGCAGCCGTGCATCTGCTCACCAGGCCCACCAGGACCTCCGGGATTACAGGGATTACAAGGACCACAGGGCACACGAGGGGACAAGGGCGAAGACGGACCAACTGGACCTCCAGGACTAATGGGCACGAACGGGCAACGTGGACCGCCCGGACGCACAGGAATTCCAGGCCCAATTGGTCCTCCAGGACGACAAGGACGACGTGGTTTCCCTGGAGAGCGGGGCCCTACCGGTCCAATCGGACCAATTGGCTTACCCGGACCTACTGGCCCTGCTGGAGCTGCGGCCGCAGCTCGATCGCTTGATGGCGCTGCGAGTATTGGAGTTCTCCCCGATTACGATGTTGATGTAGGACCAGATGGCGACGAGGATGATGTGGATGACTTTGACGACGAAGACGAAGATGACTATAAGAAGAAATAAAGCTTGTTTCGAATTTGTATGGGATTTGAACTAAATTTTAGCTTCTTTCCTATAAATAGATATACATATGTACATACAAATCAGACATGCTACTGAAAATCCGCTTATGATTCAGGGCTCAAAATGCGATTCCCAGTTTAAAAAGGAACCCAAATACCCTTTGTCTAAGTTTCAACTCGATTATACATCTCTAGCGTTCATGAAGACGTTCAGAAATGTAATGTCAACTTTTTATAATTGCTGCTATTCCTGCTAATCAACGTACAGCTCAAACGGAAATAGTTTTCTTGAGAAATATAAAGTAAATAGTGTATAGTAAGAAAACGGTTTTGTAGAAGGCATCTCAGGGAGATGTTTCGAGCAACATCAACGGACATAGAAACATTGAATGTTGCTGGGGTTTTCGACTGAGACTTCACAAGCATCAACATTTATGTTGCGACAATTTTGATAAGAATAGTGGTACCAGAGAAGGCAATTGTTGTTGCTAGACAAGCAGTGGTAAGCAGTTGCCATATGTCTGCTTCGTACTTAAATTTTTTGAATTGAAAGGTAAATATTTTATAAATTTTATTTGAAATAAGAGCTGTCTCTGAGCGGACATGGCGCTCTTTTTTATTTTGCCGAACGCATCAAATGTCAGAAACAAAAAGGCCTACATGAAAAAACACGTATCCCCTCTGGCGGTTTGTGTGAGGCTCGTGTTTGTGCATGGATCTATAAACAATTTTACGTGCATATGCATGTACATATGGGTGGGGCTGTGTGGGTGGCCCTGTATCGGTATAGGTTCATAATGCAAGTACGTTAATCACGCACTTTTGCACTCAGGTGCTGCGATTGTTGTTGTTGTTTGAGCTGTCGTTGCAGCTGCTCGTTACAGTTTTGTTGTTGTTGTTGTAATTGACTGCTGCCTGACGACCAATTATGGTGCAATTAACACACTTGATTGGTTAAACCCTCTGATTCGTTTACGGTTAACTCACTCACACACACACACACAGACACTCACTCCCTCACTCAAGCACGCACACATGGATGGGAGTAGGAAAGCAGCTGCTCTGTGCGCTCATGTGTATGCTTTGATTTTTAACATTTCAAAGGGCCTGCAACTTACATCTTCATGTCTACTCATCCTTCAATTGGCGTATGCTTTAGGAAGCTGGCTGGTGCTCCAGCAAGCAACGACCGTTTCCATCCAGCAAAACTTTTACTGCCAACTTTGCTACAAAAAGAAAGAAAAAAATCAAGCAAAATGGGTTCCTAAATTTGATTGCTAGTCGCCGCCATTTTGTGCTCTGATTTTTCGGGGAGGGGATGGCCAAAAATATCTTAGCCGCTTACTTCTTCGTCTGGCTGTCCCGTTTACTTGGAAATAGGTATGTGTGTCAAGTGCTGGCAGTTGCCATTACATGCTCATTCGATTCTCTGCTCCGCGTCAGCAAACTCTCAGCCACACACCACTTAAATATGATATGAAAGTGAAGCAGACACTGAAGTAAATGCTGAGCTAAGGCATTCGAATATACAAAGCTATAAAGCCCAAATTGATAACGATGTCAAGATGGATGATAAGGGCCGCCATATCTGTCAGATATGTAATTTTTGATTGATTGTCAAATGCTGATAGGAGTTGAGAGTCTGCTGTCAAAATAATTTTCAATTTAGTTTCCATGCACAAGCACTTATCGATTATGGATAAGGTCTGGAATAAGGTCGAATTGTCTGTGCAACGTAAGGGCAAACAAGTTTACTGCAAACATTTAAAGCGTGCTGAGAAAATCCTTCGAGCAATTAAAATTAAATGCTATGTGCTCAAGCAATAGAGCAACTCTGTAAGCCCTGTACAATAATGTTGCGTAAAATCTAGTTTAATTTTGTGTGGTATCAACTATTTCACAAATGCTACAGGATATATTAGAATTGATGAATAAAAGATATGTTTATGGGTAAGTTTGTCAAAAGCCGTATCTATATGTAGTTGTGTTTTGAGATTGATAAAGGTGGTTGCTTGCGATACATGTCATTTATTTTTGTAATGCATATTAATGGATTTGACTGTACCTGTTGTAGTTATTGTGGAAAGCCGTCTGTATTCGAAGGCCGATTTTGTTGTTTATCGGTTTGAAGGCTGACATACCTTTTATTGAACAATTCGCACGTTTGTTGCGAGAGTTGCAAGAATTTACGGGTATCTGTAGATAAGAAGGGAAGGCTAAAAGGAAAGTATTTCAGAGATTGATTTCTTTACAAATGGCTATAATATAAATATCTGTATGAACAAAAATTAAACCTGAAAATTCCCTGAAACTATCCACCGATTTCGGAGTATGGTTTTGGTATGGTTTTAAATCCTCTTTCATATTTCCACTTCTTCCACATTTTTCATCTTTCCACTTGGAAGAAGTGGAAAGTGTACACATTTTCTACTCAACAGATGTGTAGCTGCAATCCTGGTACGGTTATTTAATCAATATCAAGCAGACGTCATCCATATCTATATCTATTTGCCTTCCTTACGCTGCCACTTCCTGTCTAATTGGATTGACTGTCTCGTGCAGACCGCAAAGTTACCAAACTCTGCTCGCAATGAACAAAGCAATGGCCACAAGTTTTGTATTTAAATAATTCATCAAGATACAAATCCAAAACGAGAACACATTGATGTGAGCTTCCGATACCCCTTCGAGTGGCTCACCACCATGTTTGATGTGGTGGCAAACAAGTCGGATCCTTGGCGTGTGTGCAAAGGCCTAGCTAGAGTTGGCAGGACATGGACAAGTGGACAAGGACGTGTGTGGGTATGAGTGTGGTGAATGGTCGCATTATTAACGTGCGGCAAACGAGGCTAATAAAATGAAATGCTCGCCTGGGAATACGCCTTCGCCCCCTTATTTTGTTGACATTTCATTTCGACGCCGCAATGTGGTGTTCCTATACTATAATTGATTAGGTTCGTCCTCACGAATGGAACACTCTTTCCACACAAGTATTTGTGGCAGCGTGTTCGTGTTCGACTCTCTGTGCATCGGTCTAAACCATAATTTATGGGCTGTGTACAAAGGCATTAATCTTTATTGGAAATGAATAGTGTACGCAAACCTTTGACAAGTCATTTGTTGGTTTTGGCTATGTTGTATTTTCTCTTCTTGCTGCTGTTTTTATTGTTGTTGTAGTCTAGCTAAATGAGTATAAATAAAGTACTCAGAAAAGCAACAGACACATGGACACCACATAAACCGACCGACCGACAATGTCTGAGTGAGACTAAGTCGGACTTTGTCGTCTGACCTTGCCCGTCATGGCAACAACAAAAAATAAAAGCCGAGCCAGCATGTAAAAGTGCACCTAATGCGCCTTTTAATGATTTGATGTCCTTTCCACGTTTGCTTTAATGTGCCAGTGCGCCCCGCTTCGGCTTTGCTGTACGAGTCTGCCACGTGATTTTCACAGCATTTTCCTACCCACAATATTATGCAAATTAGCTCGCCTGTTTATGGCATATAAAACGGATAATTTTAATGCTCATTTTATGCGTTGCGTGCCACCAACAGGTCCCAGCACGATGCCCACAGGAATGCTGATGTGTCTAGCTCGGGAGACACAGATGTGTCAAATGTTAACAAGTTCTTGGCCTGTCCTTAACATTCACTCAACTTCTGGAAGTTTTAAGTACTTTAACCCTAAAAAGGTGACATTTGTTCATTTCATTTTGAAGTGAACCCATAGCAAGGGCTTATGTGACTTAAATATGTAACAATTGGATGAATAAAGAGCAGGCAGTGCATGTGTTAGGCCAGAGGTCAGAGGCCACTGACCCATTGTGTTTTCTGTTTCATAATCCTGCTCATCCTCGTCGATGCAACCGAACTCTTTCCTCTCCCAAAGCTACTGTTTTCAACTATGCCCGATAGAGCTTAACTTCCCACACCGAGTCGGGGATCCTCTATTTTCGTTATTATTTATTTAGTCTTCATAAGCCCATTATAACAGCCTATACTTGTCCATTCATTCAATAAATTAAAAGTCAAACAAAGATAATCTATTACGAAGGGAGAGTAAATAACTTATTTTAACTAACAATTGTTCTTCTTAATAATCCAATGTTTGGGTCTAAAAGTTTCCCACATTCAACGAAATACATTGTGATGCAGGGCTGTGCGATGCGGGTATAAGGCATCTGTTGATCCGACGATTTGCTGCCACGTGGAGGACAACCAACAGTGCCATGAGCGTTAGAGTCTGCGTTAACTCAATTCTCATCTTTAGGTACTGATGCCTCGATATGATAATGCAAGGGGGAGAGAGAATTGTCTTGTAAAGACAGTTCCATTTGGCTTTGTGAAATTCCACATCCAACCATAAAATCGTATTTATATACGCTTCAGTCTTTTCGCAACGCCAAATCAAATCATTTCGCGCAGCTGAAAACCATAGCTTTTTGCAAAACTTAAACTCAACCCACGATATACCCACGAAAAGCTTCTCCCGATACTCAAAATGTTGAGACTCTGAGGCTAAGTGGCATGTTGAAGACTGATTCGGTTTCTTCTTGCTATGCTCTTTCCTGAGCGCCCATTCTATTCCATGGAAGTTTCATAATCGACTGCACGATGGCGATTTGAATGTGTTTGTCTGTCCGACTGGCTGTCTGTCTGCCTGTCTGTACTTATGTCTGCATGTGTCCATTAAGTAGTCGAAAATCATTACTCATTGCTGAGTCAACGCTACGGATTGGCTTGGCCGCAGCATAGCCGAGTTATGCACCTTGACCAGCGTCCAAGTCTGGACAGCAACCTCTTTCATTTCATTTTTCTGATCCATTTGCATATGCAAATTGAATATGCAAGTGAATGGGTTTCGGCATAAGCGTCTGGGGCGTGTATGGACCGAACATTTTCACCAAATTGAAGAAAAAACAAATTACAAATGTTTTGCCGGCGAATCCCATCCGCCCCCATCGCCTCCATCGTTGCTGCTCTTGTGGAAAAACAAGTCAAGTGTTGCGCTTTAGACATAATTTATCAGCTGAATGATTTGATTTATATGGTTAGACATGGCATGTGGCACGTCATTGCGCTTGTTTTCATACCTTTTATTATTATTATTATTATGGCAACAAAGCAAAGCTCAGCACAGCAAAGACAAAGACGCACCACGCATGTTCAGATCAGTGCTGCCAATTTGGCTTTATCCCGTCAAATCTGGTTGTTTTATGAAATCACTAGTTTACGCCATATTTTCTCAAAATAAAAAAAATGGTGGGAATGCCGAAAGAATGAAATGAAAAATGCCGTGATGTTTGGCTCACTTACAAAGAAACACAGACTGTCTATGGGCCATTTTAGGGGAAAAACAAAATTGGTTTTGTTAACGAAGCTAACGAAGAAAGAAGCAGCACTGTGCCTTTTTCTGGCTCAGCATACAGCAATAGCGCAGACTGGCCGCTTTTATTATAAATATCATTTAAAATGTTCACCAAGATGATAAAAAAAACTTTGGAAAATACATAGTTCTAAGGAAATACATTTAGGTTTTTTACGCTTTTTTGAACAAATTGTTTCTTTATTTCACTCTCCTTCCCGTCAAAAACAGTTTTTTTCCTTCTAAAAAGTTGGCAACACTGGTTCAGATGTACTTGTGTTATGTTTTCTTTCTTTCTATTATAATTTGTATTTTGTATTTTTCTACCACCACACTTGTGGACTGTTTTGCCAATGAAAATGGAAAGTATTTTGCGGCAAAAAGAGATTTCTACAAATAGCAAAAATGAAGCGCTGCACTGCCCAATGCTGTATTACTTGCTTACTTACTAAAGTTTATGTTGTTAACATGCATGCATGCCTAAGCATAAACAAAATCAAAAAGAAAAACAAAAACAGAAACAAAAATAGGTACGAAGCCGTCAGACAACAACCATAGTGGACGGGGAGATGGCCAGGACGGCTACAGACGTCCACAGCTCTTCGATGTGAACAACCTCCACTTATGTGCTTAATGTGTGCAGAGATACAGACACGTATGTATAGTATAGTAAGTGTATCTGCGATCTACCTACTTGATTAGTTGATTGAACGACAAACAATTTGCGCCGAGGAAGAAAGTAACTCGTCGTTGCTCTTTCTGCTTTTTGTCACTTTGTGCGATCGTTTTGTTATTGTGTTGTTCACAATTATTGACGACTTAACCCCATTAGCGTAAATTGGCGCACTTGCCAGTTGCCAGTTACCAGTTACCAGCTGCCAGTGCCAATCAGCCGCAATCAAAAGCGGCAACAGGTACGCGCTAACAAAAGATGCAAAGAAATTTTAACTTTCTGCGGCATGGGCCAAGAACAGAGCGAAAACTTTTACCAAAACCAAGCAGGCAGACAAGGCACGGCACGCACAATGTAAGCCCATTCACGAGGCCGGAGAGCATCTCACCATCATCGTCATCGTCATCATCATCATTATCATCAACAGAGCAGCCTCGGAGGGTCTCCGCGCACGATCTTGGAATTTTTAGTACGTCGCTCTTAGTACCCGACATATAAACCAGTTTCACCTGCCATCGAGAGCAGCAGCCAGCGCTGAAACCGCCGCCAGCCGCAGACAGCGCGTCAGTTGCTGCGCGACGCTTCAGAGGAGTACATCGTTCGTCGTGGCATAACGTGCAGCGAGCATTCGAGTTTGGTGAGCATCGAGAGCTGGAGCCGAAGACACAGCCATAGTCAGAGCCAGAGCCATAACCACAGCCCCAAACCGCGAACGAATCGAGCCTGCGCAGCCAGTTGCTATTGTTGTTGTTGTTGTTGTCGTAGCGGCTCTGCGCCAGCGCGCAGCTTAATTATTGCTCCCAACTTGCGGAGCCAGCGCCAAGAAACGGACGAACGGACAAACGGACGGGCATTACCATTACAGTTTGGCGCAAAGTTTACTTGTTTGTCTGCATTTTTGTTGTGCGCGAAGCTACCGAACACACAGACAGATACACACACACACACACATACACACTCCCATGTTGTATCTGTGTTGTGTGCGGTTAGTGTAATAACTTTTTAGCTGTTCGGGTGTTGTGTAGTGTGCGCTTTTCTCTTACGCGTCGCGTCTCGTCGCGTCGCCTCTACTCGCCTCGCTTGGGCCGGCCTGGGAAAGAATTCTTGCAGTTTTGCGCTTTCTTTTTGTATCTACAAGCATAGACACAGATACTCTCGTACTCGCGCTGCTGTGTGTGTGTGTAACGTGTATAACAAGTGTAAACAAAATAGAGTCGCAGATACCGATACAGTTACGGATACAAAAATAAGAAAAATACTCGCACGGCTCAAAAGTTTTGTGTAATCGAGACGAAAACAAAAGAATTTTAATACACCCGTATTTTCCCAACCATTAATAGCGATACGAGCAACGATTTTTGATCGTTTTGCCTGCAATTTGTCCATCTCCATCCACAACGCCAACAACAACCACCAAAAAGTAAGCCAAAAGTATAAATCAAAAAGAAACAGGTTATCTCGTATTCCATAAAAAAAAAACTCCAAACTACATATCCTATTAACATAATTCCCATCAAAACGGTGCGACATGCTCAACCAAAAAAAAAATGGAAAAAACTGATTTTAATCGCAATACACGAGTGTGTGAAACAAGAAGTAGTGGACGCAGCTCATCGAGTGTGGCAAGCGAGACCTTGAAGCTCGGTTCGCTTTCCGCATCGCATCGCGTATGCATTTCAATAAGACTCGACTTGAGCGGCGTGGCGGCGATTTTGAAATGCAGTAAACGCAATGCCATCAAACCCAATTTATGGCCAATATATTTACATATGCAAAGATCACACACACACACACATACATGTATATACCTGCATTCATACTTGTACATCAAACTAAACAGAGGACAGGTGATTTCGAAAAATCACCAAATAACGCATTTAGCCATTTTAGACGACTGTAGAGCCAACAAAGACATATTTCCATACATTTTGACATCGGTCGAGTGTGTGTGAAATAAGTAAACAAACCGAGAAACGGTACTAAACACACACACACACACACATTCCTGCATACTCAGCATATCTGTTAGCCAAGAATATTTGGCAAACTAAAGACTAAGCGACTAAGCGACTAAGCGACTTGCGCATGCGCTGTGACAGCACAAAGTGCTGTCCATTAATCGCCTCCTCTTTTTTGCTAAAAGTAATAATAAAAATGATTTTATGAATGGCTTGACAAAGTGCTCGCTTACTTGCCATCAAATGTTAAAAACAAAAAACCTTCAGATCCACAAACTCGCTTGAGTTGAGTGTTTCTACGACCCTCTCAAAGCCTGAAGAGTGATGTAACGCATATGTATCCGGCACTACTGAAAATCTCTTGCCAAATCTCTAGCCTTTAAGTGAAATTTAATCATGCTCCGAATTCTACATTTTTTCCAGACGTATTTTTCTTCATTCTATTTTAATTGACTTAATATTTTTGTCCATTAAGAAGTTCTTTTATGCTTGCTCTACAGAAATTTGAAAAAAGTGTTGAGCCGAAAGACTGGCTTTAGTTGAGAGTTACTGCAATTCAATTGACATCTTGTTATACCAATTTTAATAACTATTCAAATTGTGTTTAATTTTGAAGATAAATCCATTTTGTGACAGCCGAATTTACCTGCATTCTATTGTCAATTGATAGGCAGACTTGACATATAGTCTTTCATCCTTCGGTTGTTGATTAGTATTTAGAGCTTCATCTTCTTCGGCGAGAGTTTAAAATTAACGAGCAACGAACGTTCAAATAGTCCACAATCTAGAGTTTAAAATTTATAAAACTATCAAGAACTATCCAAAAACCTCCTGCCTACAAGTACATAAGCTGTCACACACACATTCCTAATCATTTATAGAGACCATTCGTCCATTATATATGTACGAGTAGATAGAAAGAAAATATCAGTTTGAATTAGCACTGAGTTTTTCTACAAGTCTATGTATTACAATTAGTGATAACAACAGGTGAAAAGTTGCCTCATTTCTACCTAAATTCCTTGCACAACCACAATCCTATGGAAACGAAAGACTAATACTAACTAGTACTTGATTAAAACAAGACCGAAGTTAAGCGATTCAACCTTGCATTAAGAAAAGGGTTGGGTCGCTGTTGATTTTTAATTTAACCGTAAAAGTTGAGCCCGTGCCTTTTCTATGTACGAGTTTTTTATTTGATTAACCTAAAGTACCGCTTAGAGGTGGGGCTCGTTTATCTGGCCACTTGGCCGACTTGGCCAAAAAAGGGTATGCAAAGCCAGCCCTAAGGGCTGGGGGAATCTATCAAGTTCTTCAGGTGAAGGCACTCAACAGAATATTTTCACAGATGAAGAATGTTTTCAGCTACTTGTTGAAATATCAATTTCGAAGCACCTGTTAAACGCGATTGCACAATCAACTCGGCTTCAAACTTTTGGTAATTTGTAGTCGACAGAGTGTCGCAATGGGTCTTGTAAATATTTTGTTTGCTATTAAATTATCGCGTTAGTGAAGAAAGAAATCAACTACGAGTATGCTAACTCGTCTACAGCTTCTATTCCAAATCGACGCATTACCTTGCTCTGCGGCTCGCGTAGGTAGGTCGACTGGTTGGCTGGCTATAGCATTCCTTGGCTAAAAGCATACGAAAACATTTTACCTCGCAGCACAAATAGTGTATGTATGTATGTATGTGGTTTCGACCAAACTCGCCAGCAGTATGCAAATCGAACATTCTAACAGATTACGACCAAAGCATAACCCGATTGTGTGCGAGAGAGAACAATACGACAAAACCGAGGAAATGACCAAATACAGCGTGGCAGCTCTTGCCATGTTGGCCAACTTGGCCAGCTTACGAGTATTACGAGCATTATTATTTAGTTAGATTGATGAATTAATAAGCGCGACTTTTGAAAACGAGTTCCTACCAATCTCAGTTGCAGCTCAAATGGCAGCGTGGAAACAGCTGCTCTGGGTCTTGTTGCTCTGCCTGTCACAACATTTAACACAGATCGAGGCGTGGCGGCCATGTCCGGAGCTCAGTCCCGCCTTGAGACTGCCATGCAGGTGAGTCGCTACCCCCCACAAGCCGGAGACAACTGGCTTCCGCTGTCGGGCATTATTTTAATTTCTGCGCGCTTGCAAATTACTGGTAATTTGCGCGCTGATACGCTGATTCGCTGATTCGCTTGGCTCTGTTTGATTTCAATTATTGCCGCAATTACAGGTGCAATGTGGTGCCGTTTGCCTCGACCGGCCAACTCGGCGCTGTGGCCATGGACTGCGATCGCGTTGTGTTCCATGGCGATGCGCCTCAGCTGCCATACGGAGCGCCCATTGTGGCCTACACGCAGCGCCATAGTGGGCAGCAGGTGCTGCCAGCACAAGTAAGTCTCTGGGCAATCAGCACGAAACACTAATTGAGTTTCCATTCCGCACCCCTCAGACATTCGGCCAGCTTAAATTGCCCATTGAGGAGCTGGACTTGTCCAACAATCTGATACGTCGCATACCCGAACGCGCATTCGATGGACTCAAGGACGCGCTGACGGAGCTGCGATTGGCCAACAACCTGCTGGGCGATAATCTCAATCCGATTTTCTCGACGGCCGAACTACATGCCCTTAAGAATCTGCGCCTCTTGGATCTGTCTGGCAACAAGATCAAGCTGATCGAGGAGGGTGTCCTGAAGGGCTGTGTCGATCTGAAGGAGTTCTTTGTCGATCGCAATAGCCTGGCAGCTGTGCCATCGAACTCCTTGAATGGACCCAGCGCCTTGAGGCATTTGTCGCTGCGCCACAACCATATAGGTATGTTAACTACTTCATATTCCCTGGCAATTGAGGCATTTGTTTAGTACTAACCACGAATCAGTATGTGACGAGACTTTTATACTCTTATATAGTAGACATATCCTTTCTAGCTAGTTAAAGATCAGTCCGATGTATATTTGGTTAGCATAGCTTATAACCTGTTTTCTTCCTTACAGCTTCGCTGTATCAGGACTCGTTTATATCACAGCCTCAGCTGGAAATCATTGATCTGCGCTACAACGCCATCAAGAGTATAGACAGTCAGGCGTTTAAGGGCTTGCACAAGATACGCGAAATCAAGCTAGGCGGTAATCGCATTACCAATCTCAACAGCGACATCTTCGAGCAGCTCCCCACGCTACAACGGCTCGATTTGTCCGAGAATTTCATCACACAATTCCCGACGGTATCACTGGCATCCATAGTGGCACTTAAATCCCTCAACTTGTCCTCGAACATGCTGCAGGTGAGTTACGCTTCAGCACATTTCAGAACCACATTAATAAGTTCTTCGCACCCAGCAACTGGACTTTTCACATCTGCAAGTGGTGAAGACCCTGGAGAGCTTGGATTTGAGTCGCAACAGTATTACAACCATACCGCCGGGCACCTTCAGAGAGCTGGGCGCACTTAAATACCTGGATCTCAGTCTCAATTCGCTGCGCACCGTACGTTCAAAACCCAAGTATGCATAGTTTCAAAAAATAATAAGTGCACACTTTGCAGATCGAAGATGACGCCATGGAGGGACTGGACAGCTTGCAGACCTTAATAATCAGGGACAACAATATTCTGCTGGTGCCTGGTAGTGCTCTGGGTCGTCTGCCTCAGCTGACGTCATTGCACCTGGACTTTAATCGCGTAGCCGCACTGTCTGCCGAGATTCTCGGGTCACTGCAGGCCGGCGATATAACCACGCTTTCCCTCTCGCGGAATGTCATCCGCGAGCTACCGCCGGGCAGTTTCCAAATGTTCAGTAGCTTGCACACCCTTGACTTGGCCGGTAACTCGCTGGCCCAGGTGAACGCCGACACTTTCGCGGGCCTGGAAGGCACGTTGATGGAGCTAAGACTGTCGCAAAATCGTCTAACCAGCCTGGGAAATGCGCCGCTACCCCTGGAGGAGCTGCGCAGCTTGGACCTCAGCGGCAACAGTTTGGCAGAGCTGCCGCGTAATATTTTGCAGGAATTAGGCAACTTGCAGTACCTAAACCTGAGCGGCAATCATCATCTGGCACCGTTTTCCGGCTCCCTCTTTCGACCACTCGGTCGCCTGCAGATCATCGATCTGAGCCACTGCAGCATTCGACAGCTTAGCGGAGACCTGTTGGCCGGTCTGGATCTCAAGGAAATTCATCTCAACGACAACGAATTGGAAGAGCTTAAAGATGGTAGCTTTGTGGATTTGGCTAATATTAGCTTCATCGATTTGTCCAATAATCGCTTAGCATCAATACGATCCAGTGCCTTTGTGAATGTCATGCAGCTGAAGCGTCTCGATCTGCACGGTAATCAGTTGTCTGCCTTCAAGGGGGAGTACTTCAATACTGGCACTGGCATTGAGGAGCTAGACATATCCAATAATCAGCTGAGCTATTTGTTTCCCTCCTCCTTCCGCATCCATCCGCGTCTGCGAGAGATAAAGGCTGCTCACAACAAGTTCTCCTACTTCCCGGCTGAGCTCATCTCCTCGTTGCAGTACTTGGAATACATAGACTTGTCCGACAATCAACTGAAGACCATTGAAGAATTGGACTTTGCTCGCTTGCCGCGACTGCGCGTCTTGCGACTCGCTCAAAACGAATTGGACATGGTCAGCGAGATGGCTTTCCATAATTCCACACAACTACAAGTTCTGGACTTAGCGCATAATAGACTGGATCGCCTGGGAGAACGAACCTTCGAAGGTCTAGTGCGTCTGGAGGAGCTGAATTTGGAGGGCAATCGATTGTATGAGCTATCCGATGGCATCTTCGAGCGTGCTAAGCTACAAATGCTGGAGAACATCAATCTGGCGCACAACAAGTTCGAGTACGCCCCATTGAACGCACTCAAACGTCAATATTTCTTTGTCTCTTCGGTGGATCTAAGTCACAACAAGATCAAAGATATACCTGCTGATGACAGCATTATGGTTAACATCAAACACATTGATCTTTCCTACAATCCCCTCTCATCCAAAGCTGTGCACAATATTCTGAATGAGCCAAAAACCGTGCGGGAGTTGAATCTGGCAGGCACAGGAATAGAGGAGCTTGGCACTCTGGAGACACCGTTCTTGCAATACTTGAATCTCTCACATAATAAGTTGCACAATATCAAGGCCGATGTCTTCCAGCGTGCCACACTGCTTGAGACCCTGGACTTGTCTAACAATGAACTGGGAAACCTTCATGACCTTTCGCTAGCCTGGCCGCAGCTGCAGGTCCTGCAAACTCTGGATGTGTCGAACAACAGTTTCGAAATGATTTCACAGCAAAACTTTGCGCACCTCCAGATGTTGCGCAGACTCAAATTGAATCACCTGCCACTGTGCACCCGCATCGAAAAGAATGCTTTCAAACAGCTACCAAATTTGGCCAGTCTGGAGGCCTACGATCTCCCGCTGCTGGGCTATCTGGATCTGCAGGGAATATTGGAGCTACTTCCGGGACTGGAGACCCTCGATATAGAGGTTAAGGATGCCAGCATTGGTATGGAACAAATACAACCATTAAAGCATCCGCGTCTCAGGTCCATTGGCATACGTGGAGAGCGACTGAAATCTATTTCATCGGGCACATTGGCCGGTCTTAAGAGCAGCGACCTGACTATTAAATTGCAGAACACTTCGCTCTCAGCACTGCCCCCAGCCCTTCTATTCCCAGTTCCACGCTCTTCGCAACTCACCCTAGACGTTCAGGGCTCTCAGATCACGGTGCTGGTACCGCAGTTCCTGAATGCACTTGAAGACCGTCGGTCAAGCCTGCACATGCGGGGCCTGACCAGTAATCCTATCGTGTGCGATTGCAACGCACGGGCCCTTCGTCGCTGGTTACCTATCTCTGGAATGTCTGAGGTCAGTTGTCATGCGCCCGCCTATCTGGCCGGCAGGAGACTCATCGAGGTGGGGGACGACGAACTTACATGTGATCCACGTCGCATGAGCTCTTCCACCGCCCGCCCGACTATGCCACATTTGCTGAAATCCTCCAGCCAGCTGATCACACGCACCACAGCCTTAACCACAGAAGAGCCAGTCATCATTTGGAGCCTAGAGCCCACACAACCAGCTCTAAAGAAAATCAAACCCAAGGCACCGCTACTGAAGGCTCAAGCACCAATAATGAGCAATGACGATACTCTGATCATCGGCATTGTGGGCGGAGTTGTAGCCTTCATAGCCATACTTATCATCATCATTTGCATCATTCGACTGCGCATGAGCAATGCGGAATACCAGCACAGTGCGCCTATGATTGGCATTCCCCCATTGCCGTTAGGAGCCCACAATGCGTACAGCTATAAAAATGGCGCAGCAACTCCCGCTGCAGCCCTCTACGCGGTACCCCCCTATCAGCCGAGCTATGCAACATTGCCGCACAAAGCAGCCTCCATACACCAGTCCAACCAGAACCTAGCGCAGCGTCAGCAGGCGGCGCAGCAAGCGGCTGCCGCCTACTCGACCATGTCGCGCATGTCATACTTCAGTGGTGCGGGCGGTGGTGATGGCGCCGAGAGCTTAACGCCACACAATGCGGCCCAGCATCAGCCCTATATAATCTACTCTGACGACAAGGCCTACAGATAGGCGAGCTTGTAGGCCAATACAGCTCTAGTTTATTGCTCACACAAACAACCTCTTCCCCTTACCCACTCTCGAGTCAATGCCTAGTGGCTTATGCTCGCATCGAAGCCACTGGGGTTTACCCATACAGGTTCTATTGTCATTACCAGTGCAAGTTGTATATATAAGTAAATTGTATCGCATATGTGTAATAAACCAATATATAGTATAGTAAATAAATACTCATAAATAATTGAGGCTGTAGTTTTCCCTACTACAACATTAAAGTGGAACGTACCTTTCTAGAGGGCATAACGCGATCCTAAGAGGGCTCCACAACTTATGATATACGAATTCAAAAGATACTAAGCTAAATTATATGGATCTGATGACTTACAGCCGATCAGCCGAACATCATCAGAGCTTGCCTAACACTTTGATTTACTCTATCTTTAGTAGCTCTGATCTTTAATAACTGATACAAATATATATGTACTACCCAAGTACTTCTGTGGGATCTGACACGACTGCTTTAGGTTGTAACGTACGCTTCGAGTATTCCACTTCTGTTTTCCTGCTGCTTTTAAAACCCAATACCTTGGATACGGAAAGGTAAGCCAATTTACATAGATTAGACAAATTAGATTAGATCAATCGAATTCAGAGACAAGATTGAAAACCATATCGCTCTATTTGAACTAACTATGACGAATACTGCTTATACGATATACCGCAAATGAAATTCGCAGAGCTCGCTTAATTGAGCACTTCAAAAGGTTTTTAATTATATAATAATGTTTTTATACAACAAGAAGTATTAAAAAAGTGCGGGTATTTACAATATATATTGCAAGTATATACAAATATATTTATGTACTCGTATATATATATATATTCATATATGCATTTGTAAGTTCATGTGTGTGTATATTGTAACTTCAGGATAGCAATTCACAGTCTTTGTTATTTTCAAAATCCAACTCTCAGCCAAATTAGTTCTTTAAACATTGGCTCTTACATCTCATACGAGTATGGTTGTACAATATTCGATTGAACCAACGAAAATGTGTATGTAAATGCAAGGAAATTTCTCGCACAACTACTTAATAACTTATAATATTATACATGTAGTTGTGTCATTAAATGCTTTCAACTTTTGGATAAATAATTAACAAGGTGGTTAAGTAATGGGATTTCAGTATACATATGGCAACAATACTCTTACCAAATCATAATTAAATACAAAATAGGAATCACATTGGATTTATATAGTGAGTTCGCTTTCGTAATCCGTAAATAATAAGTCTTCTGATTTACGCCATCTGCGCATACGAGGAAGAATACAGGTGGTAATTGCGTCGTCGATAATAGATCATGAGCGCATAGCTGGCGCACAACAATATAATTATAATGAAGATGAGAATGCCTGAAAGGACCAGAGAAAATAAATTGATGCTTAAAATAAAGACAAAAGCTTCAACACACCTGTTGCTGCGCCAATATTTGCCTCCTCATAGGTGAGCATCATGGTAGACAGCTTGCATTCGCGTTCCCAGTCCACGGGCAAATAATCACTATACAGTCTAAGCAGTGTGTTTAGTGGGCATGAGACGCCACAGCCCGGTATGTTCATGGGCAAGGGCTCAGCGGAGCTATTCTTATAGAAAATGGAGATAAGCGAATTGTTGTAGTCGTCCACACGCATCTCCATCATAATGCAAGCCGTGTAGGGTGGACTGTGCAGCTGTTGGATAAAGTTATGATTTCTATCACAAAAAAATCTCGGCAATTCAAACCTGGAACATGTTGAGCCCATTTAAAACATTTGCTATGGTAGTATCATGCGCGCTATATATCCACATATTCCGATCGGGCGTCAGTTTTCCTTGCGACTTGTCAACAAAGCGATTGAAAATTTCCTTCAGCAGCGGTCCAACCTTTAGGCGGGCCAGTTGGCGCGTCATCGTATTAACAGAAAAAGCGAAATTCGTCGCATATGTCATGTCAGCGCTACCATAAACCTTTTTCGTCCACTCGGGCAATGTTTTGTTATACAGAGTTTCTATAAACAGTGTATTGTTTATATAGTTTATGTCCAAAAATGTTTCCACCATGCGGCCAGAGTGCTGTGACAAGTAATCGAATAGGTACTTGTAGCGTTCGACCTTCGCTTGATACTCGGGCGAGCTTTGCAAGGCAGATAGTGCATAGTCAAAAGCTGAACAAGGTGCCTTGGCTGCGAGTACCTAAAAAGTAAAGGTTAAACCCATATTTCATCCATTTTGCTTTGCCTCCACTCACAGGGTCGTCCTTTTCAGGCTTCGTGTGCACGGGAATTGGCTGCCATTTTAAATCTTCGTTCCATATATCCGAACCCTCCGGCTCGTAAAAGCCAGCTAAGTTTGACTGCGCGCTCATGAGGGTGCGATCAACGTCCGTGGACTGCACAAATATTTGCTGTCTGTCATACGTTGCGCCCAGCAGTGCGTTGTAACGTTTTCTCAGCCACTTGCCCAACTCATAGTGTTGTCGCTTGCCACGCTGTAATTACATTATGAACCCATTTCAGCTGTCAAAAATGCTTATTTAGTTTTGGCACTACTAACATTGGTAAGTTGGCCCCAGCGCGCTGGCCAGAATGTCTGATTATTCCACGGATCTGTGGGGTAGGGGTCTACGGGCATTCGGTCTCCATGCCGAAATATCTTTAAACAAACAATGAAAATTACGAGAAGTTACAACAACACATCGAGATATTTAGCTTACCACATGTGCAAACTTAAGCTTGCCTGGCAGCGAGTCATCCGCGTTACCTTCAACGTTAGAATATGTATTTTGTTCAAGGCCATGTAACTTGGCCAAACAAAACACGCAAATCAAACACAGTTGCGTTAAGGTGTTGATAAAACCATTTTCAGACTTCATTTTATGAGAAAGCGAACAACTTCGGCACCTTCTCTGGCTAAGAATGGATGGAACATTAGGATTACCTTGTAATGCATACTTATTGTATGTTTACCTCAAGCAGGTACTATGATTAAGATGTGATTTGTTTTTTAAATCCGAGACAGGTTAAGCTGACATATTGTTCCAATTTTTCCCCTTTGTTTTTGGTTTAGCTAGAGACGTAAGTATCGAATCAACATATCGATATGACATTTATACCAGAGCCCATAAATGGACTTTTCGCGATGTGGCAGCTCCATCATCGCGACATAAAAATTGCGAGCACTCTCACATTTTTAAATTTTGTATAAACAAAATCTGATGATATGTGTATTTAATAAATTAATTTTTATTTCAATGTTACATTTGCAAGATCTAAATAAAAATGGTTACTTTATCCGATATGGAACACTTTCAAGTACAATTAACAATTAAACTGAAATGAAAATCTCGACAGGTATATCAATTTTATGCTTAACTTAAAGGTGTAAAATGTAGAAACAAAATTCGGCTATGAGTTCTTTCATCCGAAGTGAATTACATCAGCGTCCACATTAAAATTAAAAACAAAAAATATATTTTGAAACATTTCAATACCGCCTGTTCGCGCCAACATTTGGTCGAGGGCCATTGCTTCTGCAAAGATACAAGTATTATATAAATATTGGCAAACCATTGAGCAATATATGCAGTGCACACACCGATTTCTATTGAAGGGCCCCCCGCCTTGGTTTCCAAGTGGCGGAAATTCTGTGTGATATGCATTTGGCCCATTCAGATTTTTGGCATTGGTAAGACCGCGATTTTGAAATCCAACTCCTTGAATTTGTGATACGTTATGTGGCGCGCCGCCACCACCAGCTGCACCGCCTCGACGCGCATTAAATCCACCGCGTCCAGTAAATCCGCCACGATTTGCACTTAAGCCTCCTCGACCGCCTTGAAAATTGCCACTAAAAAAGAAAATGATTTTCAGTAACATGCAGCCAGTGGTTCATATTTAATTTAACCTGTTCATGACTGGATTGTTGCGGTTGCGTTGAAACATTCCATTGTCTGCATTATTTGAATTTGGAAGCATGTGCCCATTGCCAAAACGAGCCTGTTGTCCACCAAATGACATCTGTTGTTGTTGTTGATCAACTGCAGGCAAAGCGAATCCACGACGGTCTTGTCCAACATTGTTCGATCCACCGCCTCCACCCCTTTGATTTCCAAACGCTGTTCCGACACCGCCACTGCTGCCAGGATGAAAGTCAGTGTTGCTTGCGTTACCCCCAAATCCACTGGATGGACTGTTTTTAAAATTTCTTCTGCCTCCCGGCGCACTTGTGTTACTACCACCGGGTCCACCACTATTATTGTTATCCCAGCTTTGGAACTGATTGGTCGAGTTGCCAACGAAACGGTTATTCGAGTTATTGAAATTTCCACCGCCACCTCCACCAAATTTGTTACCAGCCCCGCCTTGGTTGAACTTGTTTTTAAAAGCTGGAGGTCCATCCGTGTTTTGGGGAGGGGTTCCCTTATTATATGGCGCGTTGCGCTGTTGTCTGTTTTGGCTCTCAGTTCGCATGGGTCCTAAGCTGTTTCCGTTAGAGCAATTCTGACCTCTACTTCCACCGACGCCAGAACTGCCGCCAGCCGCGCCACCTCTGAAGTTGTTACCACCCATGCGACCACCACCACCACGATTGAAGTTTCCACCGGCGCCAGCGGGTGGGCCGTTATTTACGTGTCCGGCAGATCCTGAAATTTAGTCGTATATGTATAACATACTTAGTATGGATAAAATAGTACGTCCTTACCTTGCATTGGCCTGCGAGTAATATTGCCGCCCTGACCACGATTGCCGGCACCCCCAGCACCTCCAGCTCCACCTCCCTTCCTACCTGGTCTGCCAGGCTCTACGACAATCGACTGACCTTTGAAATCAGTGCCATTTAAGGCGCCAATTGCTGCATCGGCAACATCAGTAGATTCCATGTGTACAAAACCACATCGGTTCATGACATCGCACTCAACGACTACTCCGAAAGTGGTGAAGAGACGACGTAGTTCCTCCGGCTTGCAACCAGGTGGCAGGCTACCGACAAATATCTTGGCGGTCTAACACGAGCAGACGGTAGAGAATCAAGTTTGGTTATTTATTACAGTCATTTACTTACAGTCATATCTGTTTGGTTTATATTTTCTGTATTTGTTTTCGCGATTTTCTTTTTTATAAAACGTTGAGTGTATATAACCGTGTGACCGCCCTTTGAAAACTACAAAATACAGCAAATTATATCGATAACACACACAAATGCACGGCAATCGGTACAGATATTTTTCAAATCATCGACTATTTTGTTTACAATTGTACTATTTACAAGAATTTTGTGCCCATTTTCATTAATTTTTGGGCAAAATGTGGGCCACAAGCAACAAAGATAATTACTTCGTAAATCGGGACTACAACAAAAATGTGTTGAGCATAATGCCCTGTATGGAGATGACGGTTAATTTTTGTTTTAGTGGCGACGCAATGCGCGCCAAAAAGACCTGTTTACTGTACGCGGAGAAATTGGATTGCAAGGAGTTAATTGTAAGCCTTTTATTATCGCTGCTTTGTAAATAAGCTCATTTCATTCTCTGCAGCAATTACGTCTGGCCGAGAAGTGCGATCAGCGGCGTATGTATTTAACAACTGTGGACAGTGCACGGTTTCATGAGTTGAAACAGGATCAATCGCTGAACGTTACTTTCATGGGCTTCATAGACAACCTGGTGAAAATGCTTAAGGACTGCCAGGCGGGCAGCCTGGAGCTGTGGCTATCAGCCAGAGATGCAGCAACATCCTCGCCTCACAATACCAGCGAGAGCCAAGAATTCCACTTGCAATTTGTTGAGATACGTGCCTTCAAGAATTTGGTACACCTGTACCTGCCTTGCCGATCAGCACCGCTGAATACCGTGCTTTTCTATATGAATGCGATGTTGGATGCAGCACACAGGCAAGTTGCTGCCATGGAACAGAACACGCAACAATTACAACTGGAACTCAATTCTCGTGAATCACACGTTGAGCAACTGGGTGCGGAAAACAACAAGTTACGGGAAGCAATATCAGAGAACTCGCGCCAATTGGGTGATAAATACTCAGCCGACTTACAGGCAGTCCAGGACAAACTAATGAAGATAAATGAACAACGTAGCAATGAAATGGATCGCAATCGCCGCACGATCGCCGGCTTGCAAGCTCAGTTGGATAAGGCATCGCAGGATAAAGGCGAGCTAAAATCGCAGCTAGAGCAGGCAGAGAAGCGCAGTCAAAGTCTAAGCGAGGAGTTGTCCTGTAGTAAGTCACGTATTTGCTCCCTAAAAGAACAAAACGAGCGATTACAATCAGATGTGGCGGCTGAAAAACAACAGGAGCGCAAACTGGAGTACAAAATCACCGACTTAAAACAGCAGATGACTGAATTGCAGGATCAGATACAAAAGTGCAATAAAGAAAAGGTAAAGGAAGTCCAAGTTTTCATCTAGGTATTCAGAACAATGTTTTTTATATTTTTTATAGGCTAATGTAGCCGCCGAACTTGAAGCCGAGAAGAAAATTTTGCATACCAAGCGCCAAGCTTTGGAAATGGCCTCGGACGAAATTTCCAAGGCAAATCAAATAATAGTCAAGCGTAACCAAGAGGTTGTTGCTCTCAAAAAAACTATTGCATGGCGCACGGAAGTTGCTTTGCAGCAGGAAAAGGCCATTCAGGAGAATGAGAAGCTTCTCTGCCTACGCGAGGATGAGCTTAGGCATACACGAAAAACAATACAACAGCTGCAAGAGGAGATTCCAAAGCAATTGGAGTCGATGCGGCAGTTTGCGGAAGGCCTAGAAAAGAAGTACACAGCTCGTAAGTGGAAAACAAATTCTTAAAAACACGATTAACAAACATGTACGGATTTTCTTTAGAAATACACACGCTCCAGGATCGCTTGGCAGGGACCAGCAATAAGGAGAACTACGGGATTAGAGCAAACTCTGCCAGACGTAAATAGATTACCACCACATTATTTAAATTTGTATTTATTAAATTATGTATATTTTGGCTTAGTTATATTAAATGTTTTGCTATGGATATACACTAGTCAAGATCTTCCTGTGCATGCTCGCCGACATGGGCTGTGGCCACATTCACAGCCTGGCTTAAATCCTCCACCTGATTCAATTTCAGCCTTTCACGGATGAGCTCCGCAATCGCTTTCTGTGTGCGCCGTTCTAGGCGCTCCAATTTCTTGCTCACATCGCGCTTAAGATCCCAGTCAGGTTTGCGCGGTGCTAGGTTAGTAATGTCTATCTCATCAATGACCATGGGCTGATCCAGCAAGTTAAGCTGAGACTCAACTGCACTTTCGATGTTGCCCGTTGGCTCCTGGGGCAGCACTTCCCCCATAGTATGTTCATTTTGCGGCTTGTAACTGCGGAATATTGGCCTACAAAAGATGCAAATGTTTAAAAACAGCATGTAAACAATTATCGCCGGCGTACTTTGGCAATTTTTCATCAGATTCTGTAGATCCCGCATTTTGTGATGATTTTTTAGCCTGCTCACGTAACTTTTGTAGGCGCTCCTTTCGTTTTATAGACTCCTCGGCAAGCTTACCTAGGCTATTATTATTTTCCATTTTAATTATTTTTAACTTTAATGTAAATAAACTAAATCACACAAAACAATATCAAAGATAAAAGAACCGAAATCGATAAGTTAACCGATGGATAAGCAACACATCGATATTCTGCAGTTTGCAGCCCTAAAGCAAATGGATACACAAGCCCTATGAGTTGTTGTTTTGAGGGGGAGTCTGCAAGGGGGAAAAAACAATGTAATTTTTTAATAAATAGGAAATTGCAATCGCCAGATCGTTGAAGAACAATTACCAAAAATCTCATATTGCACATTGAATATTCTAAAAGACATCACACCAGTGAAAATTCCCGCTGAAAAAGTAAAAGCTAAGTGAAATTAGCTCAACACTTGCATATGCAGCTGCTATAACTGTTTTGAAACAACCGATAAATGGAATTAGCTGTACTATAAGAGAAAACACACCTAGTAATTTAATAGAGGTATGTTTGGGTTTATCTTCAGTAAATAATAATAAATAATACCTTTGTAAAAAAACTATAATCGTGCATTCATGCGCGGGCGCTAACTTGCATTTTTGTTTCTCATTTAAAGGGAGCCGCCAACACTAACACATCGAAAGAGCCACAAGCAACTGCAAATAGGCAAATACACACTGCAGGTGTTTTCAGCTCGTGCGTCTGTGACACCGTTTACCCGGACCCGGCGGCTGTGTAGCTAAAAATGGAGTGGACAAGAGAAAAGACGCTGCTGCTGATCAACGAGTATCGACAGCGGCGCGGGCTGTGGGACATGACATGCGATGATTATCGCAAGAAGGACGTCAAGCAGAGACTCTTAACTGAAGTTAGCGACGTGCTCGGCGGCAATATACCTATACAGGAGTTGGAAAAAAAGTTCCATACCCTTCGTACTCAGTATCACAGGGAAATCAGTCGGATGAAACGAAAGGAACCGTACAACTCCAAGTGGTTTGGCTTTAAAAATCTCAACTTTCTTAGTTCTCCTTACGCGTGCCGCTCTACGAAAGGGCGTTTGAAATCGGAACTACAAGCGGAGAACCCGTCCATGCAAAAGTACATATTGGGTGAGGTAGCGGGCAGTGCAGGTTCCAATAACGGCAACACAATGAATGATGATTATATTAATACGACTCGCAAGTCTCATGCGAGTAGTCGTGCGAAAGAACTGGAGAAGCTAATCGAAGAGACGACCAAAGATGTGGATGATGATGAACAGGATGTAGATGATGTAGATGCCAAACCAAAACTGCCCAAGGAACTAAGCGGTTCATATGTGCAACTGAACGATGATGAAGGCGACCCGCTTGATAGTCACGCACACCAGCAGCAGCAACACCACCACCCTCACCATCAGCCCATGCTAGACATGCAAAATCCGGCGAATGCCGTGGAAGCTGTCAGCTTTCAAGCCAATGAAAGTGGCGAACTGCATTATCAAACAACACCAACGTCGAGCGGTGGTAATACAGGGCCCGTACATGTTGTGCCCACGCGCATTATCAAGATACAGAGACGGGACACATCTAGCCAAGAAGATGGCTACTTCGACGAACATCAAACACATCATCAACTTCATCCGCCACCTCCGCCCAAGCGCATTTACTATGAGGCCAGTGGCGCACACAGTACCACCACCATTCTCTCCGCATCCACTTTAACAGCAGCAGCACAAAATGGTAATAGTGGCAATGTGCTAACCACAACTGCCGGATCCACAACGACCGGTACTCTCAGATTGCCTCGATTGGGTAGCGTTGTCAATGCAGCACTACCTCCGCCGAAGCCCTCTAGCTCACCAGTGCCGCCTCCGTCCCCGGCCCTGAGTTCGCCACGCGATGAATTCTCCACATATGGCGAGTACGTAGCCAATGAAATGCGCGCCATAAATAACAGGGAGGTGCTTATATCGCTTAAACATAAAATAAATACGGCCATATTTGAGGCGAATATGGCGGAACTGCAGAAATGAAACCAAGAAATGGTTTTCTTACAAGTTATCAATCTAAAGTAACGATTTTTTAGCGGAAATTTATGCTTAAGCCTAAAGTTTGATCTGTACAATTTGTCATCAACGTAGTCTAAATCGATCCTCCAACTAATGCACTACAGGCATTTGAAGTTTTATTTTCTTTAATGTTTTTGAGTTTGTAAATTTATATTACAATGTGTATATCAATTTCAATAAAAAAAAAGCCAAATATAAAACCTAGATGAATCGAAAAATATACACAATGCTCTTCTTTTCACTTCAAAAATTATCTTACTAAATTTACATTCATTAAAACATCTTAATACTTTCCTGCAGAAAAATGATTGGAAATCCAATATGCGATCCATTTACAAATTTGCCAGTAAAATTTGACATTGAGAATATTGCAGCCGAATTAAGGCCAAAGGAAAAAGCGGTAGAAGTTGAAAAGGACAAAGAACCACGCGATTTCCTACACCTTGAGGACAAGAACTGGGTAGTATTACCAAAATTTAAATATGAACTGGAGCACCTTATACCATCATTATCCCTACGAACGAATCCTTACATGCGATGTCGCTTTAGAAAATTTCTAAACGATGTGCCAGATTCATATGTGAAAATAAGACTGTACAGAGAAGTGGTCGACCGGTAAGCTACTTTTTTTTTCCAATTTTATTCAAATTAATCAACTATTTTTGAAAAATAAATAAATTCAGCATGCCTCAGCCAAGAAGAAAGTCGCTTAACGGCCAGTTCTATGGGGTGGACTATAAATTAGCTCCCATCCCCGCAGTTCTTAACCCGCGCAACTTCTCAGCATCAGAACTAGCGGAACAGAAGAGACGAATTAAGGCAGCGGAATTGAAAGCGACAAATAGCAATAATTATAAAACAAAGAAAGTTAGGTAGATGGATATTTAATTTTTATGCAGAATAAAAACGTTTTCGTAAAAAGCACAATAAAAATATTACGATGTTCTAGCATGTTAAAAACGTCTATTTTCTTTTGATAACCGATTTAAAAGCGCGGTAATCTTGTAGGTTGCTGTTATCGTTATCGGGCGCAACAGCTGTGCTCAGCCACAGTTAGAACAGAAAATCAATAATGCAGAAAAATATCCATTGAGGGCGAAAAATGTTTACAAAATGCATTCATTTCTGCTGTTTAACAATAATTCACGTTCTATTCACCTGTCTTTTAGTTGAAAACAGTCGTAAGTAGATAAATCTGTGTATGCATTATAAAAAGTCCATACACCAGCTTTTAACAATTGCATTCTGGACATGTAAATAAATGCAAAGTTTAGAATTACTCTAATTTTATCATCGTTTGAACTTGGAACTTCAGGTGCATTGGAGCACACGCTGAGTTATTACGAAGTGCTCCATAGAGATGATGTTATACATCGCGTGGTCAAGCGCGGCGTCAAGCAGAGCTCCAACCCCTTCAACACCATTAAAGAGGTGGAGTTCAAAACGCTGGGCAAGAACTTTCGCCTAATTTTGCACCCGCATCGCGATGTGCTGCACAGCAAATTCCGAGCATATGCGGTAGACGCTGATGGCAATGAGACTGTCGTCCATATGGGTAAGACAACGGTGCTATAAGAACTTGTGTGGTACGACTCACTTTTCCAATTCTAGACCGTGACAACTTTTATACGGGCCGGGTCTTTGGCGAGCTGGATTCTTCAGTGCGTGCGCACATTGAGGAGGGCACCATGACAATGTCCATACACCTGCCCGACGAAACCTACCACATAGAGCCTTCCTGGCGCCATTTGCCTACAGCTAAGCAGCACACAATGGTGGCCTACAAATCTTCCGATGTAAAGCTCAATCAGAAAGAGCACGGTGCGACACCGAAAACTTGTGGCTATGTTAAAGAGGGCCTCGAGCTGGAAAGTGCCGAGGACGAACTGGAGGACAACACAATTCAAGTTATGCATTCGCGTTCGAAGCGTCAATCGGATCAGTATGAGTACACGCCAACAAAGACGCGTTGCCCTTTGCTTCTGGTAGCCGACTACCGCTTCTTTCAGGAAATGGGAGGCGGCAACACCAAGACCACCATTAACTACTTGGTAGGTTATAGCAATAATAAATGCACACAAGCCTATTAACTTTTGTACATTACACAGATAAGCCTAATAGATCGGGTGCATAAAATCTACAATGACACCGTGTGGCAGGATCGCTCCGATCAGGAAGGCTTCAAGGGAATGGGTTTTGTGATTAAGAAGATTGTCGTGCACTCGGAACCGACGCGGCTGCGTGGCGGTGAGGCGCATTATAACATGATACGCGAGAAGTGGGATGTTCGTAATTTGCTGGAGGTGAGTCATTTGCTCCAATGTTCCAAATAATTGTGCTCATATAGCTATGAATCATTATCACATAATGTTCTGTACTTTCTCTTGTTCTACTTGTTACATCCGCTAAACTACATAACACAAAATTACATGAATTAAATATGTAGGTCTTTTCACGGGAGTATAGTCACAAAGACTTCTGCTTAGCTCATCTCTTTACCGATCTCAAATTCGAAGGTGGTATCTTAGGCTTGGCTTACGTTGGCTCGCCACGTCGCAATTCCGTTGGCGGTATTTGCACACCAGGTTGCTAAAATTCCAAATCAAGACTTTTTCATTATCATTTTCCTTGCGTTGTTTGCGTTTTCCTATTGGAATTTTTAATGTCTTTATTCTTTATCATGGCCGGATTTTAATTATATCTATTCGTATAATTCATTACGCAGAGTACTTCAAAAATGGTTATACACTGTATCTGAACTCAGGGCTAAGCAGTTCCCGAAACCATTACGGTCAGCGTGTAATTACACGCGAAGCGGATCTGGTTACGGCTCACGAATTCGGACATAACTGGGGCTCCGAGCACGACCCAGACATACCGGAGTGCTCACCCAGCGCCTCCCAGGGTGGTAGCTTTCTAATGTACACCTACTCTGTCAGTGGGTACGATGTGAATAATAAGGTAAGCCATAGAATTATTACCACTTCATTGTTTGTTCTTTTTAAACATGAAGTTTTGCACAACTCTATTCCTAGTACTAGAACATAAATATTATAATTTATTTTTTTATATTTTTAACAAGTTTATAAAATATTCCTGTTTATCTGCAGAAATTTTCACCTTGCTCTCTTCGCTCCATTCGGAAAGTTTTGCAAGCAAAGTCCGGACGTTGCTTTTCCGAACCTGAGGAGTCATTCTGCGGCAATTTGCGCGTAGAAGGGGACGAGCAATGCGACGCGGGTCTGCTAGGGACCGAGGACAATGACGCTTGTTGCGACAAGAACTGCAAGCTGCGTCGCAATCAGGGGGCCATGTGCAGCGATAAGAACTCGCCGTGCTGCCAGAACTGTCAGTTCATGCCTGTGGGCATGAAGTGCCGAGAGGCCCAGTACGCTACCTGTGAGCAGGAAGCTCGCTGTACGGGCAGCCATGCCGAGTGTCCGAAGTCGCCGGCCATGGCGGATGGTACAATTTGCCAGGAGCGCGGTCAATGCCGCGGCGGCAAGTGCGTGCCTTATTGCGAGACCCAAGGGTTGCAGAGCTGCATGTGTGATATCATTGCGGATGCCTGCAAGCGATGCTGTCGCATGAGCATCAATGAGACTTGCTTCCCTGTGGAGCCACCTGATGTACTGCCCGATGGTACGCCTTGCATCACAGGCTTTTGCAATAAGGTAGGCCCGTTAACGAAATTGTGCAATTTATTTATTATAACATGACATTATCTTTTAGGGCGTTTGCGAGAAGACCATCCAGGATGTTGTCGAACGCTTTTGGGACATCATTGAGGAGATAAATGTCGCAAAAACACTGCGTTTTCTAAAGGATAACATTGTCAGTGAGTATTGGGGCGTGATAGGCGATTTTCTGATCAATTCTTCGAGGCATATAAACATACGTGATATTTTGCAGTGGCTGTTGTCCTTGTTACCGCCATGTTCTGGATACCAGTGAGCTGCGTGATCTCATATTTCGATCGCAAGAAGCTGCGCCACGAAATAAAACAAATAGATTGGAATCACAAATTGGATCTCATTCACCCGAGCGATAGAAGACGCGTCATACACATACGGTAGAGTTCAAAGGTATATTTGTTATATATAGTTTGATCACACGAACTTTCCTTACAGCGTACCGCGTCAAAAGATGTCCGTGGCGCGAGCATGTAACTAGCACAAAAGACGGAGCGGTCATAGTTTTATCTTCCGTGAGCATTCTTCTCAAAACTGCCACAATTCTTTTGTATTAAGACATTTGAAAATACATAAATGAATAAAATTCCCTAAAGTACAGACCAATTTTATGCCATATGTATGTATTTACATTTATTCATGGTGGCATACAAATTTATTTTGTGCTCAGATCCACGCTTAACTAGGTATACGCTTCTATGTACTGCTTGTCTTGTTTAAGTCCAACTGGTTTGTTGCATTGTTAAAGTTTTTCTTATTACATGTTATTGTTATTTTTTGGAAAATATGTATTTCATTTTCAATTTCTAGCTTTCTAGGTAGAATTTGCATTACTTCTTTTTATTACTTTTGCCATTGGTCTGGGGCGGCACGTCGTCTTCGAAGTCAAGATCACTGCCTTCGTCTTCAGAGTATTCTTCATAGATTTGGCCATCTTCGAACTCGCCCAAATTCAATTCCGCCTGCAAAATTAAATATAATCATCAGTAATTAATATGTTTAAAAAATAATGTTCACAATTGGGATTACCTTGCCGCATACATAAACTGGACCTGTGCCCTGCACCAGTTTAAATGTAACTGACCCATTGGGAAATTCAACATTTGGATTCAAACTACGCGTTTCTCCAACCTTTAGGACAGCGATTGGTATTTTAACCGTTTCCTTGTCGCTTACTTTTGTTTCTGCCTGTAAACAATTTCATTATTGTTGGTTATCATATGCCTACAATTTGCTCCAGGACCCCCGACACACTCACTCAAATGTGCTCAGGTGTTTTTCCATTTGGCATTTTAACTTACCTGCACGACGTTAAATTCGCCTTGCTTAGCCTCCGGCCCCAGGAATATTTGTTTGATTATCAGCTTGTGTGAGTGAATAATGTATTCCTCGGGAATTTCGGGCACGTCAAACTGTGCAATGGGCTCTTTTTCGCTCAATGTGACGCCTAATGTTGAAAAAATTTAAAATGGTGAGTTCAATTGGTACGAAAAAAATGTTTGCCGGCGTGATATATACACAGATTTATCATGACATGGAGCTAGGTTGCGTCTAGCCAATGTTTGTACAACCATAACACATTGTTGCTTACCATAAAAAGATTCGGAATCCATTTTAATTGTTTTAAACCAATTTGTACAGTCAATTATAGGAAAATGCGAATTATATGAAGTACACTCTCACACGTGCCAATGCAATGGCTGCAGATAAATGAAGCGTTGTAGAAGATTTATTTGTAAGCACCGCTGTTTTCGATAGGTTACGACCGATTGCCGATGTGATTTTTTAAATGCTACTCAGAAATACTCATGCGCAGTTATAACAATTACTTTTTTGGGGAAAAAGTAAATTAATAATTGTGTTTATTTGTGTTGTTGAAGTGTTTTTTTAATAGGTACTATTTAAAAGGCTTTTGGCGAATATCTTCACCTACAAGTGGCCGATCTGGCAGCCTCGGTAACGCAATGCCATTCAAAGTACCATCACTATTTCGCCGTACATCCCTAGCTACCATTTTGCAAAAGTTTTTGCTCAACACGTGTTCGGCGCTCGTTTTATTAAGTTAAAAGGCATAAAATCATTAATATGGCTGATGAATTTTTCTATGGTAAGTGTAGAAACCCAGTAGCAATCGATTCCTTATGGCAGAAATCGCGCTTCAAGCGTTTTCACTATGTTTAAGTGCAGACAAGGGCGCCGGCTGCCGGCACTTTTGTTCAAGGTTGCGACTAATTAGCCAGTATACAATTGTATGTATGGGTTTTTTGTGTTAATCGTGAAATTGTACTCATTTTCTAGGTGTTACCTTAACTGGTGAAAACAGCAGCGTCACCTGGGATGTTGTGTCCGATGAGGATTATGTACGGGGACAGAAGTTAGTAATCAAACAGATTTTGCTGGGCGCCGAAGCCAAAGAGAACGAGTTCAATGTGGTTGAGGTGAGTGTTCATGCGTCTATCTGTATATGTGTACGTACGTGCGTCTCACCGTCTGTGAGACTGTCTGTGGCTCTGATATGTGTGTGCGTCGCTTTGTTGCTAGGGCAAGGACCGGTTCGTTTCGCCTTTTGCAACAACGCGCAGCAGCAGCATTAGTTTGTGGGTTAGGGTAAATTTTGTGTCTGTATCTGAAGCGCGCCCTCGTCTGCTGCTGTTGCTGTACATCTGAAACATGCATACATATGTAGATACGACAATCGCCAACCATGCTTAAAAAGCATTCGCTTTGTTTCGCGGTACTCTTAATGACTAACTAAAAAGATCCATCGCGAATGTGCACACATTTGTATAAAACATTTTTTTATTGACTTAAGACGAACACACTTGAAAGATGGGAGGGAAAGGCAGCGGTAGCCGCACTTGACTACAACGTTAGCGTTAACGTTGCGTCCCCGGTGCCTCCATTGTCGAAACTGGTCTGAGGTAGCGGCATTGCCATCATTAAATCTGTAATCGTCTTGGCAAAGTGGAATATACTACGCCCCTCTTTGTGAAGCCTACACACAACGCCCGCTGCCGCAATTGTCCAATTCCAGCAGATAAGCTCGCATTGCAACAGTGCCAGATCTTCACGCAGTGAAAGCAAATTCTGTACAAATACCAATATCGAGTGTGAAGAAACAAATACATACACAGCTATAGAAAGCAGACTTAATCAGTTATTTACCAGCGCTACAGTCGAATCAATTGATGAGATCTCAGCACCTTTGATAACCACGTGCGTAATGGCTCCCGCTTGCTCCGTTACGTAGTTGACAATTGATATTTTCAAGTATTCGGCCGCTGAGTAGTCGACATTCCCCTTCAACTCGCCCAGACAGAGTGCGAAACCATTGTACTGCATAATAGCATCGCGAAGATTGATATTAGGAAATGAACAAATCTAACCATTGTCTCGAAACTTGCCTTCTGAGTTTCCAATTGGAGTTGCGGTTTCATGCTTTTTTGCAGTATAAAGAGCGCATTGCATATAACACCCACTACCATTCCGTACTCCAGTGACCAAAAGAGACTGCAAAGGAGAGTGACTAGAAAGGGCACCATGTCGCGTTCTGTAAATCCAAACAATTCATGTAAAATGTTTCTCTATATTAATGTTCTCCCTATTGGTACGCTTACTTTTTGCGCGCCAGATTTCTCCTATGGTCTCGTACTCCACCATGAAGATCATGGCAGCTATAATGATAGCCGCCAGCGTGGCTTTGGGGATGTAGGCAAAAGTGGAGGTGAGAAACGCGAGTGTCATGAGCACCAGGGCGCCGGTAACTGCGCCCCCTAAAGGCGTGCGCACGCCACTCGCGTTATTGATGGCTGTGCGCGTAAATGAGCCGGTAATGGGCATGGATAATACAAAACTGCTGAAGAGATTGCAAAAGCCGAGTGCTATCATCTCCTGAGAAGCATTCACTATCTTTCCTTTGGCTGCAAGTACAGAAAGATTAAAGAGGGAACATGAAGAGAACATGAGCTACACACAGAAAGCTTTGGCCACGGCGACACTCTCCAGTATAGTCAGCAGTGGAATTGAAGCCATAGAAGCGCCCAGGCGTGAAAGCATGCCGCCAAAGCCAACATACTCGCCATCCTCATTCGTAGTGTGAAATGGCGGCGGTCGGAATGGAGGCAAGCCGGCAGTGATGTTGCCGCTGACGCGAAACGGTAAATCTCCAGTTGAACGACTGAGCAAATAGCACAGCAAGATTCCCACGAAGACGACCAGCGCATTGCGTGAGAGCGAGATATACTTGACTAGGTTGCGGTAGCGACAGGGGATGTCCTTAACTTTCTGAAATGAAAGGAAATGTTAGAACGCGCTCTGTGGTTCCACAATAGAGTGTTAAGCTTACACGCATGAGCAGCAGGAAGATTATTGTGCAGCAGCCCAATAATGCGTCGTTCAGCCGCACCTCGTGGATGTGTCCAAAGAAATTAATCCAGGAGGCCATAAACTGATTGGAGCTGCTGGATATGCCGAAGAGATTGTTGATCTGCCCACTGCCAATGGTAATGGCTGCGGCCATGGTGAAGCCCGTCACCACAGGCACGGAAATGAAGCGAAACAGTAGGCCCAAATTAAGCATGCCCAGCAATAAAATGACGCAACCGGAGAGAAAGCAAGAGAGCACCGCATACTCCGGGCTTCCGCCTACATGTGATTGCACCATCAACGACATGATGGCTGTGGGACCTACAATTCCAAAATTCAGGAACCATCAAAATTAAATTCATATTTACTCAGCTACTCACCCACTGTAACGTCCTTGCAGGTGCCAAAAAGTATGTAAATAAAACAGCCCATAAATGCCGAATACAGACCGTAAACGGCTGGCAGTTCGGCCACCACCCCATAAGCAATGGCCTGTGGTATGGTGGTTAGGCCCACTGTTAGACCGGCCACAAAGTCTACTATCAGGTATTTGGCTTTGTACTTGGGTAGCCAGTCGATGATTGGTAGATAGCTCTTTGCCTTCTTGGTACTGCAACAGATACACGCCTTGGTGCCCACAGAACCGCAAATGTCCGGCATTCGCTCCCGATATAGCGCATCTGTAAGGAGTTAATTTAGAATTAATGGGAGCTATCGAACGAAGTTTTTAACGCTACTCTGTATTAAACGACTGGCAGACTATTTATCACATAACGAAAATATTTTTATTTCTGCCCCTAAAGGCTATAAGCACCCCCAAATATCTAAGATACGTTTTTATCTTTTGAATACAAGTTATAGAAATATACAAATCTGGACAAGTTATTAACCATTTTTTCCTCCCACAACCATTACAAGTTATTATTATTACAAGTTTTTAGGGGAAGCGCATTTTAGATGTATTTACATTGCCATTTTTATAAAAATCAGTTTCTTTTTTTCACGTGATAAAATTCTGGGTGGTCCTTAGGCGATATTGTTTAATATTGGGCACTGAAATCTGTTATTGTGCTGGCATTACTGCTTGTATCACTGTCTATTTGATAATGTTTGATTGCTGTTCGACTTAACCGAAATATTTATCGGTCAGCCTGATCGGAATGCTTTATCTCCAGTACGATACTGTTTACAGCACCCGGTGTCTCGTGACAACTCGCAATAATAAATCACAGCCGCCATTGAAGCTATGGAAAGTTTTCGAATAGCCTTATAATGGGATATGTACGATATACGAGTATGTACGATTTGGGTAATAACATCATTGGCGGATTACTTTATTGGCCTCGCAATTAAAGATTTATTGTGTTTAAAAAATCTAGAGCATTTTTCCGTACTATCTGTATAGAACCTTGACTCTCATATATTTTAAGTGTTTGAACTCAAATCGCACCTTCGATTTCGCACATGTTGACGATGATTAGTGAGCACTTCTTTACAATTGCTGGCCCACTCAGGCGAGGGATGTGTTGTATTTGTTGTTTTTCCTCAACGTTATTATAATTACAAAACACAATTAATGTACACTTGTTAGACAAAACACATGACAGTGGGTCGCTGATTTAGACTTCCGGGACTCACTGGAGAAGAAATCGCCGTCACTTCGTTGGTTGTTGACGACTCAACCGTCAACTGACAAATGTGTAGAGCGTGCGGAGGCCGGTCCGTTTTCATTGAAGAGTCTCAGCTGCGTCGCTGCTCAAAACGGCGCCGGCGCTGGCGCTTCCATTTCGTTGTTGTCGTCATGGTTGGTCGATGTTGTTGGGCACCACATGAAGCGACCCATTTTGTTGTAGATAATTCGGACAGTTTTGGGAAGAAAATTGTGCCCCATGTTGATTAAAATGTAATCAGCCATTGTTCGGGAAAGGCTCGCACAAGCGTAATCAGAAAGTTAAACATGTCCGATCAGCGACTGACGCTTATAAGTATTTCAGAATCGTGCGAATAAAACTGAAGTACATATTTGTGCGAAGCATCGATGATTCAATGGCGTCAAACAAAGGTAATGCCCTCCACACATAAACAAGCTATAGGCAATTTGTGCGATGTTCCTCTATTTTAATTAAATGGTTATTCCCTGTTTTAATTTGCACTTGTGATTTGAAGAGTGCTGGACAAACAAGTGAATTCAACGTGCGATTTTAAAAACATTAAATATATTGCTAAATTGAAACCAATTTACGCTCTTTAAATTGCACCATTAATTAATTAACAAGTTAACATTTTATTAGCCCTTTCGCGCTAAACTGTTAATAACCCGTACATATTTTTAGACGGTCGTAAAATCACCAAAATCTTGCAAAATCCACAGCAATTAGAAGACAAGGTCGTGGCTCGTCCATTAATCTAAAGTCCAATAAAACATAAAGATAGGTATTTGCGTGCGAATCTCACTGCAATATACCAGTGCACAGTTCACATTCCATAGTTCCGGTCGATCGAGAGAACCTTATAAACATAGCTTCGAAAGAAATGTGAAATGAAATTAAGGGAGTAAGGAGTTGAGTAGATCTTGCAAAGTATCAGGCCGCGTTAAATGGAAGACATCAATTGAATCTATTGTAACGAATTTGGAATTATTAGCTTCGGGATATTATTGGATTTTTTTAATAAATAGTGCATGTTGGCAAAAAGTATTCTCAATCTTTTCCTAAAATCAGCATGACATACTTGAAAATTCGCTTTCAACATCGTTGGGATAGTCTCATCTGAATACTTTTACGTTTATTTCAATTCAGAGTTCTCAAAACAAGGAAAGACTTCTAATAACTCTACAAGCATACTCAAATTCCTATTAAGTTCGAACTTATCCAAGTTAAAAGGCAATCATTTCTCTCGAGTGACAATAAATAGATGTCGCATTTCTACAGAAGAACTCATTGATTTACCGATTCATTAAAGTTTGTTGACATCCATGTGATTAGATTACCTTTCAAAACGCATACACGGCAGTGGTTGAGTAGCCATCAAGTCCATCTAGATATTCTTTATCAGCATGAAGGGACGAGTCGATCCAGAGATCTCTATGTCTGTATAAATACTTGAGCTTTGGAATCGGTTAGTCGCACATCGACCAAACATGCTTTGTGGACTCTGCAAATGCATAATTGTAATGGTGAGATGAATGGTATATTTATTCTTTATAAGTATGATCGCAATGATAATCGATGCGTCGAGAGACGTTTTATGACTAACTCTCATATTTCTTGAAGCTTACAATATTTAAAACGTGCTCTGGATAGACGAAATTCTAGCATTTCATTCTTCTTCGATACTTATAACATCCGCTCCTTCACTGACACAATTAAATCAGTGCCAGTCCCCCTTATCTGAAGTTCATACAATTTTTGTTGAAATAAATATCAATGGCTTGATGAGCAATCGTAAAATTAATAGCCGCAGACCGAAGGCAATTTCTTAGATTAAGGTTGTTCAAAAGTTCCTAATAAAAGACTGGAAAAAAAAAAAATGATCGGCCTACCCGAATAGTTTCCCACTTACGTCTCTTTAGGAACCTATACTATTCACAATTCTACCCCACATCGATTTCACATTCCTAACACACGATAAATGGTCGGCTCGTTGGGCCATTTATAGAGGCCTATATTATTGGGAAAAGAAAGTATTTTAACTTTTTTGGATTTCAATTCGTGCAAATTTGAAATAAACTGTTCAGAAGTTCTGACGCCTGTTAAAGCAGGTATACATTTATAGTCAAGTCTACTATTTATGCTTTAATTGTCTCCGGTTAGTCGAGTCGTATGATTTAATGTTTTCATAAAAACGAATAAATGCGATATTGGTGCTTCAAGTGGCTTCGATAAGATCTGTCGCAAAAATATGTGTATATAATTAATGCGAATGAATCAGTTTTTGGTGCTAGATAAAAAAATATTTTAAAAAATCAATTCCATTCCGTTATTAAACTTTTTCTCCTATTGTTCCCACAAATCCATGCTGACAACAGTGAGAAGTTTCTAAAATTTCGGAAAGAAATCAATCCGATTCTGTCAGCTATGCACCAATTATAGTCACACACGTAGTAGGTCCAGCTAACAGATAAGAATCGAAAGTAATGAAATGTTAATTGATAAGTTGGAAAAGGAAAGGCAAATAGTGTCGTGCTATTTGTTTACAAGACTCATGGACAATCAGTTTTTGGAAAGAGGCAACCGAAAGTAAGTGAACGGTTCACGTTAAGCCAACGACGGATTGTGGATGTAGGCAAGATATTCATAAACTATAGCCGATTATTGAAGCTTCCAAAGTTATACTAAAGCGAGCGGAACTGCAAATATTAACAGAGATGTCAAGATTTGAGGCCATCCCTTCTAAAGATTGATTCGCAGTTTAAATTTTAATGTTATGCTTTAAAGCAAATGTGTGGAGGAGGTCCTTTTGAAAAATATATTTACTGTCACCACAAAGTCTGGAATATCGATTTGTAATTAGATACTTTACATTTTGGTAAGTTTTGTGGGCACTCCTTCTTTTGTTAATGAGTTGAGGGGCTTACGACAGCAAATTAGTAAATTGTGTTCTCGTTGTCTTGTTTCAGGTCCACACAGTGAAGGACTCTGTCCAGATACCCATTGCCGTGTTGAAGGCCGGCGAAACCCGTGCCGTCAATCCCGATGTGGAGTTCTACGAGTCTAAGGTGACGTTCAAACTCATCAAAGGCAGCGGTCCCGTCTACATACACGGCCAGACCATCAGAGACGATGTCGAGCCCGTCGACATGGAGGAGGAGGACGAGGATGACGATGTGGCCGATTTGGGCGATGACGATGAAGAGGAAAATCCCAAAAAGCGGGCCAAAATTGAGCAGAACGCCGATGGCAAAAATGCCAAGAACAAGAAGAAGTAAAGGCCACAGTCCCGGCCACAGATCGAAGTATAAGCTATCCTGTAGATTGTAAACAGTTTTAGGCCCGGGTACGTGCTGTGCAGAGCGCGTACCTATCCATATACAATATATACGTTATGTAAACCTTCAAGCTATGTTTAGTTCCTCACTCTACGTTTCTAAACTACAGACTCACACAGACAGATACATTTAAAAGCGGAATCGATCTGAATCTTAACATTTAAGCTGACCTCTTACGCGTAAAATGATATCTAAAAACGAAGCCCATTTTAAGTTTCTGAACTACAATTGAGACCGAAGATTTATATAACGCTATTTGGAACACACATTTGTATATATCAAATACATACAACTACAACTAAGCCAAATGGGAGCGATATAGTGCTGTTTTCATAATTGTGGGATGAAATAAAATTGTCGGCATCAAACTAACATAAAGCGGATATTTTAATTTGTACGGAATTGGGATACGTCTATGATTTGATTTACATGACGACGAATTGATAGTGACATGTCTGTCCGTAGAAACGCCTGGAACTTTGAACCACATAGCAACCTAACCTCACTTGTCTTGTATTCAGACGCAGAGAACAAAAAATATTTTTGTTCGGTGCAAATATCAGTCCTTGTAGTTTAACTTTTCTATTCATGATGATATCATCTTAAGCCTCTCTGGTAACTATGGGTTGCGTATAATATCTCATGGAATTCAACTTTTTATGGAGATATCTTAACAGTTATTTATGAATTCTTTCAAAATCGATAGGGGTATGTGTAGTTACCATAGCATTGGTACAACATGGTTTATTTTAGTTGGATTCTGGTTTAACGTTCTATTCATTATTTTCACAATTTGGTTTTATTTAGCAATAATTTGTTGATTCGCCGTGTTAAATCTAAAGGATATAATCATAATCGCAGTTCTATCAAATTAGTTGGCAAACAATTCCGGGAATGCTGCTTTAAAGGTCTGCTTCTTCTTGCTGCACTGAAATTGGTTTGCCGACTACCAGTTCTTAAGATGCCGCCGTTGCCTGGTGTGTGTGAGTTTGAAGATTATAGGTGTCCTTCTCGGTATTGGTTGCTTAGGGCGAGGGCTTGACCTTCAGGCGTTCATGGCACGCCTTCTCCAATGCCTCACGATGTTCGGGAGCCGCAATCTGGATCAGCGCATGCATACGCTGGCGCACATTCTTGCCGAACAACGAGGCAATTCCGTGCTCGGTGACGACGTAATGGACGTGGGCACGAGAGGTGACAACTCCGGCGCCTGGGAAATAAAGTTTTACGTAAATCTATTAGCTCTATTCATGGAAAGTGATCAGTCGGAGGACTTACCGGGCTTTAGGACAGGCACTATTTTGCTCTCGCCATTCTTGGTGGTCGAGGGCATGGCAATGATGGGCACTCCTTTGCCGTCAAGACCTTCGGCAGCGCCGCGAATGAAATCAACTTGGCCGCCGAAGCCAGAGAAGAAGCGCGTACCAATGGAGTCGGAGCACACCTGACCGGTTAGGTCAACCTCGATGCAGCTATTGATGGCTGTCATTTGGGGCTGTTGCTTCACAATGCTGGTATTGTTCACATAATCAATGGCGTACATCTCTGAAGGGATCAAAAATAAGGTTATTTTTTATGAAATTATTTGCTGATCCATTCAAGTTATATTCTTAAAGCTAACATTCGGATCTATTTAACACAAAAAAGCTACATTGGCCATCTGTTTTAGATGGGGTTAATCCTTTCGAATCTTTAAATTCTGTTTTCGAATTGTCTTGTCTTCTTCCCTTGTGGATGACTTCTATCTGTTGCGGTCCCTTATTCTTTAGAAGAAAAAACTAAAAAAGTGGATTGATCTAAAATTTCTTCAGCATATTGTTAAGATTTAAAATGTAACCATAGTCTTCATTTTTCAAATAAATTTTATTATTTCTGAAAAACCCTCAGTCAATCCTTTCAATTGTTTTGTCTTCTGCTTCACATAGATCTTCCCTTGTAGATGACTTCTATCTGCTACAAATATGATCGCTTATTCTTTAGAAGGTCTGGAGTATTGTGCACGTAATTGTTTTGATTGTATAATCGTCGCAAGTGTGTAGGTTTATATTTCGTATAATTGGGCCCTTTCCGATTCCAAGCTAACGGTAGTAGAAGGCGCCTGACATCTCTAAAATTTGTATATTCTTTTAGTAAGGCATACAAGTTAGTTATACAATATTACAAACAAAATATGGTCCACAGTTCTACCTTATAATAATGTGAAATGCGGGGGAATCGCCTATTCGTAAGATCTCAGAATCACAGAATTGCACTCATAAAAAAAATTATCTACCGCTGCCTGCAACTGCCTTCATTATTTACTGATCTAACTTAGCAGCGTTTTAAATTACGCTTAGTTGTCAACATTTGGATATCACTCTGCATACCCAGTGGACGGATTTGAATGCATATATGAAAAAAAGTATGCCTTTAGTTGCATTCTATAACTCACCGATAAAGGGATTGTTGTTGACAAAGTCATAGAGCGCCTGATCGCCAATCAGGAAGGAGCCAACAATGCGACCCTGATGCATCTTCTTCCGGCTGTTGGTGACGCAACCCTTCTTGACGAGTTCCACGACACCGTTGGCAAACATCTCGGAGTGAATGCCGAGATCCTTATGATTGTGCAGAGCAGCCAGTACAGCATCGGGGATGCTGCCAATGCCCATCTGAAGCGTAGCGCCATCCTTCACCAGATTCTCGGCAATATTCTTGCCAATCTTCTGCTCAACTTCGGACAGCTTTCCCGTGCCATGCTGGGGCAAATCGTCGTTGGTCTCAATAGCGAAGTCGAAGTGCGACTTGTGAATGATGGCATCGCCAAATGTGCGCGGCATTTTGGGATTGATTTGAGCTGCAAAACGGCGCAATTAGTTTGGATGATCGTGAAGCTCTCGCTATGTCTGTCATTCTGTCTCCGCTTACCGACAATCTTCTTGGAGTGCAGCAGAGCAGCACGGACGCAGTCAACACTGGTGCCCAGTGAGCAGAAACCATGATTGTCTGGTGGCGACACATGGATCAACGCCACATCGGGTTCAACTATCTTCTTGTAGAAGAGCTGGGGGATTTCGTGCAAGAAGATGTGCATATTGTCGCCACGACCGTCAGCCACCGCCTTGCGCACATTGCCGCCCATGAAGAATGAGTTCGTGCGGAAAATATCTGAATATTCTGGCTTGCAGTACTCAGCCGGACCCTCGGTGTGCATGTGGCAGACAGTGATGTCCTTCAGGTTATTGCATTTGCCGTGCAGGGTCATGGCATTGAGGAGGGCCACAGGTGTGGCGGCTGCGCCTCCAGCGAACACAGTGTCTCCTGCAAGGCAAACAAAATACGATCGTTAGTTGCTAGGTTCGTGATATATAGAAAAACTTTCAAAGTATCAATAAATGCACTTAAAAAAGCGCTTGAGACGCGTCTAAAGAATGAAATGGACCCGAAAGTTATGAACTGTCTCGGCCAACTTTGTTTAGCCTTGAGAAAGAGAGCCTCTAAATACAAACAGGACATTAAAAATGTAACTTTAAACAAAATAACAAGGCTAGGCAGGCTTTACCGTAATACGTTCAGAAAAGGTCTATCTTACCGGACTAACATGGAGTCTGCTATCTCTTTACTGAGCCCTTTACTTTATGTTCACCAATTTTAGTTCAGATACTATCTTTTGTAGAGTGCTATTGGTTGTTAGGCCACCCAGTTATAGAACCCTTCTTTAAAATAGAACATGATTCCTGAGCCATTTCACAGAATCAGCAGATCCCGATACTGAAACTCCCAATAATGGCAATGAGCACTTAGATATTCAAAAAGACCATTCCGGGGTACACCGTTTGTATACGTTTGATGAGATTCAAGATTCTGCAAGGAATCTACATACATATGTACGTAACGAACAGAAGGGGACGTGAAGGTATATATATTCTTGGTACCCAGGTTCTGCTAGGTCCGAGAAAGTACACATACCCCAAAACACAGATGCAATACCGGTAATGAAACTGTATTTAGTCTTTGCATTCGTGTTATATAAATATTTTGTTTTATTATTTTCATTTAATTAGTCCTTTTCGAAATTAATCAATTTAAAAGTATTTTTAAAATTTTTTTTGTGCCAGAGTATTCCCGAGTTGGGGCTTCTCGGCTCTAGCATTCCATTTTTGCCTTCCCTTCAATGTTCGGCCCCACTGTGACCATCAACTGTATATATTTATGCACATATTATGTACATATGTGTGTATGTAAGTTAAAATTGGCGGCGTCGTTGAACGCAGCATTTAAAGTTGATTTGAAGGCATTACATGCGCATCTATCTACTTATGTATTTATAATATGTATGTATATTTCTATTTTTAAGTTAGTTTACGGCGCATGCAATTGGCATCAACAAAAATTCGCTTTCTGTTGGATGCAATAACAAGTATAAAGCAAATATTGTATATAGGCGGTAAGGTTTTGTAAGTAAACCTAGCCCGTCTTCATAAGATGAAATATATTAAACATACAGGCATATATACTTTTGTTTCACTTAAACTTGATCATCAGATGACGCAAGTTCAGGGTCATTGAATAAACTTATTACTTAATCAACACACTAGGGCCCTATCTACAAATAAACATACAAACATTTTATGCCGCATGACTTTCTACGCACGCCCACCTCGAAAGCTTATCTAAATACATATGTATGTATGCCTTCCTATGTACTTGTACATACATACATATGTACGAGTATGTATGTATTGCGCTGCTCAAGAAACGTGCCAATCGAAATGCGTAGTTCTTGTTTAGATTCTTTTGGCAGGCCTTAGACTCGCTATCGTCACGGCATTTGGCTAAAATTAGTGCGGCAGCATTGAGACGACTAAGGGGGTGGGCTAACAAACATACGAATGTCTACATACATATGTACATACATAATACATATGTATGTATTTTGGTGTTGTTATGGAACCCGTTGAAGTGCAACATGATGTTTTGTTAATGAATTTTTGGGCACACAATCGCAATCAGGAGGCCTATAATCATGTTACATACATATTCACATCCACATTATGGTGTGTGTGTGTGTGTGTGCTTATGCTGGGCAGCTCTCTCTCTCTCTCTCATAGTGTTTCCCCAAACTGGTTTGATGATAATAGAGCTTTTGCGCCAAGTTCTGAGCGTGAGAGGGTCTCTTGCATAAATTTCTGTCAATTGAAATTAATTAAATCAAGTCGGCACCTAAGCACATATGTACATGTATGTATGCACATAAACTTATTATGTATTTACTTATGTATGTATGTACATACATATGTGAACCCAATGCAAGGTTATCAATCGATCTTGCATGGCCTGGCAGTTGCCGCTTGTTTGCCAACAAAACCTTCATATTTCATACAAATATACGCATACGTTGTCTCTTCTTAGCAGTTCTCACTAAGTCGGCGCACACACACATACATATAAAGCTAAGGGTTGCATAACCAGTGCCTAATACTTTTTCCAACTATGCATGTATGTATATGGACACATACATATATACATACGTGTAGGCAAATTTCTTATCAGCGCAGCTGCTTCTACGGCTGCGCCCCCTCTCTGCCGCGCATTGGCGATCTGTTTTCCATTGTCAGACCTGTTTATGAAACCAGGCCTCGGCGCTCGTCAATGCTGAGATCGTAGCAGCGTTGCCGGCGGTACAAAGTACAGCTTTTCCCTCATATTCGTTCTTTTTGTCAGACTGTGTTGTTTTAATGAAACGATTTTAATGCCCAGCCCAGCTGTGTGAATATTAATAAGTGTATGCATGCTTTCTGCCCTCTATTGCTGCCATAAAACTGCATACGTGGTTGCAAGTTAAACGAAAACCCAATAATAATTTGCGAGAATTGTACAAAATTGTATTCAATTATCTGCAGACTATAGAGCACCCTGTAATTGGCCACTTGATAAATAGTTTGCCTGAGTCTTGTATGCAAATAAAAATATACACATGCATGTATTTGTGCGTTTACAATATCCATGAGTTGCGCGACGCGCCCCCTTCCCAACCCTCACCCAAGCCATTATAATCAAAGTCAACGCGCGATTGCTTTCCACTATTTTTCTGAGCAGGCAATCGGTGCCTTCTGCCTGCCCCCATTACATAACACACATTTTTGCACTTCCACCCAGTCCACCAGCATAATAAAAAACCGCAACATCCCACCCTGCTCCCAGAAAAAAAGGCACGCCAATCTGGCAAGGAAGCAACTTACCAGATTTGATACAAGAGACCGCCTCCTCGACCGGCACTATCGGGGGCTCGCGGTCAATCGGATGCGACAATTCACGCACATAGGTGAAATAGTTGTTGTGGGTGGCAGCCGCATTCGCTGAGGCCACCTTCAGGAATTTGTTGGCTTGGCCCACGCGACGCGCCAGTTGTTTACTCATGTTTGCAGTTTACACGTACACACGCACACACAGACGGCAATATAGGCACTTTACGTTTAAGATTTGTCAGTTCTTTATTGCTTTCTTGAAGCTACTATTAACCGCCTGTTTGTGTGTGGATGTTGCTGTCAGAATTCCGGCCGTTCGCTCCAGCAATGCACTTGCGACTACCTAGTGGGGCTGGTTGTTGGTCGCCACCGCGATGAAAAGCTTTGCTCAAAAAGCCAACCTCAAGCTTTTTGGCGCAGCGCGGTTCTGTAATTGGCCGTCTGGCACGGGGTTTTGTCACGAATTTTGATGCTTACAATATATTGATGTTTAGTTTACATGTTAACTTTAGAAATTTCAAATTGTTTACCCCGTTTTTATTTTTATTATTTGTTTGTTCTTTCTAACGCTTTCACGCGTTTCGTGAGTTCACGATACAGCGATAACGATTACTCTCCGTCCGATAGCCGTGGAGGCTGGCAATACTGGCACCCGTGATGTGGCAGCCCTGAACAATTTAAATGTCCCATTCAAAATTTCAGCAAAAGTTGTGGCTGTTAAATTGGCGGTTATTACGTTAGGTTCTGTTTTATTAATTTAAAATCCTAAATACAAATTTTGGACTAACAATTAAAAAGTAACAATTATAGTAATTAAATTTAATATCAAAAGAACCTATCGAATTCATATTTTTACATACAGCAAAGCTTGACTATTTACATGCTTAAATGGTAGAAATGGTATTAATATGGTTTCATTATGTATGGGAATTCATTGGTACATTTAACTTGTTGACATTTTCTAGTTATATCGTATTGGGGTTATGTGGTATTACTTTATTTCCGTACGTAAATTACTACTTGACTAGTTGATGCGTTTGTTTAAACTCAGCTTCAATGACATACACTACTTACTGGTTTCGGCACAATCTGGGACATATCTATTTCAATTATATGTTTTTTATAGTTATTAATATAGCACATCTTAACGGCTTCGTTTAGTTCGGAGAATTGTAGGATATTGTAAGCGCTAGTAACGATTTCGATAGTCTGAATTGGACTTACGGTGCCTTCATCTTGGACGGAACCAAAACAATATCAAATGATTAGTTTCGAACTGAGAGAACGGCACAGTGTGAATTTTGAAAGAGATTTTTGACTTATTATCATTGCTTCTACAAATGTGACTAGAGATTTCAGTTGCAAAACGATTTGTGCTGCAACTGGAGAGAGTAACCTTTTGTATATACGAGTATGTATTTCTTTGTTTATATTACGAGTGGTAGTTTAGTGTCTTTATGCACAACTTTGCGTGGATTTCGTGTATCAGTTAGTATCTGCTCGCTTATGTAAAGAACTTTTTGGATTCTCCATTCATAAATACTAGGGTTCAACTAACACTAGTTTCGCTAACTTAATATTATAAGCTATATTTTAAACTAAGCTGATTTAGCTGCTGTTATAATAACTTTTTGGTACAATCGCCTTTATCGTCTTGGCAGCGTCATGTTTAAACACAACTCATGATCCCGTCGATCGCCCCAGCCGCCATTGCCTTTGCGCAGTTTCGATTTCTTCACCAAACTGGGCACAGTAAGGGTAAGCGAGCGCGGAAAGAGCTGATGCGATTTGCGCGCTATACGGAGCACCTGCTGCACTTTTGAGATAACCTGGTTTGATTCACAGTTCTTGTTTTTGTGATGAACTCCACTGCAAAGTGAGAAGAAAGGAAGAATATTTAAAATAACTTGAACTTGAAAAGTCTTTTCGACAATTGCTGCTTCTTCGCGCCCTTAACACTCTTTTAAGAAGTTAAAAATTGAATTTATGTAAGTTGTAAGCTGCCCAGATACTTACCACTCGCCAATGTGAAACACCCGAGGTCCCTTTACTATCATGGCGTGAAGTTTGTGTTGCAGACACTGCTGGGACACGTGCTGCAGCGACCAGTCCCAATTATAGTCGTCATAGCCGCAGAAGTGTCGCGCACATCTGCGAATGCCCAGCCAGGTGGTGCGGTTGAATGCAAAACCCATGTTATGCTTGCTGCTGACCCATGCCATGACTTCAACCTGGGGATGGGAGAGAGGACACGGTTACCTGGGCTGTTCATCTCCTCAATCTTATAAGTAGGGGGTAAAGGTAACAAATTGTAATTGCAATCGAAATTCATATTAGAGGAACAAAGACGGAGCGAAAAATGGGGTCATGCAAATTTTTGTTGTTTGAAATAAAAAAAAAGAGGCAAAATGATTGGCATAAAATTGAATTTGGTTGGATTGCAGCGATTTAGGCTAATGACGATGACCCGGCCCATGATCCGTTGGCAGGCACAAGCCAAGCTCTGACGTCAAATGTAGCGTCACGGCAGTGATTTACATAATTAACGATGAGTGGCGACCCCACCTCCGCCCTCCGAGAGATGGGGCAGTGTTCTATGTAATGGTGGTTGGTGCCTGGTTGCGAGCGCACTTAAACGTCGACATTATATTAATTGCTTAGGCATAATTTGATGATTAGTACTTAATATTGGGTAACGGTAGCCGGCAAATACCTTGCGATAGTCATTGTAGATGCCTTGTCTATCGATTTTAACGGCGCGTACACGAGCGCGCAGCTGTGGATCAGTCGCATGCGAGGAGTTGCCACAACCATAAACACAAAACAAACACACAAAATACACATACATATACATATGTAGGTAGATACGTACATACATAGATAAAGAGAGAGAGAGAGTTATTAAACAAATAAGTACATTGAACAAAACGCAAATCACAGAACCAAATGAAAATGACACTCAAAACACACTGAACAAACGACACGACATGCAAGTTGCCAAAGCAGTGGGCGTTGAATTGTGGATGGTGGGCGTGGCACGTGCAGGTGGCTTGTGATGATAAACTGAGTGGCGCCTACAACAAAAAAGAAAACTGTGCAGTTGCTACGGCAGTTAGTCGTGAGTGCTGTTAACTAAAAGGACTTGTTGTTGCTTTTGCTATTGTTGTTGTCTGGATTGGCAGTGCTACCTTCTGATAGACGGAATACAATGATGGCAGGACATGATAGCTCCATGTTTGTGCACCATTTTTGTTATTACTGTTATTGCTATTCTCATTGTTGTTGGTGTTGGATGTGGAGGAATAGGACGTGGCGGTGTTCTTTTTTTGGTTGTTGTGGTTGCTGCTGTTGCCATCAGTATCAACAGTGTCGCCCACATAGGCTTTCGCATTTTTAAATGATGTCGTTGATGATGATTGCGCTGATTGCGATGATGAAGAAGACGCAGCTAATTGCAGTGAGTTTCTATTATTGTTCCTATTATATCCTAATAGACTGTTTGTTGAGATCAGCGAAGAAGCATAGGATTTCTTGTTAGTCTGTAGATAATGTAAGCGCGCGACGGCGTTCATAGAAGTAAAGAAGAACGCAAATCGAATGATTTTTTATACACAGAATCGTGTGTACATATTGTGTTGTTGTTGTAGGAAATACATAAAAGAAGTGGGAAGAAAAAATTAGAACAAACATGTAAAGATATTGTATGACTTAAATGTATGTATGTATGTGTGTTGGTATCGTTGTATTAATGTAATTAGCACTACACACATTTTGCGTTAACATTGACTCTACAGGCGCCGATGCTAACAGGAACAGTGTGCGTAAACGAAGTTTCATGACATTTAACATACCCTTTAGCTTTACAGTTATTGTTTGCTGGTTAACCACTAATTAAAATGTTCTTTTTCACTTTTATCTACTGATAACCGTATAAATGTTTAACTATTGTACCAACTCATAAGGCTAGCTTAAATAAGCATAAATCATGATAAATATGTATTGTTTCGATTTATATTTGGTCGTAACGTAATTATTTTTGAAACAAGCTGTCCTATTTGAGTGTCAAAAAGTAGTAGTACTTATCAGAATTCACTTTAAGACCACAATAGACTATTAAATAATGCGAAGAGAGTAACGTTGTTCATTTCGAGTTGATGGTTGAAATATGTATGTACATACATACATATGTATATTACAACCGGATGCAGTCATTAAAAGACCGTCCTTTTAGAAAGGTTGGCAGAAATGTATGGCCTTAACCAATTTATATATTATATACATATATTATATATTTATAAATTACTCATTCCTGCAAAATTGAATCTAAGGAAATATTAACACTATGATGCTAGCCAGAAAATAATACTACATGTTTTTGTTCCTTGAAAAATACTTTCAAAAAAATGGAATTGCATATTGATTAGATGGATGTCAAATTAGTGGAGTCGTTGCTTTGTTTTCTAAATATTTTCTGCCACTTTTCTTTCTATTAAGTGACACGTTTCGAATATTAGAGATAGTGCCATTGGAGTGCTATTTTGTGTTTATGTTGATGTTAATATGTTTGTATGGAATGCGTGTACTTATGTATGTCGAATATATGTATGTAGTTACAATTACACTGGCAAAAGCGTTTTTAGTTTTGTTTAAATAAACAAAAGTTAAGTTACTGCATCTTGTGTGAGTTATTCAAGCAATTCATATTCTTTAGATTTTTTCTGACACATCCATGGCACTTCTAAGGCGAATCGATAGCCAATTATTTACACAAGTATCTAAGTGGCTAACTACCCCTGCTAGTCTGTGTCTTGTAGCTCACCTTGCTATGGTAGGTGTAGTAGTTGAAGGTCTTTAGATAGGTGCCCAGTGAGAGAACATTGCACTGAGGGCACAAGTCTTTGGTGCGTTTCTGCATCATGTCTAGTAAATAGAGAAAGTCTTCGGCTACGTAGTGATCTTCCTCTAGGAACAAAACCAGACCTGAAAAGAGTGCAGTTTAGAATCTTCTGGCTCTTCTGGACAACTCTTCTGCATGGCTCACCTGTGTGGAAACGAGTAACTTCAAGTTCGTTGAACACGCGATTCGCCTTCCACCACCAGTGATGCTTGGTCTGCGTGAACTTGGCCTCCCGATAGTGGCCGTAGAGATCCGGATATAACGCATTATTGCAGTTACGTATTAGGGCTCTACAAATGAGACTCGTTTAACTCAGAAGCAGGCTACGATCTAAGCTCTACTCACTGCTCCTTCTTTATGTTCCGAGGGCAATCGTTGGGATCGACGCCTGGGAACTCATTCGGATGCGTTTGTATGGAATACGGATAGAAAATCTGCAGCACCTTGCAAAAGTCAATCTGCTGCACCAGATCATTAATGTCATCGTCATAGTAGTCGTGCGAGAAGATCAGCAGTGTCTTCGATATGTCCCGCGCCTGCGCCAAACTCACGATCAGATGGCGCAGATAGGTGATGCGTGTGTGCACCTGCGAGTAAGAGGAGTTTCTAGCAATGCCACTGCGAGAGCCAGAAACAAGCGTCCACTCACCTGTATGACAATTATCACAGAATCGTTTTGCAGCGGCCCGAAGGTGTCCTCGTTCAGCACCATCTGCATGTCGTTGTATCTGATGATGTGACGCTTGATCTCCGTCATGTTGGGCGGATGATATACATCGAAGTTGATGGTGGTGGCCGCAGCGGCTGATGCGGAGCCACCCAGAGCCGCACCGCTGGCATTCAGCAAGAGCGCTGTCAACGATTCTTTGAAGATCTGAGCATTCAAAGCGCATATTCGAGGGCTCTACTTACCACCGGCCGCTGTGGAGTGGTTCCGTGTGTGTGGCGTTAGATATTTGTGCAGCGGTGCCGGCACCATCGACATTATGGCGTCCACCGAATCATTGGTTACCTCGTTAAGCACCGCTTCACGGTTGTCCACTGAACCATAAAACGAAGGAAACAGTAAATCTGTACTATATCGTATGTCCATTAACCTCTACTCAAGATGCTTACAGTAGTTAAAGTTGTGGTACTGCAACAGTCCGAAGATACATAGCGCCAATATGAAAATGCTACGCAGGTAGAAACTGTTGCGTTTGCGACCCATGGCGCCGGTATTGGGCAGCGGTATTAGTATGCGACCTGCAACAACATATATTCTACTTGTACTTCTATTCGGGGGCACACCTAGGGCTGGACACCATTCGTTTACCTCTCATTTTCGACATTCTCTGTCTGAATTTTTAGCTACGGTTTACTTCGCCAGCGCTTTCATCTGGAAAAATCAAAACCAAATGTTTTTCTTTGTTAGTCGCCTGAACACAGTCCAATTCCCAAACCTATTCTAATTACCGACTGTCACATTTTTTTTTTATTAAAATTTATGGTATGGGCAGAGATAGAGTTTTAATGGCAAGTCTGAACTGATTGTTTTGAACAAAACTGAAAGACCTAAAAACAATATCGTCAATTTTTACTTCAATGCTGAACTTATTACTTAGTCGCTTTAGAATGGAAGGGTTGAAAGTGAAAAGGTTGGTATGGTTCCTACAAAACATGATATAGCATTGTTAAAGCTAAGAGAATTTCCTCTATCTAGCTGCCTGCTCCAATCACTAGGTTCTCTGCTACGCACAGATTACAAATCTACCATGGGAATGATATGTATGTATTTCTTCACATAATCTTCGCTTATAAACCATTGATAAGAACCCAAAAAAATCGTTCGAAATCAGGCTTAACATTGAAGGTTTTCTCCCATTTACTATCATCTTGGGTAAATATGTTTGGACAATCTTTCCCTTAGCTTTCTCAACGACTGTTGGGAAACATTCCTTGGCACAGTTTACATCTTTCATTACAACTCCATAACTCCAAAGTGTATTCTTCAAAATGTTGTTTCTAAATCCACGAAGCTGTTTTAGAGATTTCCGTGATAAGCGCTGAGTTCAATATGGTTTCTTTAATTGTCGAGCTGTTGTGAGTGCTAATGACGAATAGTTTATGGTGCTCGTTTAACAATTGTGCTGCAAAACAGACCTACTATGATTATTTTCTAATTATTACTTATAATTACCTAAAAGCAAGACTGATTACAACTTCTAAGTATTCTTAGTATTTTATTTACTCAATATTTTAAACTTTACTTTGATCTTTTGAGAGAAGATTGGACAGTTTAGCAGGACGAGATAACATGTGTTCCTCTATTTGTTTCTGTGGGAAGTTGTTAAAATCTATCACTTTAGAATCTGAGCATAAGTTTAATAATAGGTTTCTTGAATAATACATTAAGAGTGCAATATTTTCTAGCTTCTGTATAAATACAGAGCTATTGTCCAGCCCGAGTAAGGTTGAGCTCAAGCTTAGTATTCGATGCGTATTACAAAAAATTATAAAGTTAAATTTAGACTTACGCGAACGAAGCTTCGGAGGTGTAAACAGAAGAGAGAATACAAACAAATCATGTGCCATTTTCAGGCTGAGATCATTCGGCGCACGATTGGAATTGGAATTTGAATGCTAATCAGAACAATGCGATAAAAAGCAACTACACGCAATGAATGGCCGGAGACACAGCGCGGGCCCGAGCCGGAGAGCCAAAGCCATAGCCGGAATCGAGACTGCGAGAAGTGCGCGAAAAGTGACGAGAATGCGATGAAATGCACACACAATGCCAGATGTGGCGGACAGTAGAACGCGTATACGACGTGTAGGCACTCGAATTTGCCTTTCTGATTAGCATTAAGCCTCGCCACAGGCAGCGGTAAGGCACAACAATTGCAAAACGCGGATGGAGAGGTTGGGGTTGTATTGGGTTGGGCGAGGAATTGCGTGGGTCGTCGTCAGCTGTGGCTCTGTACTTGTAATGTGGACGTACGTGGGCGGTCGCGGTCGCCCTCGCAGTCGCAGTCGCAGCCGCAGTCCACCTCGAAGCAATTGGGCGTAAAAATAGATTTGGCGAGTGCGTCTCTATAGTTATGAAATAATAAAGTAGCTAGGAGGGCAGACATCATCTAATAATTTTGCATTACTATTGCCCTGTTCCGAGCACTGTTATTCACTATATTTGCATACCCAAGAAATGGGAATGGAAAATACTAAAAGCCTAATTCAATCTAAGGTTGTGTGAATTGGTCTACATGGGTGCTTCGCCGTAGCCGCCAATTAATACACTCGGCAAAAAAAAATCCTACATTTCAGGCCAAGTCTTTTAAGTAAACAAGGTGTGTTCCCAAGTAAACAGGACTTAAAAAAAAAAAACAGAACATGTTTTTTTCGGGAAAATCAATTTATTTTACTCAAAATAGTCTCCTTCTGCTTCAATACAGCTTTTTGTACGATCCAAAAGCATGTCGTTGGCCGGTATGGCCGCCAGTATGCCGGTGCAAGCCTTTTGAATGGCCTCTAGGTCTGCATAACGCTTTTCTTTCATGGGCAAATGCATTTTTCCGAAAAGGTAGAAGTCGCACAGTGCCATATCAGGTGAATACGGCGAGTGGTTAATGGTTAAAATGTGATTTTTGGTCAAATAATCGGTCACAAGTGTCGTTCGATGAGAGCAATTTTTAGTCGTCAGTCAATTTGTGCGGAACAAACCGTGCACACACCTTTCGTAAGCCCAAATGTTCGGTCAGAATGCGATAAATCGATGTTTTGGAGATGTTCAATTCCATTTCCATCAATTTCAATGATGATTTCGGCTGATTTTTGAGGAATTCACGCACAGTTTCGATGGAATTTTCGGTGATCACGAATTTTGATTGGCCCACATGTTGATCGTAATTTATGTCCTCACGACCACTTTGAAAACTTTGAAACCACTCGTGCACTCTGCTACGGGATAGGCAATCATCGCCATAAACTTGTTCCATCAATTGAAGCGTTTCGGTAAAAGTTTTACCAATTTTAAAACAAAATTGAATGTTGGCTCTTTGTTCGAAGCTCATTTTCGCACCGATAACACAAACATACTGACACTTAAAACGCAATAAATTCACTTCCAATCTATGAAACGTCATGAAATCCTCACTGGACAATCGATAAAGATAGCAGATTCTAACGCACATATAGATAGCGCCACCAGGGGGCGCTAGATTCAAAAAGTCCTGTTTGCTTTGGAACACACCTTGTATGAATAGGTACTTTAGTACGTTTTGTCTGTATCGAAAATAGGAGACTGACGTAGGTTTCATTCGGCGGTCTCAAAGGTTTCTTCATTTATCAAATTAGCTCAAGAAAATTTCTTATTTTGCACAAAACCGTTTCGATTGAAGGGCTACTTATTTTTCTTAGAAATACGCTTTCCACACTTTTTCCATCAACATGTATATTTTCAATGATAAGTACTACTTCCACTTCCCACCGCACTTGGAAATTCTTTTAAATTGTTGCCCCTATTTGCCAATCATTCTAGATTCAAGAACACTCAAGTACGATAATTACTTAAAAAGCTTCAGTACAAAGTGGCTTGAACTCAAACCTAATATGTCTAGGAATTATTGTTCTACACACTCTGTAGGTACAGCATAGCCTCGATAGTCCGGACAACTTGTGTTCAGCTAATTTCCAATAATTAATATGTCGGATAACATGCAACTTATTTTTATTGATTACAAATGTTCTTTTCATAGCAAAAGCTTGATAAGGGAATTTAGAAATCTTCATTTTCCGAATGCCAACTTTTGGGATAATTCAGTTTTAAAACGTCATCAGTGGAATGAAACTATCGTGGTTGCACTGTACTTGTTACTTGGAATGCTGTTAGTCGCAGACAGTTCTGGCCAGTTTTGTTGATAATCAGCGAGATACGATATAAAGCAGATCTGTAGACCTTAAGCCTAGGCCCCATTTGAGTGGGATTGTAAAATTTCGACTGCAACGTAAGGTGCTGCTGAATAAGCGAACTATCTTTTAAGGAAGATAAATAATGTTATCTATATAAATAATACTTTTTCATTCTCAAACATTCAGATACGATATTTAGATAAAATCTATTTAATCTATTATTATTTATTTTAGAAGCATGATAGAAGATAAAAAGCTGTTTGTTTCAAGCGGAATGAAATATTAGAGATGTTTTCTGCGTCTGTTGAATTCTAAAACTAAAACGTAATTTTGAAAAGTCAAAGTTCAGAGTGTCAACTGAAAGTGTAACTGTTAAGTAAATAATAACTGCTTCTAGTATTCGCTAGTTGTATATAAAATATAAGTGGAGTAAAGTGAGAAATTAAGCGCCTATTTATGCTCAGGGATTTCACCATGCATTGTCACAATATCAGTTCCAGTATTCAATATGGCAACTATATCGATTGCCAAGTAATGAAGAAAAAACAACTCAAATCCAACTTCGACGAACGTGCAGTTAAATGCTCGCAGCTAAAGTTCAGCAGCAGTTCTAAAATTAGAGCTAATAAGTGACCAATTAAGGCAATTTAATTAGCTTGAGTGCAGGTTTAGAATTCCAAATGACTTAAAGGAAATGGCCCTATAGTAAGTTTAATAAGTTATTGAAAAAAGGTCCCACTCTTTATTAAAAAGTCTCAGAAATGTAATAAGTCTTACAAGATTTCGTTAATGGGACTTAAGAAACTTAAATATAATACAATAAAATAAATAAATATCAATAGTGGGCTCTCTTCACGCTCTGCTCACTCCACACATTGGTGATAATTACAATGGAACTATAGTATTTATCTTTAGAGTATAACCATGAAATCAGTCCCAATTCGTTTATCTACTCACCATTACCTGCACTACAAAAGGACAAAGGACAAGCAAAGTTTTGTGAAAATGGCGGCACGCCACTCAAACCATTTTATTAATGAAATCAACCGATTTCTATAAATACCTTCCACTAGTACTTAGTATGTTTCTATGTAAGCATGACGGTGGAAATGTGGAAATGAATAAAAGATAAGTCAATGCCGACATAGTTTTTAAAGGGGGGCGGTGCCCGTGCGGCCCGCCCCTCAATAAATACAAAGAAGTTATAGACATTTAATAATATCCACAAACTCGTGCGAGTGATAGTCGAAAATTGAATTGAAAGAAAGGAACAATTACGAGATACTCCTGAGTAGGTGTAGTCTGATTTTTTTTATATATATGTATATATATTTATTTTTTTTTTTACTTCTAGTTTAACGTTGGAAGCTTTGTCAATAAGTTTCAGTAAGAAAATTAAATAAAATTTAGCAGTGAGAAGTACTTAAAGCACTACCAAAATCACATTGTAAGACCCTAGCAGAGTACAAATTGTTGTATACCAGAAATTTATCAACAAACAACAAATAAAAAGTCCATATATAGCTATCCAGTAACACTATAGTGATTCATAATGTCATAGCGCCTACCAGCATTAAATGAAATATATGCAAAGAAAAGATGAAAACAGCAAGAACGAGCTTTAAAAAATACAATCTTATACAAGTATATAGACGTATAACAGAAGTGACCAGTATTGGTGATAGTTCTAGATCGCAAAACTATTGTCCATAATGGTCACATCAGCGATTACGGCGGTAAATGTGAAAACGAAAGTTTCTGATGTGCCTTGGTGGACTCAGACTCTTATTTGTGCTTAACATATCTATATAGCCCTATATAGTAGTACTTAGTCATGTTGAAAATCGGTGAAAATCACTGGTGGTGTTTGTGGTTTTTTGTTGCCATATGCCACAATAAAATTCTCATCCTTTGCGTGCCAAGTATTTAGAGTACAATTTGTTGTGGCTAATAATTTGTTAAGTTGATTAGGTCGATTACTAAAATGTGGCTACTTGAGGTTTGAGGTCGTCTATATGTTGAATCATTCTATAAAACCCCCAGCTATCACATTGTGTTGAGATATAATGCTGTTATGCTATGTAGGGGTCCCAACCGCCTACATTCGACAAATAATATTCCGCCAGGAATAAGACATCCATGTGCAAAATTTCAGCTTTATGTTAAAACAGATAGACCAACAGACAGACATCGATGTGTGGGCTCATTAATGTTTCTGGGCGTTGCAAAAATCACAGCAAATGCAATATACCCTCTGCTTACATATTGAGAGAGCATTTGAAACGGGCTTTTTGGCTTCACACTTGTAGTTAAGAAACATATTGAACCACAAAAACAGCTAAATTCACACCCGGAGCCTTGCATTGTTAAGCCAAACACATACTATTTATTTATACTTATGTAAATAAATATGTTTGTATGCATGTACATATGTATAAGCGAGTGTGTGTGTGTGTGTGTGTGCGACTCTCTGTTTTGACAATTTGCGACTTTTGTGCGCTAATTTATTAACCACTCTTAGCGCTTGGCGCTTGATTTGCTTCTTAACCCATTACTGTCATTTTTAGGTGTTGAAGGCCAAGCTAGTTTTCTTAACTTTCTTGTCTATAATTACACATTTTTGGCTTGCTACCTATGCTGCCTTTCTTAACCCACTACTATTACTTTTATTTTATGGTTTTGCTGTGCTGCCCATTAGTGCTATTTTGGTTTTCTTTCTTCATACATTTTCTTTACTGCGGAAAGTCCTGTTCCTATTTTTCCTAACCCTATGCTTTTGTTTCTCAATTTACTGCGGCAAGCTGCTTAACCCCTTACTAATATTTTACTTCTTGGCTTGCGGCGGCGAATCCTGTACTGCCCCTCTTAACCCTTTACCGTCACCTATCTTTTTTGACCTCACCTTTGAAAAATATTAGCAAGTGCTGCAATTTTCGTTGCTGCGTCTGCGTAGGCGTCTGCGTCGGCTTCGACGTCCACTGCAGCTGCATGCCGTCGACTTCGCCACTGCTATTATTGTTGCTGTTGTTGTCGTTGCTTCCCTCCTGTTGCGAATCGATTTTTCAGGCGCCCCAGGTCAGATTGCAGTTCTGAGAGTGCGAGTGCGAGCACGAGAACTGGGATTGCGTTCCAATTGCTTCCGCGGGGACAATTTGCAGCATTGTGCAAAAATTAACTCGCATTCTAAATTGATTTAGTTAATTTGTTGGTTCGTTTGTTTGTTTGTATGTCCATATGTATGCATGTATGTACATATGTATGTACTGCATATGTGGTCGCTATTGTTATTGGCAGTGCTGCTTCTGCTGCTGCTGCTGCTTCTGCTCGCGTTTTTGTTGCGACATCTTTATGCATTTGCGATACACATACATAGTGGCAGCTGCTGCGGCGGCTGCTGTGGCCACCAACACACACAACGGGCACACGGGCATCGCTCACACACGCTCCGGCTAAAAGATACAGATACTTTTGTTGCTACATTTCACCAAATTCAGGTTCGCGCGGTTCCGTTTGATTTCGATTTTCGCTTAATTATGTGTTTTATGTAAATGCCCGGGTATTTCGCTTTCATTGACCACCACAACAGCAACAAAACAAACACACAGCACACACTGACGCACGCACACTTTAAACTTTTATTGGTTGTCCGCTGCCTGCAGCTGCCTCCATTACTGTTGTTGCGCACGCAAAAGTATCTCACGGTACGCGCCTTGCTACTGAGCAGCAATCACCACCGAAAATCGGAGGAACAGCTGGCGCTGCGGGCTCGGCTCATTCAAATCGGGCCCATTGAGCTGAATGGCTGAATACCTTAGCCGGCGCTGGGAGAGAGGCGCGTGCTGCCAACCCCGGCAAATTGGCAATCACTAGCAGGCAAGTGGACAGGCCTTTGGATGAGCGCCAATTTTGAAAGCTACCTAAACATATAACAGTTCAACAATTACTTTGTCTACTTGACAACTGTTTGGTTATTGGAATTTGAATTACCTTCTTTATTCATTGCTGATGCTGAAGAGCTATGTATTTCCGAACAATTCTGACGACTAGTCCATTAATTGCATTTTGTTTACGAGTGCAAACGAGAATTTGTTTTATTGCAATTATTGCGCTTTTTACCGCTGAAATCAAAGATTGTTTACGACTAATGTATTGTTATTCTTTTAGTAATGAACATTAAAAACAAATAAATTTGTTCTCAGTACATAAGCCTTATTGCCCGGAGCTAGTACTCACAATTCGTATTTATTCAACATCTGATTCAATATTTTATTTATTTTTTTATTCATTCACATTTCAAATTCAATTTAGTACATTAAAGTATGTAGGTATTTTGTACAACTCCCAAAACGCTAGTAACTTCGCTTTTGATTTTGCTCCATTCAATCTAATCTGAATTTTATTGGAATACGTTTCGGTGATTATCAAAACGTGCTTGTTTAAAGTTTAAAAATAGAAATTTTTTTTAATTTCTTACTGGCTAGTTGATTAGGACTCTTTGTTGCTCCCCTTGGTACCTCCAGCAAGTGTTTAGACAATTCCAGTTAATGGTCAGAATAAAGAATAAAGTTTATTAAGTGTTGTATGTATGTACATTGATAAATTCATAGAGAAAATTTGGTTCTTAACCATTGCACAGCATTCGCTTAGTTTCCAATAGAGGCCACCTGTTCGGTCTTGGCCTTGATATACTCCGGATCACCTAGATAGGTCATCGGGCTGATCAGTTTGCCCGTCTTTATGTCGAATTCATATACACAGGGCACGCAATTGGGAATATTGACCTTGCTGATTGCTTCATCCGATAGACCTAATGGACGGAAGGAAGCCGCTTTAGCAATTAGGTGGTGAGTGGGTGCTGGACAATCCTCACCTTCAATGTGCTTGATAAGCGCTCTGACCACTGTGCCGTGCGTACAGACCAACACACGCTTACCATTCAGCATGTCCTTCTTGATCTCGTCCCAAACCGGTAGCACACGGTCCGAGCACATGTGCATGGATTCCGCAAAGGGAAACTGATCGGCAGGAACATCGCTGAAGGAGGGATTATTGCGGATGCCGAAATAGTAGGGGTTCTGGGGCGTTATGGAGGGTGGCATGCTATCAAAGGCACGCCGCCAGTTCTGTACCTGCGCCTCGCCATATTGATCCGACATTTGGCGCTTGTTGAATCCAGTCAGATTGCCATAATGCCGCTCGTTTAGTCGCCAGTGCGACTCCACGGGCACAAACGAGGACTTCATCTCCCTTAGTATGATATCTGTGGTCGTCTGGGCCCGGCACAGCGTTGAGGTGTACACTTTATCGAATTCCAAATTGGCGTTTAGCAGATTGAGGGCAGCTATCTTGCGCGCATCCTCCATGCCTAGAGGGAAGAGCTTTCGTAACCCAATTCAATTCCATTTGCACCTTCTACTACTACTTACCGCCCTTGCTCAAGGGCGCATCATGCCAGCCGCAAAACTTGTTCAGTTGATTGAACTCGCTCTCGCCATGGCGCAGTAAGACAAGGCGGTTCGTTTTCATCATGAATTGGGAGCTATAATTAGAAAGAATAAAACGAGTGGTCATGCATGCCCAACCACTAGAACGAGGCTAGCACTCTGATAGCCACAATGTTGTTCGATCAACAAAGCGATGCGTTAATGGGGTTGCTTCACTCTTTCATTCATTCGCACCATTTTCGATTGCAATCAGTCATTGATAAAAATTAGCGTTTATAAATTAAATTGGCCGACACGATTATTAAATTCGTATAGTATTTTATTTAACTAATTTGCTTACTTATCTGAATTTTTACTCAATAAAAAAGTAACGCTTGAGAAGTAGAACGCTAAGTCATGCCAGCCCGACCTTTGTGTACCCTGCACCCGCCCCTCTCTTCACAACAGTTATTCAAATAAAACAAACTTTGTTGAACCAATCATTTTCATGACAGATATATGATAAAACGTCAGAAACGTAGAAACAAGAATTTTCAACTTAGCTTGATTTCTGCAATGGCATTAATAAACGAAAAAGTCTTTCTAATTCGTTTGATTGTTGCATCCATCGTTCCTATGAAAGCTAAATCAAGTGATGAAGCTGTATGTGATTTGTAGCAAACTTGCTCTGCGTAGGGATAAGACAAGCCTATGTACCATGTTTGGAGTCTCCAACTGTTATGGTTCAAAACTTATCGATGTTCATACAGACGGACAGACCTACATGGCTCTATCGTTTCGCGTCGTCATGCTGATCATGCACATACTACATGTACATATGTACATATGTATGTACTCCTACTGCTTCTATTAACTGGCGCTTAGACTTTCCTTCTGCTACAGGGTATAGCAACTTTTTAAAGGTTCAAAAACTGCTTGACTCAACAAAAAGGGCTGTGACTTGACTGTCAAAATCTTTTTGCACTAAAATCTTAGCGAACCGTCCTCAACTAACTCAACTCAACGTTTTAATAACAATTTAAAATCTACCGAATAGTCGAATTAACTTAAAAGTTACGTTCTCTTGTACGTGAAAGAGTATTTGTACATGAATTATGCTTAGGCTTGCTTATTTGGTCTCTAAAGCTCCGATTACTTGCCCAGAAACACTTTGCAATTAGCCACACTTTGGTCGGAAGTAAGATCCGTTCTAAGCTCAGCATACGCGATTTAATGCCAATTAACGCCTTTGTTAGAGCGTCACACGCGTTGGAGAAAAGCCACTACGCTACTCTACTCGGGTTGAAGAGATCTCGCCAACTACCTATTTACGACTCACGCTCACGGCTTCCCTTGGTATTTCATGAAACGCGCATTCCTCACATATTTTTGCTAGTGTAGCTGTATCTCGTGGATATGCATACATACATACATACATGAACACAGCTCTCGCAATACAAAACATAAAACATACATACATATATACCCCTGTAGTACATCGGGCATTAGAGGTTATCCCTCAAAAGAATGAAACTTATTAACAAAGGACTGTTTCACACGCTGCTTGATTGAAAACGTATTTACGTATCAAGTGAACCGAAAACTTAGAAACAATTCTAAATATTTCTCAGGTAATAAGATGTTATTCAGCAGCGATAGATAGTTTCCTAGCGCGGTATGATTAATGAAAAATAAAGTGATTGGCTCGCAACTGATTTTTTACTTAAGATTAAATTTGTTCGACATATTATTGAACCATTTTCCAAGAAATGCTGTAAAGCTTCGATTTTTTTTTCTTTTGAGTAACCTGTAAGCTAAGTTAGTATTTACGTTTTTGTTTGCTCTATTTATCCTGGGCAGGACATTAGTTTATAGTTTTTGTTAATTACATTACTTTACATTTGCCAACAACGGAAGGTGTCGTGTTTGTTCGCACCAGTTAGGATTTACAGATGAATTGACTACTGAGGGGCCAACGCCCACAACTGCAGGGAATGAACATGTATGCATGTGAGTATGCGTGTGTGTGTGTGTGTGTGTCTGCTGAACACGCAGCTCACGTTTATTCTCATTCTTTGTTTTGCTCGGCTCATTCGTATTGCCGTTGTATTGTATTTCAGTTTTTTTCTTGCTTTTTGTTAATATTTTGCGCGTTATTGTTTTCATTGTTGTTACACACATCGTTGTTGGCATGTCTGGGGCCCCTTTGCGTCACTCTACCTACAATATACATAGTTTATTCGGACACACACATACATACATATGTATGTTTGTACATACATAGGCATGTTTGGTGGAAACACTTCCTATCAAAGTTTTTTGAGCTTAAGAGCTGCGCCCCCCCCCTCCCATTGAAGAGCGCGCGATAATAGTCGTACTTACGTCTGTGAAGATTTATGCTCAAGTGTGTTATTGTGGTTATTGTTTTTATCGTTGTGCATTGTTTTAACGTGTATTATTATAATAAAGAATATATTGTTACTAAGAAATACGTTACAGTTTGCTCCTCAAAAACTTGAAGATAACCATTATTATTTGAACTTGTCGCTCGGCTGTCGGTGTTTATTAGCCTCAGCCCACTCGATTCCAGTTGACGTTGACGCGTGTCTGTATCTGTGTCCGCGTCTGGTGCTGCAGCAGCTGCGTTTGCTTTCTTCCGAGTTCTCCAACTGAATCAGAACCCACAAAAACTTCAACGGTCGTATACACCACACACATACACACGTATACGTTCGTTTGTTGTTACTGATTCTGGTGGTGTCGCTGTTGTTGCGGTCTGTTAGCCAGAAATCGCTGCTGTTACTGTTAGCTGTTGCTGTTAATGCTTCTGTTAAGCTGGCGCCTTTGTTTTACAAATAATCAATAAGTTCTTACGTTGCAATTTTGAATTTAGATTTGATGAAGAATTAAAAAAAAAAAACAACCTAAAATTGGCTAGCCAACTGAGAGTATTTTTAATTAGATTACATAATAGTACATGTATGTATGTATGTATGTATGTATGTATGTATGTATGTATGTATGTATATATGTATGTATGTATGTATGTATGTATGTATGTATGCATGTGTTTGTAAAGTTAATTACGTAACAATCATTAGACTGACAAACTTGATGCATCGCACTGATATTTTGCTACAACCCTTCTCTCAAGTATGGTTATATATGTACATATGTATATGTATATCCTAGGGTATGTAGATATGCGTAAGATGCTAGGCTCACTTACATACAAATCAAAACAGCTGCTGCTTGCGAATTGATTGCAAGGTGTTTTGGGTAAAAGTGTAAGCTCTGTTAAAGTTATTATTGGTATTGTCATAAAGGTTCTGGAGCAGTGAATTTTAATTTCTTCTGTGAAAAGCGCACTACTTTGCAAACAAAAGGCGCACACACGTCTGCCACTTGATTTCGGTGCGGCAAAATACGTATCTTCGAAAATATATACATATGTATGTACATACTACATAATAATAAGTCATACATAGTATATTGTTTTCCGATTCACGTGAATATGTCAGGCGGTCGTATCTTGAGATGTGTTTGTGGAGAAAAGTGCGGTCAGAACGTCGACAAATAATTACCTTTAGATCTGCAAGCAAGCCAGATAACAACGAAGGTCGAGTGTGTGCGTGTCAATATATTTGACTGATCAACAGGCGAGTTAGGACGATCCGTTTCAGCCGAAAGCAGAAGCTAGACTGGTGGCCGATGCAGCTGCACTTTCGAAGACAGCGAACAGAACAGTAAGCCGAGTGGGGACGAACAAGGCGTGCGCAGCGTTTACCAAGGTTGGTGGGGACCTAAAAATTAAAATTTTCCAACAAATCCAAATAGTGCGTCATAATAATGAATGTGTGGTCGATTGTTGGTGGTTGGGCAACGTACTTGCTAGAGGCGTTGCCCCCCTGCCCCCCTGCCTACGCTTTGGGGACGAACAAATACTCTGTTCAGCTAAAGCTAAAGCTCTTTTAAGTAAAAGAGCGGCATATGTTGGCACTTTCGCCTCGAAGTGCAATTAAATAAATGCAAAATCAAATAAAATATTTCTCTAATTAGGGTGATTCGTAGTTTTAATCTAATTTTTAAAATCTAAGCTAAATCGAAGTCTGTGAAGTACACAATTTCTTGGATGAGTCAGTTTTCCAATTTTGTGCGATCGACACTACCTTGTTGTAAAGCAAAGAATTTAAGAGAAATTTGTAATTAATATTTGGAATAAAATGCAACAAAGTCTTCTTCAACTTAAAGTTGATTTGTAATAACTTTAAAAGTCGTAATGAAATTTATGATCAGTTCTATAGCAACTATATTATGTTGCAGGTCGATTTCTAGCGCTTCAGGCACTTGTAATATTATTATTGAATGGGTTCGATTAGAAGAAGATGCTTAAGTGCGTCTCCAGAGTGGATCGTTTTATTATTGGCGCAGGAACAATTTACCAAATTTTCGGTCTGAGTAAAGCAGGGAATTCCGCTGCATTTTCTAACCAAACCAGCCGTCTGACGCACGAGTCAGTGGTGTTCCTCCGAAATTCGTGGAAATTAAAGAAATCAAAATAATGGTTGACCGCTCTCCTTGGCCTTTATTTAATTTATTTCCATTTGATAAGTTTAAGGTGTATTTCAATTTCAGATTCAGTATACTTTTCTAAATGGACGGCACGTCTTTAATGCCAACATTGTTAAAAACGAGACAGATGTCAAGTATTTGTATAAGAATATGTTATTGGTACTTGTATATGGTCGTTATATCTTCCTGCTTAGTTGGGCTTGATCTTTGAGCAAAATAAAATCTTAAACCATCACTTAATATCAGCTGCGTCCAATGATTTGCGTTTCCCAAACAAAGCAATTATAAATCTGGGAATCCACACCAAGTTGCGAGTGCTGTTTACCGCTAGTTGGGCCCAATTGGTTCCAGATAAAAACATATTAGAGATTAATCAGTCAGACAAAAGTGAAACTTTCTAAAAATTTATTGAATAACAGACATGACAAACACTAATCAAGGCCAGCCACTTTTTTCATAGGCCTTCTGGGCTTGTCCGTAGCTCTCAGAGTTCTGCAAAGTGTTCTCAGCACTGGTTGGCCAAATAATTTGCGACAACAAAAAATCCCCCCTGCAATGGTAAGGCGAGTGAGCAAGTACCGTTAAAGATTTGTATATTTTGGCCATTTGGAGTAATGAAAATACCGGAGACGTAACGTCAGCGCGCGCGCAACGGCGCGTTGCCATTGCCGTTAAACTTCAGACTTGGCCGGCGCCATCTACTTACTTACTCGTACTTGTCTCTGAATGTATCTGTGTGTGCATGGGCTTTGGGCCCTTTTGGTAGCTGAGCGTCACATATAAAGGCTTAGGCTGGCCCGCCGCATGGCTCATTATCGATTGGCATAGAGACTGGTGCGTCGTTGGTCTCTTCGGTTGGTCCAAGCGGTGCGTGATTTGAAACGTTTGGTTGTATCTGTATCTGTGACTGTTTCTGAAACTGTTTCTGTGACTGGTGGAAAATGCATTTTCCGGCATTTAACGACTTCTATCAGCGTTTTATATTTCTGCTACCGTTTGCAACAAGTGGGTATTATAGCTGGCATTGACAAAGATACAAATGTACTATTGACAAATCAACCAACCAAGTGTATCTAAGAACAGTCGACGTCTGCAATTGTCAATCAAACTTTTTTATTTGCTATTTGCATTGTTGTTGTTGTGGTTATTACTTTTGCATTGACTGTTATTCGACTGAGGACTTAAAGATCTACCTTTTTAAGTTTGTAGCCAGTTTGTAATAAGTATTTGATCCAACACAAAATTCACAAATCTCCTACAAGTACTGAAAGCCGGCAATGAGTTCGCGCCTATTCGATCCGACGCCAAGAGCTCCGAAATGGCACATGGCCAAGGCACGATTGCGCAGCTACTTTTTGGGGAATTTATGATCCATCTCAACTCGCATATGTCACACCCGACGCTCATACTTGTAATGCCCCCTAATGGATAGCAAACAATGCGGCAGCGTCTTGTAAATATGTAATAACAATAATTAGATTTGCATGCACAAATGTTCCATAAAAATCAGAGAGCGCGTCACCCTCGGAACCGGCCAAAGATGTCAACATTACGATCTTTCCATTGCTCCCCTGGTATTACATAAAACGGCTCGTCGCGACGCAGTATGGAACGGCGGAGGGGGCCGCGGGGGGAAAGCGTTTGCGTGGGCGTCGGTTCGTCTAAATGCACGAGAAAGAAAAACAAACGCAGATTCGGAATCTCTTATTGTTTGCCAATTCGCTCGCTCGGATTAAACAATTATGTTCCACTTAGCTTGTGCAATACGGGTTTGTGTGCGAACGTTGAAGAGGTTAAGCAAACTCTGACCATTATAGCAAAATCGTTGAGTGACCCAGCAAATTCAAGAGGAGGCCAGACTAAGACCATTGATATATATCATACACGAGAGCATAAATACTCGTATGCAAAAATTAAACTAAAACAGCCACGCTATTAGGCCAATTTTGATTTTTAAAAAATCAAACCTGATTATTATAAGGTTTTGAATGCGCTTCACTTCGTCTTAATGTGTTCGTGAATGAAGTAGATCCCATGTTATAGGTAAAATTTTTTTTTTTAACCCAACCCGTCCATTATTTTCAATCACCGCGCTACTAATATTAAACTAAGGCTTATAATATTCCACATATACATCATCCAAATACAAAATTTAAAGTGAGTTTTCTTATTAAAAAGGCCAATCTAGTTTCCTAGTCTATCTCTAAACTCTTTCAAGTAGGTGTTTTATAAAGTCGATATTTTTTTAATGGCACACACGTTGATTTCAAAAACCATTCATATACATACTTGTACTATATGGCAATACTTGATTCCTAGATTTTGTGCGAGAGGAACGACGCTTCGATTACGATGCACCGGAACGCTGGCCACTTAGCTTTCCAATGTGTGGCGGTGCCGAACAATCGCCTATAGCCATCAGTGCTCACAAGGTGCTGCCCATAGGATTGCTGCCGCTGGAACTGGGGCTTTACGATGAGCCCTTCGACGAGCTCTTAGACGTGCGCAATAACGGACACACCGGTACTATTCTAGTTAAGAAAGGCAAGGCGAAAAATATGTCAACATTTTGTCTTCTTCCTCAAGTGGAGTTCAGAGTGCCAGCTACAATCTTTGGCGAACGACCCTATGTCACGGGCGGCCTACTGCGCGACTTCTACGAAGCTCATAGCGTCCACTTTCACTGGGGCTCCGAGCATTTGCTGAATGGCCGGCGTTACGACTTAGAGATGCACATCGTGCATCGCAACACTAGATATCTGAGCGATGAAGAGGCTCGAAATCGAACCGATGGTATGGCTGTTCTGGCTGTGCTCTTTAAAGTGGTGCGGGTGAGTTGGGCGCATGTGCTTGGAGATTCTTTTTCGGCTAAGGCTATATATTACAGACGGGCTACAGCATTTATCAGCCAGGACTTAGTGAGATATTTGACTCGCTGCTGCAGGTGGCAGAGTTTAACAGCAGCTATACTCCACCCGCATTGCTCACCCTGGGGTCGCTGCTGGGTGAGCTGGATCGAGGCAACTTCTACGCGTACAAGGGCTCTCTTACAACGCCACCTTGCTCCCCCTCGGTTTTGTGGCATGTCTTTGCCGAGGTGCTGCCTATCTCACACACAGACTTACTCAAGTTCCGGCAGATACATGATCGACGCGGACGTCCGCTTCTGAAAAATTTTCGACCGCTGCAGTGGCTGGAATCACGACAGGTGTTCCATCGCCATCCCTTTGACGGCTACTATTTAACGTAACCAAAAAAATATGTCTAGTTAGTTATACTTGTATGTAGTTTACAATAGCGAAATTTATTTCTGCTGTACTGTTCGAATGGCAGAAAATGTAAAAACATGCATCCTACTTCTTCTGGTAACGCGCAAGAAGGACGGCCAAGAAGCTCAGCTGCACGGCACACAAAATCTTGGTCAGCGTGGGGCAGCGTATCACGCTTGGTGGGAGAATTGATCGCGTCGGTTGGTGGATTAGGTTGGCCGTATGTCTAAAGGGTGTCACAGCGGGTGTGACAGGGCGACTCCTAACAACGGCAGGTACTATCAGATTTGGAGGAGGACGGTATGCCATTGTGTGGAACTCATGGTCACGCCCGTCGAATGGTGGACGTGGCGTACGCATACGCGGATTTATGGGTGGGTTGAAGGGCGGCTTCATCAGCACCTTCCGCCTAGGGGCAATATCAGTATCTAAGCCCGGCTGGTATGTTTCAATGGTTTCTGGCTCGGTTGGCAGGCGCGGACTACCTATGTAAGGATTATCACCCTTGAATGAGACGTTTGCAGCCTGTTCCTGCGTATCTTCCTCGATGGGTGCATGAAAGCCCTTATTCAAGAGTCGCTGCAGCGTTCTGGTTACGTAATTGATTTGTTTATCCTTGAACTGAGTATCCGGCTGCTCGGAATCTAGTTGAATGGGTTCGTTACGATGTGCGGGCTGTTGTGGCTGCGGCGGCTGTTGTTTCGGAGCAGGTGGGGGAACAGATATAGGCTGATTGATATGTGTTGGTGTACCCGGTTCCGTCGGTGCCGTGCGTGGCTGCGGGACTGGTGTGGGTATTCCAGGCTCCTGGGCGCTTCTCTTATTCTTATTGTAGACCGGCTGTGGCAGAAAATTGTGCTTATCTGGGTCATAATTCTGCTCAAAATCAAAATTTTCATTCAACACTAATTGCTTTTCTTGTTCCTGTGTGCTAGGGTCCTGGAGCACATTGTCCTGTTCTTCACTCATGTACAGCTGTTGTGCAATGCTGGGACCTTTTGGCTGTATTTCCTGCTCCTCTTTCATATACTGCTCGAAATGCGCGTCTTCTTCTGTGGTATTGATGGCATTGCCCTCGCTATCGAAGTTTTTATTGAACGTGAGCCAGTCCCATTCGTGCTCTTCCACTTTCTTATGGCGGGTTGATTGATCTCCCGGCTTGTCAATGGAGTAATAATGAAACTCTGATTCTTCCGGTTGTTGCTCTTGCAGCTCCTCTGCAGTTTCCAAATTGACTGTGGTTTGGTGGGTGTCCTCGATGGTCTCACTCTGCCAATCTTCCTTGTTTTCAAAACGCATGGTCTGAGTTACGCTTTCTTCTGACTGTTCTAGAGAGTCATGGGAGAGTGCGTGCTGATAGTCCTGCTGGTCCGAATACTCCAGATTCTGCCCTAAATAGTTTGATGGAACTTCATTGTCGTGCTTAGGCTCTACATCAACCTCCTCGAATTCCGAACGCTCAACGGGTGAACTTAAATGATGCTGCTGCTCACTGAGCTTGGCGTCACTCCTACCCTCATAAAGACCTTCGACCGGCTCCGTACTGTGAGCGTTTACGGCAGTTTCTGTCACCCGCTCCTGCTGCTCTAATTTTTGATCAGTGGAATCTAAAGATTCCTGTTGCCAGCTTTCCAAGGCGACCAGCGTCTCTTTCTCATTGGACTTTAAAGACTTTAGACCTTCATTGTCAGCAAATGTATCCGCTATAGAAGACTCTATTTGTACGTCATCGTACAGTAATTCCACTCCCGGTTCTATAGTTTTAGCATTATCCATGCTGTTGTTGTTGCTGTCGCCACTGCTACTGGGAATGTTGCCGTGCTGTGAGAAGGAATCGCTCTCAGCCTTTGGTTTCATGGACTTATCGATGGCATCCGTTGCGCCTTCAATCACATGACCCTTACTCATATCTTCCAGCACCTTGCCTATTGCGTCCGTTTCCTTGAGATGCATCGATTCTGACACACAAAATAGCTGGGGCTCGTAATCTCCTAGGCGCATGTTGATCATATTGCTTTGTTCGTACAAGACCTGGGGCCCTGTATTGGCCGGAACTTGCTCGCTCGAGCTGGAGCCTTGTGCCTCCATTTCTCTGTCCACGCATATGGGCGTCGATTTGGTTGATTCTATCACTGGACTCACTTCTTGCAATTTGGCACTAACATTGTAGTCACTGGGTAAAGAATTTACATCCCGCTGACCTTGTTGTGGGTCTTTTTTCTCAATTGCCGTGGTGTTGGGGTTTTTTTCTAATTCTGTGTCAATCGGCTTTTTAGACACTTCGAGTTTGTTTGCCGATACTTTATGATCTCTAGGGGTGTCTGTTTCTTTAGACAAACTATTCGCTTTGTTCAACTTTGCATCTGAAGAAGATTGAGCGTTGCTCTCCATGTTATTCGACTGCTTTTCGACTTGCTTTGTTGTCTTAGGCTGCGGTCTGTTTCTTGCCCTAACGTTCATTGACTGGAATTGTTGCTGCTTGTTGTAGGGCTTTACATGATTCTCCACTAGCTTTGCCAAGCCAGCGCCTAATGACTGGCATTCGCCATCGCCTGAAGGTGACATCAGCGCCTCGTGGACTGGACTGACTTCCTCATTCGTCTCGTTCTCATTGTTGAGCATATACTCGCCCTCGTCCTCTTTGTTCTCCGCACGCCACTCATTGTCGGCCAACCAGTCGGGCACTCGTGCCTCAGCGTAGGTAGGCTCCACGTCGGTAAAATCGTAGGATTCCATCTTCTCAAACCATTGAGCGTTGTTGGACGTGTGGTCAGTGCTAAGCTGCTTCTTCTGCTGCAGACTAAGAGGTTCATTCATCTTGTGCGATTCATCGCCAATGTTTCCCTTGGCAAGGGTTGAGGCTGCTGATTCTTTTGCCAAATCGGCACTCAATGTTATGCAGATTTGTGCTTCATTTGGCTTGGGGTTCGTCTGAAATGCAAGCTCCACCGTACCCGCGGGACTTTCTTGTTGCTCCTGTTCCTGCGCTAGATATTTCCATGAGGACTGTGACTCGACTGGCTCGACGTTTTCGGTAGTGGTGTCTATGCGCTGTGGCTGGCACGCATAGAACGACCGCCAAAGTTGCCTTGTCTCTGGCAGCTCCACATTTGCTTCAGCATCCTCTTCAAATGACCTGCTCTCCATGGTAACATCCGAGGCTTTCTGTTGGTCGTTTAATTCTTTGTCGAGCATTTTCGTTATGGTACAACCGCTATGAATAGAGAAATAGTTGGCACTGTACTCCAAATATGTAAGTGTGTTTGTCCTACCTCAGGTCTGGATGATTGCGCACCGCATCGATAATACTGTCCGGAGGAATTTCATTCTGACAGATTCGATGTATGGCCGTGAACAGTGGGAATCTGTAATTGGACACGGGGTTAAGTCGGCGAAGCAGATAGGAATTAAATAAATTATCCAACCCGTCTTCCTTGTCATTATTCTTCAGAAACGCATTCACCCCCGCAGCTACAACTGGACCAGGCAGTTGGCGTCCATTCATTACGCTCGCCTCCAGCTCCTGCATCGTCTTACCTGACATCACAAAGTTCTTGGCGAATCTGACATTTTTGTTGCCTGCAACGTATTCCGATATTAGAAAATATTCCATTCTCGTAAAATTGGCATTTACTCACAGTAGCAGGACGCAATTGAGTGGGCAATACCACAACTCTCGAAGAATGTGGATAGCTTGGTGCCGGGATAAAAGGTTTTGATGAAGCGCATCATTTCTTTTAAGCCGAGATGCAAGGCCGCGACGCGCGCATTGTCACCCAGACGCAGGCCATCGATCAGTCCAGCGCCCAGCGCAATGATGTCCTTGAGCGTGCCACACAGCTCCACACCGTCAACGTCGTCGATGGTAACAACCTTGCAGTTGGTGGTCTGGAACATCGTGGTCAGCTGGTGCGCGTGCGCGGCATTGTTGCAGCCGATGGTTATCTCGCACAACTTGCCCTGCGCCATTTCCATCGCACAGCTGGCGCACATCATCGAGTAGCAGGGTATCTGGAGAAGCACAAGCACGTTTGCTGTTGTGGGAAACTCTTAAACTCTTCAACAGCCACACCCACACCCACCTGTAACTGCTTGCTAATTGTGTGCGAATACAGTTCGATATCTCCAGCCTCCACTTCGTCCAAACCCTTGACCATGGAGATCGCATAGGCGCTGCTCTTAATATTGCCGGCCAATATATTGCAGTATGATCTGACAAAGCTTTGCGGCGTTGCAAATATCAGAATATCCGCATTCCCGGCCGCCTCAATCAAATCGTTAACAGCAATCTGGTATGAGAGTCAAACTAATAACTGCATTGGAAGCACTTCCCTAACGATCTTACCAAATTCTCGGGCAGTTTAATGCCTGGCATGTACTTAATATTTTCATGCTGCTCGTTTATCACCTCGGAGAGGTAGTTGCTTCTCACCAGCTCATCGTAAACGTACATGTGAACGCGAGTGTCGAAGTCGTGTTTAAGCACGTTAATGCCCACGGCAGTCGCTATGGCAGAGCCCCTACAATTCTCGCTGATTGAAGGTGCGATGGCAAGCAATTGTAAGCTATGATACTCACCATGGTTCTGCACCAATGATGCACACTTTATGCTTCTTTGCCATCTTATCGCAGCATGTACATACGGTTGTGTGGATTCCAAAAAAGAAAGGCCAAGACAATTGTGTTACCAATCTAGACTGCAAATTTTGTTGTTGCCAAACAAAGAATCTCGCGAGAATTTGGAGTCAAAAGAAATAATTTTTTTTAAATATTTTCCTGTTTAATTTAGGTAAAAATTTAGTGTTAGTCAGTATGACATTACTATTGAATGTATATGCTGTAAAACAAATTGGATTCTTTGTGTAGCACGAGTGAAAAGGACTGACGTGTGCGATTAACATAGAAATCGCAGTGAACTTTGTGCGCTTTATTTCAATTGTTGTTAATATAACAAATACAAAACCTTAATAGAAAGAATACATTCAGCTGTATGCTTGAAATTTGTAGACAATTTCAGACTCGTCATCCATTTGATCATTGGAAACCACAATAGGTTCAGCATATTTGGTGGAGGAACCTTTTTGCTTTGCTTGTAGGGCTTCCTCCTCGTTAATGGCGCGCAGCTCGAACTCGGTTATAATTTGAGATATCCGGCTCTTGGCCTCGGCCGCCAATTTCGGTGGTAGACTCTTAATGCTGGCGCACGCACTTTCAAAGAACAAGTCATAACTGTCACGACTGAGACCAGATGTGGGAGCTGGCGTAGTGGTGGCTACAGGTTGGCGTTCCTTTTTCGCTGGTGCCGATGTTTGGGGTCCAAGCGCCTGAAAGTAGGCACTTAGCCTTTGGCGGTCTCGGCCGATTATCTGGAGCAACGCCTTACGAGTCGCCGGTAGCTTCATGTTGGGCTTGCCCGGCATGAGCATACGCTGTGGCCGTGTTTCCAGCTCCTTGGTCATTAGCCCGTATTTCAAGTCTTCCTGCCATTGGTTTGTTTATGTTATTAACATACATACATACATACATATTTATACAAAATGCTCTGTGTGTTACCTTATCGTCGTCGCTACGCAGACCCATGCCGTCTTCATCGTCCAACTTTTCAAATTTTATGGTGTCATCGTTAACGATAATGTTTCGCCCGTGGGTACTTTGCCGTGTACTAACTCTCTGCATGTCTTTATTCTTAATATTCTGCTAATTTAGTCGGTTCTGTGGTCAATGCAAAACAATAGGGTTGCAGCCATTCACCTCTTCAGCGATGGACATCTGGCAACACTATCATCTATCCCGCCAATAATGGAAACATTATCGATATCGATAGTTGGATCCTAGCGCAGATTTAATAAAGATACAGCATTTAAGCAGAAATATTTACAATTTATATTGAAAAGAATTTTATTTCGAAATATCTCAGGTAAGCGTATCAAACCGTTGGTCTGGCTGTGGCGTACTAAGTTCGCCGTTGAGTGTATGCTTTAACGCATTGTGCCCTTGTGACGTTCCCGGCACTACCGCATTTGTACTTTCCTCCTTCAAGCCGCGTAACTCCAATTCGCAGATCAACTGTGATACCCGCATCTTTGCCTCCGCAATTAGTTTCGGCGAGAGCGCCTTAACGCTGGAGCTGACGCTCTCGAAAAACAGGTCAATATGGTTCTTCTCCTTGGGCGGCGTTTGCGACAATTGGCCGCCCATAAGCTCGCGGAATGATTCCATCAACTCGTTTTTATCCTGATGGATTTGCATCAAGAGTTTAAGACCCTCCGCGTTAGTCGTAGCTGCGCTGCGTTTTGAAATCGAACTTGAATTTAGTGTTGCCGTCGCTGTTTCCTGTTTTGTTTCCATCGGTGGTAGGGAATGGTTTGGTTCGCTTTGTACCAGTCGAAAGGGTTGCTCGATCCTACGAAAGGATAAGATACGTTAACAACACTATTTCATATATACTTGATAAACGCACTTGTGTACAACTTTTGGCTCGGTTATTTCAGCAGTTGCCGTCACCACCTCTTCATATGGCTCGGGCGCTTCCTCGTCACTCATGGACTTTTTCAACGCCCGCATCCGTTTGCGGTGGTAGTATTTGCTGCGTTCCTGACGTACACTTAACTCCAGGCATACTGCTCCCTCCCCTTTGGTGATTAGAGCTTCAATGTTTCGCTTGTGTTTTGTTGTACGTTCATGTCGCATCAGATGACAGCGGTTGCAGTCGAGGCGGCACTGGCAGGCACGACAAAACGGTTTGTCGGGGTCGTCGGCGGAGCGTTTTAGCCATGGGTCGAAGAGACTAAGCCACTTTTCACAAAACTTTTGACTGTATTTCTGTTTCCCATTGCTGCTGCTTTGGTTGCCACTCGAAGTCGTCCGCTTAGTGCTAATTTGCTGTTCCACTTTTATCTTGGCCTCCTTCCTATATAGTAGTGGGATGAATAGAAACATTTTCTAAATACACACGCAGCTTTCTATTTGCTTTATGTCGACTTACCAATCGGAGTCAGAAGTATTCTCAGAGAAACTCATTGTAAATATTTATTAAGTTGTGTTCATAGACTTTTCCCTTGCAAAATAGCGATATCGATATTGATAGTTTCACGTTTGCCAGTATCGATATATTCGTTTGAAAAAGTACGCTAGAGATGGACGGACTGGTGACAAAATTATCTTATGAACAATAGAAGCGCGCTTTTTCAAATATTACGACCCAACTGAGAACTAAAAAGAATTTCTAAGCTGCCGTTCAACATTTTTGAAACTACAATGGATCCTCCAATTTGGGGAACCTTCGTGCTATTACTATTTTTTCTTATCAGTGGCTTTTGGCTTGTCTTCTTTCTTCTCGGCGCTTTCCTTCTCTGCCTTCTTTTTCTGGGCCCTTTCCTTGCATTTTTCTCTAATTGCATCCTCCCTACATTTTTCTGCATATTTCTGTAAATCGTCCATTTGCTTATTGGCACATTTTTCCTTATCGGACAGTGCCTGGCATTCTTTTTTTAGAGCCATCATTTTGCACTTCTCTTTCTCAGCCTTCTCCTTGTCACTTAGTTTTTCGCCGCATTTTTCCTTTTCAGCCAATGCATTGCATTTTTCTTCTTCGGCCATTTTCTTGCATTTTTCTTGCTCTGCCATTTCTTTACATTTATCGTTCTTGCCCTCATTTCCGCATTTATTTTTCTTTTGCTTACATTTGTCCTTTTCCACCATTGCCTTGCATTTCTCTTTCTCGGCCATTGCTTTACATTTCTCTTTTTCTGCCATTGCCTTACACTTATCTTTCTCACCTTTATCTTTTCCACCATCCCCACATTTCTCCTTTTCATTCGATTTTTTGCATTTCTCTTTTTCTGCCATTGCCTTGCACTTCTCTTTCTCAGCCTTTTCTTTGGCGTCATCCCCACATTTCTCCTTTTCATCTGGCTTTTTACATTTATCTTTCTCGGCCATAGCCTTGCATTTGTCTTTCGCTGCCTGTTCCTCGCATTTCTTTTTCTCCGCCTCCGCTTTAGCCTTCTGTTTTTCAGCCATTTCCTTGCACTTATCCTTCTTAGCCAGTTCTTGGCATTGTAGCTCCAATAACTTTTCGTCTTCCGCCTTTGTGCATTTCTGCTTTATGGACAACAGTCGGAATGATATTTTATCCGCTTTCATAGCATCAACGATCACAACAGTAACGGTCTTACCAACCTCGAGCATTTTCATTTTAGCCATAATGTTGATGCCTTTCTGAAGGACTCGTCTAAAACCAGTGCAGCCCGTTGCCATTTCCTCCAAAACGATCGGATAGACGCCCCGGAAGATCACCGACTGCCGTGCTTGCACCGGACAACCTGTTAGCAAGACAATTGGGCAATTGGGTCTAAACTGACTAACGATGTGGGAGATAAGTGCACACGGACTGCCTACGATGATCGCCTTGGCTTGGCTTATTGTGGCAGCCTCAGCAATTGCCGAGGACACCGCAGATATTTCATCTGCAGTTTGAGACTTCACAACGGCCTTTATATCGTTCTGAATCCGTTCGTACCAGAGCACGGCTTCCACTTTAGAGCAAATGTCGGCCATACACTTTACAGTTTCGACAGGGTACTTCCCTTTGGCTGTTTCGCCGGACAGCATCACGCAGTCAGCGCCATCGAAGATTGCATTTGCCACATCCGAAGCCTCGGCGCGCGTGGACCGCGGTTTGGTTGTCATAGAGTCCAGCATCTGAGTTGCACAAACGACGGGTTTGCCAACCTTGTTGCATTTAGCGAGAATTGCCTTTTGCGCTAGAGGTACCTCTTCAGCTTTAATCTCTATTCCTAGATCTCCACGTGCTACCATAATTCCGTCAGAGGCTTCAATAATTGCGTCTATGTTCTGCATACCCTCCTGATTTTCAATCTTCGATATTATCTTAATGTGTTTACCTTCTGGGCCCAAGACTTTGCGTATTTCTTCGAGCGCTTTGGCATTTCGTATGAACGAAGCGAATATCATGTCTACTTTTTGCTGTACGCCGAACTTTAAGTCCGCCTTGTCCTTTTCGGTTACTGCGGGCAAATCAACGGGCACCCCCGGCAGATTCACGCCCTTACGCGAACCCAACTTGCCACCGTTTTCTACCTCGCATGACAACTCCTCGCCGGCTATTTCCTTCACCAGCAGCGAAATGAGCCCGTCGTCTATAAAAATGTGATTTCCGGGCTTCAAGATCTTTGTTATGTTTGGATAATCGACATATATGACATCTTTGGAGCCCTTATCCTCCATATCCTTTTTAGTAGATAGCTTTATTTTATCACCTTGCTTTAATTCGACTTCACCTGTATCGCTACCCGCTAAGCGACCCGTTCGAATCTCCGGTCCTTTGGTATCCAATGCGATGGCAACAGTTTTGGAATATCCCTTCCTGGCAGAGTAGCAAATGATGGCCTTGCGTGCGATTTCTATAGTCTTGCTGTGGTTTTCATGAGAGCCATGGGAGAAGTTCAGTCGTACCACTCGCATGCCAGCGTCCATGAGTTTCATGAGTACATCAGGTTTGTTTGTGGCCGGCCCTATTGTGCAAATGATCCCACTCAGCGGGAAGGACCCTTTAGGCGCATTGTATTGCAGTCGCGACTTGTAGTCGAGATGCGAGGCAAAGGGCCCACGGTCCAGCACCACTGGCGGCTTTCAAAACAGACCCATTTAAATATCTAGCCGAGAAAGAAATGCTACTTGACTTACCGGCCCCTTTTTGGACGCTTTATCGGCGAAGCTGCGCACATCAGTAGACCGAGCTATGGGGGTGAAGCACGAGAGCACAGCACGCGTGGTGCTCCGCGAGCTTAGTGTTACTATGAGAGAAATTTTGAAAGGTTTGCGAATAATGTGTGAGCTAAAAAGCTCGGAAAAAGAATTCGAAAAGGGCTGAGATTTAGAATGAAGACCTGAAGGTAACTTTGATATTACTACAATTATTATACGACACAGTGAGATTAGTGCCCCGAAGCTTCTCTACCATTAAAAATTTATATAACCCTTATAGAGTATTATATATAATGGAAAACTTTACAATTTACATACATACATATATATAATATTTTATTAATCTTTGTTTATCAACTTACTATGAAGAACGCTAATTTAACAAAGATGTATTGTGCTTATGTGCAGCTCCATTCCTGGAGTAATGCTAAGCGGCTTATCCAATTTAAATTTCCGAAATTACAATATTCCATACAATTTGTGAATTGTTTTTAGAGCTTCAATAAATTAACTTGGTTAATAACAGTAAGTAACGCCGACGCACAGCGTTTGAAGCGCTTGGAACGCTCGAAGTTGTGGCGGACGAGGTACATCTGTAGATGCGATATTTATTCCACGGTGCTGCAAAAGTATTGGATAAAAATAAGAATAATACATAGCTATAGGATAATTTCTTCGAGCTACTTACACAATGCGCATGGTGTTTGTGAAGCCAGATCCCTGCTTCCAGCCAGTGACAATGACAACGGAGTCGCCCTTGTTGATGAAGCCGTTCTTCTTGCCAACCTGCAGACCAAACTGGGCGCGAACATCGACATCCTTCAGCCAGTCACCAAGGGCAGCCTCTGCAAGAGCAATATTAGTCATTTTTTCGGTTAATTTTTGATAATACCGCATATACCTTTGTAGATAAGTGGCACCAGGCCACGGTAGAGATGAGCTTGACGTGCGGTTTGTGGCAGACGAGTGACAGCAATGATGGGGCAGCGTGGGCGATATTTGCTGACCAAGAAGGCTGACTTGCCGCTGGTTGTGATGACGATAATAGCTGCGGCTCTAGCTTTGGTGGCAGCCTCAACAGTAGCAATGGCGACGGCATGAGCTGCATCCAACTGTGATGCTGCGGCGCCACGCACCAAGTCGTTGAACAGATTTTTATGCCAAAGCGCCGCCTCAGCCTCCTTGCAGGTCTTCGCCATGGTCAGCACACACTCTAGCGGGTATTCACCCTTGGCGGTCTCACCGGACAACATGACACAGTCAGCGCCATCCAAAACAGCGTTAGCCACATCAGAGATTTCGGCACGTGTGGGACGAGGCTTCTTCACCATGGACTCCAACATCTGGGTGGCACAAATCACAGGCTTGCCAGCCTTGTTGCAGCGTGCAATCATCGCCTTTTGGGCCAAGAAGACCTTCTCCGCTGGGATCTCAATGCCCAAATCGCCACGGGCCACCATAATGCCATCACCAGCCTCGATGATTTCATCAAGATTGTGCATGCCCTGCTGGTTCTCAATCTTTGAGATAATTTTAATGTTCTTGCCCTTTTCGCCGAGCACAGCACGAATCTCAGAGAGCGCAGCGGCATTGCGAATGAACGAGGCAAAGACCATATCAACGTCTTGTTCCACGCCAAACTGCAAGTCTGATTTGTCCTTTTCGGATACGGCAGGCAAGTCAACTGGCACTCCTGGCAGATTGACGCCCTTGCGGGAGCCCAAAGCTCCACCGTTCTCGACTTCGCAGACCAGAGTGTCCTTAGACACCTCTCGCACAACCAACGAAATGAGACCATCATCGACGAACACACGGTTGCCGGGCTTGACCACATTCACAATATTGGCATAGTCCACGTAGACCACCTCCAACGAACCCTTCTCCAAGAAGTCCTTGTTGGTGCTCAGCTTAATGGTCTCGCCCTTCTTCAACTCAATCTCAGCGGTGCCACTGCCGCCAATCAGACCCGTGCGAATCTCAGGTCCCTTGGTGTCCAGGGCAATGGCCACTGGGTGCTCATAGCCAAGCTTGGCAGAGTAGTTCTTGACCGCCTGACGCACATTGGCCACAGTTTCGGCATGATACTCATGCGAACCGTGTGAGAAGTTCATGCGGGCAATGTTCATGCCGGTGGCAATCATCTTCTCGAGCATTTCGACGCTGCGCGAGGCAGGACCAATGGTGCACACAATGCCGGACAGACGCACATGTGGTACAGGCGAGTCGAACTGGAGGCGGCACATGTGCTCCAATTGCGAATCAGCTTCGGCGGCCATGTTTTGGGGTACTTCGTTGGGCTGTAAATGAGAAAGGGTTTTAATTACTTTTGCTATACACACATCCACGAGCCTCCAATTGCCATGACTAATGAATTCAGGACAGAAGCCAATGAAAGTCGTTGACATTATTTGTTGCCGCATCGATTAAATTTCGGCCACAGTCAACAACGAAACGCGAACCTGGCCCCAACCCCGGCCCCAGCTTCCCATCCCTCCCATCAAACCCACTCACCCTATCGTTTTTATAAACAAAGCGCAAAAGATTCAGCGAGCATATGAGAACACTAATGAGAGCGCGCGAGCGAGTGAGAGTTTTAGGATGGCAGAGAGCTAGAGAGTCGGAGAACGAACAGAAGGAATTTGTGCAGCGACTGCGTCGGCAATGCATCGCCGAAGGTCAGTTTTGTCGGCAGAATTTTCGCAGCTGCCATGAAAAAGTTGCATAATTTGCATTTGCGAATCGTTTGTTAGCCATATGACATACTTTACTGGCATTCTTTAAAGCCCTTGTTAATTACAGCTACAAATATTTAGATACATATGTATGTACATATATTATCATAAGTTGGTGTTAGCGTGTGTGTATATCAAATGGAGGAGCTTAAATCTGACATTGACAGTGTCATCGTGTACGAGGGGACGAGCGGGCTTTTAGACAATAGATACCTTCAGCTTGGGAGCCTCATCGTAAATGGTTACGTTAACCATTTTGTTGGCTACTACGTTGGCAGTGTGCAAGTGACGACGTTTATTATTAGAATATTTCCCGTTGGCTCGCACTAAATTCAAAGAGCAGCGACGACAGCAAAGCGTTGTGTAGGGCAACAATTTTGCAACGGAAGCCAAGGCGCGTTGGGGTTTTCACACAACGAGATGGACTGCTCGACTAACGCACAGTCTTCTGTTGTCGGTTGTTAGAAAATTTGGCTGAGAGTACCGATGGTCGACAAGAGTGCTCGAAAGTCGGTAACACAATGAGTACAAGCGCAAGACTTTAGCGGAAAAAGCCAGCCAGCCAGCCAACCAAACAAATTGCTAAGTAACCGCTCTCCCTATTACCGGCGGGCAGGCGTTTGCCAACAGACGCCATTGCCACCCCTAAAGAGCCACCCATTGTAATCGTTCAAAGTTTATCCAAAACGAGAGCGCACAAAGCTCTCTTGCCGAAGCTGAATAATGCCTAAGTTGAAAAAGTAGTGATTATACAGGCAGAACAAAAGCCGGAATGGGCTCAATAAATGCTGATTTATACTGATTTATACATACATATGTATATACGGACAAACAAATGTGTTTGTGCGTAATGTAAACAAAATTGATCGTCAGCTGTTTTGGTTTCCAAGCGAATTTCGGCCGCTTATCTGCCGGCGGCGGCACAGATATGTACGTAAATTAGTCAAAGCCCGCTGATACTCAATTATTGCTTGTGTTGACCTTGAATGCCAATCTCTTAAATTTAATCAAAGGAGCAGCAAATACGCCTCAGCGTGCAACACGCATGCTCACGCGCTCCTATTTTAACAGCTACCGCGTGAGTGATTTCAAATTTTGCGGGGGGTGTTGAACAACGTGTCCATCATCAGTGTTGAGCACACGGAGAACGCATGCGTTCTGGATGTGTGAAGGGAAACGAACGATAAAGCTTATCGTAGACGACGCAGCTTTTTTATATACATATGTATGTATATACAAAAGTTTGACTGTGTGTAAAAGTTCTCTTCCTCATGTGGCGGCGAAAGTGAAAGTACTTTTCCACAGCCCCCAAAAAAGTTTCCGTGTTTTCAATGCGCTAGCGTCCAAACATATACATATGTTTGTATGTATGTACATAGTAAGCTTAGTTTGTTTTGGGCGCAAATGCCCTTGAACTTGCTTTAAAAGGACACTCAAAATTGGAACAAAACGCTGTTAGTTCAAAAATAACTAAACTTAGCACTCTGTGACAAAAATAATCATTCTGGAGTGCTTGAAAACAAGAAATAATTCCATGCGTACTATCAACATTCAGCTTAATTACTCATCACAGTTCTGTCTTTGGCTTTTAGAATATGACAAGAAAAAAAAAACAATATAACATCTCTACATACGAACATATACATGTATGTAGATATGTTCATGTATACAAATTCAAGATAACACCGTTCGTTTACAATATTGGACAGATCGCGATTACTAATATTGCTGCCACTGCACTTTTCTAAGTACACACATGCACACATACATATAAAGTTCAGTGAACAGCCGCCTGTGTGTTGCTACATATGTATGTATGTATGTATATGGAATGACTTCTATTTCACCTTTACATATCTTCCGACCGACTGACACAGTCAAGAGCAGTGGAGGCGTGTGTCTGCCTTTTGTGCTTTTTCTATTCGCTTGACTTAATGCCGCATAATGCGGAGAAATCGCTTGCATCATCAAAATTTGCGACAACAATCACAATTCACAGCACCGCTCATACATACATACATACATACGTAAATTTACTTGCGAAAATTACAAAAAGAAAAAGATAAACTGTTCAGAAACTACGCCGTTCGTTTCGCCATATAGTTCTGCGCTTAAGTCATTTTCCTATTGGACACATAATTACCTGGTTCGGGCTTTAAAAGTAACGAATGATAAATAGCTTTTCCTGTTTTGGAATTAAATTAATTTAAATGCACAGGCAACGGAATACACCACAGAACACGGTCGGATTAGCTTTTGGCTTCTTTGCGGCGTGCGATCTGTTTCGCGACTAGGCGGCAAAAGTTTGGAGGCCCCATACATACATTGGGGGCACCGGTTTTGTGCTTTTCCAGCATATGGCAGAACGTCGTTATACAGCACTATTCCAGTCGTTACGAAATACTAAAAAATACAGTAAATATGAGATTATTTTAGGCGCGAGTTTAAAGCAACATTTATAATTCTTTAATTATTCAATATAATATATAATTTAAATTTATATAGAAACAGAGTAAGATACCATTCAAAATTGTTATTAAATTATTTAAAAATAAAAGAGTACATATATAAAAAATAAACAAATAATATTTTTCGCTTTTCCCGTCACACGCTAGAATGGCGAATCACAGTAAAAAGTTTTGTTCTAAAAATTTTTTGTTTCAAACATGGTGGTAGGTGCATTTCCTATTGCAAAATTGGGTATGCTAACGGTAAGGCACATTAGCAAGCCGGTCAGCAACTTAATAAAACGTAGTGCCAGGTCGAATCAATTTGTTAAGAATTTCGTTTGCACTCCTCCGGCTCAATGTGAGTAATTTGCACATTTGGTGTGGAATCGCTATTATTGGAAAAAATGTTGTAGTATACAATTGGCTGGAGGTTAGGGGTAAAATGCTAATGTTGAGGATGAAGCAGCCAAAGCGGGTGCCACCTCTTAACGACGCCATGGCCATAGAAGTGGGCGGAGATATACTCGGGGAGCTTATTATATTTATTATTGGCGTCAGTCTAATTATGTTGGAATTCTCGCGGTATGTAGGAAACAAATTTAAAAAGCCTCCCTAATATTTCCCCTTACATTTCTGTGGCCATCAGGCAAGCACGAAATGAAAGAAAGAAACAAAACGACGAAATTGAAGAAAAAGAAGAGCTTCGAAGGCAAATAGCGAAGATGAAGATTCGTATTTGTCAGCAGGCAAAGGAAATAAAGAAGCTCAAGGAGAAACTGGGCTCTATTGAAGCTAGCGTCGACCAGGAATGTTATTAAATTATTTATTATAAATGCCCATTGTGCCTATCTGTTGGCTGATGTAACCGAAAATTAATTCCCCAAAAGCAAACAAGACCGACAATTATTGGGAAAGTGCACCTCAGCCATAAATATTTCAAAATTGATTATACTTGTGTTAGCAAAGGTTATGCAAAATTATTTATTGTAAAGCATATATAAATGAAAAGTCCGACAAGCCATTTGCCCATCTTTATACATACATAGTATATGTACATGAATATGTATACAAACGTGGGTATAGACTTATCTGACTTTTAAAATATAAATAACCAAATGCGCATGCTTTTGTTTATACCTTGTATTGATTTTTAGGTCATGATAACCGAAGCAATTGAATAAAATCTATTCTAAATATATTTAAAATTTTAATCAGAACATAATCTCTATATATATAAAACAGTTTGTCCTAAATGACTGATTGGCGATCAACCGACCACAATATATTTATTTAATTTTTCAAAAATTTCACAATTTAAATCCACAAATTTATTATTTAATTTATCAAAATTTTCCCAATTTTATTCTCGATTTGCCAGCTCTTAGGTACTTGGTATGAGAGTCGCAAAGGAGGACAACCAATTTTTTTTATTTAATTTTTCAAAAATTTTCACAGTTTAAATCCACAAATTTATTATTTAATTTTCCATAAATTTCACAATTTAATTCTCGATTTGCTAGCGCTTAGGTACTTAGTATGAGAATCGCAGAAGAGGGCGGCCAAATTTTTTTATTTAATTTTTCGAAAATTTCACAATAATTTCAAAATAGTATTATTTAATTTTTTTTTAGAAATTTCACAATTTAATTCTCGATTTGCCTGCGGTTCACAAATTTCACAATATAATTTCAAAATATTCGAATTTGTAATTTACAGAAATTTACATACATAGTAAGTATATGGTCACAGTATGTATTGTACTAAATCTAGGGCATAGATTTTTGAAAACATCTATAAACATTTAAAGTTTTGCGACCATGATATCATTAGAATTTGTTAAAAAATCTGCAACATATAGATTATGTAAATTCCCTCCACCGTCTCCTCGAACCAAACATATTGATATAAGGAATGAACAGTTACTGTGATAGTAAAGCGGAACTTTCATTTTATTTACATTTTTTTGTCATGCTTTTCAAAACTCTCTCAGCATAATTTTTGGAATCTGTTTCAAGTCATTGGAATCATATGACTGAATGTTTAAATTCTCTGTTTCAAAAATGGTTGTGGGCGCACTGCCACTAGCTAAAGTTTCTATTTTGGCCATCAGACAAGTGAGCAAACCTTTTAGCAATTTTCTTAAAAATGCAGCCAAGGAGCATCCTTTGATTAGAAAACATATTTGCATACCGCCGGGTAGAGGTAAGAGTATTGTAAACCTACAATGAGAAAGCTTTCGATGCACTTTTTTGCTCGCAGCGTTTAATTGGTTGGAGGTAAGGTCTAAGATGTATATGATGAGCATGAATCAGCCGACCCGGGTGCCCCCACTTACCGACGCTATGGCTACTGAAGTGGGCGCCAACTTACTGGGTGAACTCATCGTATTGGCCATCGGCCTGGGATTGATATATTTTGAGGTGTCGCGGTAGGTAGCATATTGTAATTTGTGTAGGACTTTAATTCAACAATTGCTTTCACCTCATTATAGCCAAGCTCTAAATGATCAAAAGAAGCACGAAAAGCAGAAGGCAGAGCGGGAAGAGCTCAGGAAAATAATAGGATCTCTGAAGGAGAACGTCAATTATCAGGCCAAGGAAATCGAACGACTAAATAACGAACTAAGCAAATTCGAAGAATGACCAGCTTTTTTATCGCACAGTTTGCAACTATCGATTAAACTGCTTGAATACCAATCGATTGACGGCCATCGCCAAGCACACCGTAGGCAATCAGCTGTCGATGATTTTGTAACACTGTTGATGGGTAGTAACATTTAATAAAAACAATAGAACTATGGTAATTGGAGCATTTCCAGCGGCGAAACTGGGCGTTTTAGCCATCAAGCAGATTAGCAAGCCTGTTGCCAATGTGCTTAAAGCAAATGCCAAGTCTAGTCCATTCTTCAGGAAGTACATTTGCATGCCGCCGGCTCAGTGTAAGACATTATAGCCATTACCATTATTGCAATTAAACTGTTTGCTAAATTTTCAGTCTACAATTGGGTGGAGGTAAAGACAAAGATGTGGGCACTTAACCTGGGGCGGCCAGTCACAGTCCCTCCGCTGAACGAGGCCATGGCTATTGAACTGGGAGCAAATCTTTTAGGTGAATTCATTATCTTTGCTATTGGCGCCGGACTTCTGATATTTGAGTACTCGCGGTAGGTAAAAGATTGTCGAAGTCGCCAAATGAACGAGCATTTATAATACATGTTGGTTTTTATTGCAGCCAAGCTATAAAGGAAAGTAAGAAGGCGGAGGCCATAGAAATGGAAAAGCGCCAGATGTCCCTAACTCTGACAGAGATGGGCTTCCGTTTAGAGCGCCAAGACGCCCAAATACGCGAAATGACACGCGTGCTGGCAGATCTAGGTGGGATCGCTTGCATATATTCTTTGCTCTGAATGGATTAGTTACAGTTATTTGCTCTTGTACAGATTCGCGCAATATCTTCAGTTGGCATAAGGAGCGTCTGCAAGAGTATGTGCCCTTCGATCCAAGCACTCCAGATCAAAGCTTGAGCGCACGAGGCCCAAAAACATATGAAGGCTACTACGATCCTGCGGGTGGCATGGCCTTCCGTGCTCTGAACTACTTACAAACTCAGGTCTTTGCAGATAGTCGCGCCAAAAAAGGTAAGCAGGCGCTGGAACGCATTGATGAGGTGGCCACCGAGTTGGAGCAATCTTTGACCGAAGCTGTGACCATAACTGCCAACCATAACAGCAGCGCAACTGTTGCCAAGAAATCCGGTCAGTCGCAATGATCCATACTTGCGCTGGAGCGCCAACTTGTGATGCTGATGTACGCTTTGGGAATGGCCGACCAGTAGAGAATTGGCACGAGGCTGACAATACACAAATTGAATTGCTTTTCATCAACACGTTGCTTCACTCATCCCTGTTAATTTTAAACGTAAGATGACAACAAATACTTGTTACATTTACATATTTAGGTAAAAAGTCAATAACTGTATATAACTTGTATACTTATGTACATTATAGTTGTATTTATTAATTTTATTTTTATCGAGAACAACTAAAGAGAGATGCGCGAACAAAAATACAAAATGCATACGTCGATGAGTTTTGGTTTCCGTGGTTATGGGATTAATCAGTCATGCAGTACCAAGGCCTGCAGCTGATGAAGTTCCTCGCCAGCAGGCACCACCTCGCCCAAATAGTCGTAGAACGAGGAGCACATTATGTAAAGACTGCGCTGCACAGCACAGCGCAGCATATTGAAATTCTTATTGGGCGCCCGCGTCGTGGAGGCCATGGCGGTAGCCAGCATGTCCAGCTCCCTCTTGAGGCGGTGCAGCGCCTTAAATATGGCGGGTAAGTCGCTCTGCACCACGCCATAGCGATCCTCCTTAATCGATGAAACACACAAGTGTGCAAGCGCCTGTGAAAGCCAATAGATCGGAAGCGCGTTGTTGAGCAAATATGCTGTCTTGGCACCCTCAGACTCGTGGAAGAAATACACCAGGAAGGGAATGCGCTGCAGCAGCCGCTGTACAGAAGCTTCGAGTTGGCCAGAGATGCGCTCGCACCAATTGGGCATGCGACGAATGTGCTCCGATTTCTGCTGCAGCTGCTGCTCTGCTGATAGCTCAGACATTGGCGTCATAATGGGACGAATGCCATGCAGCTGGTTGTATTGGCGGAGAAGTATTTTCTCGGCTAGTATCTTAGCATTCGCGTCATTTGGAGGTGGTGTGAAGGATTGGGGACCTTTGACAACGCTGATGTTGCTTATGGAGTCCGCAAGCTCGTCCGTAAAACCAACTATTATACTCAGGCACTGATCGCAGAGAGCGCGCCAGTTGGCTGGACGATTTCCCGGTTCCGTCAGCAGAAAGATTTCCATGCGCGCCGACGAATTTGGACTGATGGTCAGGTTGTAAAAGAAGCGCGCGGCTACGCATTGCACCACATAGACATTAAAGACGCTTAGGGCAGACACCAATGTCAGTTCCTGCTCATTGACAAAAGCCGTGCGACTACGTGCTATCACAAGCGGCAGATCCTCGGCCAGGAGCATTGCAGAAAAGTGCCGCAGCAGATGCATATTGCTCATAATCTGCACAGTGAGGAGCCAGGCATAAAACAAGAGGCGCACATTTGTGGCGAGGTCCAATATGCCTACTAGTTGCTCGTCTACCTCTACGCCGAATAGTTGACTTAACTTATGCCGCACAAGCGAGCCGAGCAACCAGAAGATAAACGTGTATCCAAGCGTCGGCGCCACAGCCATTGTGGGTGCTTTAGACAAGGCGGCGAGGAGCAGCTCCCGAAATTTCTGAGCACGTGGTTGGTTCACAATGTAGAAATGAAGGGACTCCCCATTGCGCAAGTGCTCGAGGGCGTAGTAGTAGAGGCCAGCGGTAGTGCCCATTCCCAGTAGGAACACATTGTAAGAGCTTAAGCAGTCCTGGCCGTAGCATTTGTAAATCAAATGGCTGTAGATTGCAAACATAATCGGTTTGTTCTCACTATCCGTCATTGCCAGCTACATTGCCTCTACTTACCGATAGTCCGAGTGCAGGTATCCCGTGTAGAGCCAGGCAGTTAGGTAGCCCACAAGCAGATGCGCGCTCAGGAATAGAGCCTTGCGTACTCCGTTCTGCAACAGCCAGCGGTACCGAGTGGCGCAATAGCGACGCTCCACCAGATGCTGTTGACACAGGATCACGCCATAAAGGACGACGGCACCAATTAGTGGTATACTCGCAAACCAGGTGTAAAGGCTGCACACCAGCCGCAGCGTGGTGGCCAGCCATACCAGCGGATGGAACAGTTGAAAATTAACGGAGAGCAGAAATACCGTGAGTAGAAAATATTGCATTCCGACGCTTAGCAGGATGGCGCGAATGCAGCGCCAGAACATCAATAGCTTGCTCGCATTGGTCGATGTAACCGCGGACATTTTTGCAGCTGTCAGCAAACAACAATAACATGCATGAAAAGACTTTTACTTTGTTAAAATGCAGAAATACTAAACTCACGACTGCGCGCGCTTTGCTTAGTTCAATTGAAGCGATTGAACCAGTTCCGAAACACTTATGCTGCATCTTTTAATACTTTAATACCATCCACAGCTACATGTAATCGATTATACAATTTGAAAAGTGCAAAAAAAAAAAAAATTATTGTTTGAAAACAATTTAGCCTTCACGAAAACGAACCTATTTAAACGCTGAAACTATTTAAATATACTTGTCAAATGATATTAATGCAAATCAAATCACTGTTATAAATTGATTAATATTATGTTATCAATATGTTACCATCGCTTTAATAATCTAATAAATTTACTAATCATTATGCCCATATGACCTTTTGGTGTACAAGCAATAGTGTTTTCATTTTGTGACCCAATTTGAAAATGAAACTGCCGTCTTACCTAAACGGAAATATCGATGGTGCTGAAAACATCGATAAGAAAATGTTGATTTATCGACCACCTCCAAGAGCAACCAACAGTGGACTACAGTTGGAATTTCAGTTTGTGTGTGTGTCGCGTTGCGCGTACTTGTCGTGCGCAGCTAATTCGTGTGAAAGTGCATTAAAATTATACTAAAGATGTGCCAGGGCCATTAAAAATAATAAAAATAAAACAATGAGCTCTTGCGAATAGAAATTGAAATACTTGTAATAATTAGCTGCGTATGCGGTCTTAAAATTCGAACGCAACAAAGCATTTGGAGAAAAAGTAAACGAAAAAAGTCAGTCAGTCGAATTGAGTACAAAAAAAAAAAAAATGAGAGAGAATGAGAGAGCATGTCGCGTATGCAAAAAGAGGGTGCCAGAGAGCTGAATACGAAACTTGTCAATGTTGCGTGAATCAAGCAAACGACAGAAATTGTTGTAATTAATTCATATTTAATTGCTGTTTGGTGTAATTCGTGTGTGGCTGACGCGACGGTGTTGGTGTTGGTAATAAAGTTAAACGCGCACTTAACCAAAACGTGTACTTTTGGCTGTAATGTCAGCTGCCAAAAGGAAGCCAGAATGTGAGCTGCTGCAGCAGATAAGCAGTAGCGCATAGTGTAATGCGTATTGAGGTCAATATATATATATATATATCTATACAAAACTGTTACATATATAACGCAGCCAAGGCAGCAGCATAGGCACGCGCTTGTGTTACTCTATGCATGTGTGTTCTATCTAAGTAAGTGTACATGCGTATGTGTGTGTGTGTAGTGTAGTGTTATTTTGTGTGTTGTGTTGGTTTTCATTGCCCAATAATACACACTAAGAAAACAAGCAAATCGCTTAGCTAGCCAGGCAGCCAGCCAGCCACCAACCAATTCAATTCATCCCACTGCCCAAGGCGAACAGCTGCTGCTCCCGGTAGCTGTGCATATACGCGGCTGTATGCGTGTGTGTGTGTGTTTTTTGTATATACATACAAAATAGTTGCTGTTGCTGTTGTTATTTACATATATGTTTTACAGCGGCGTTGATCATTAGAGCAGAACCTGAGGGCAGGTGGTGTCCACACATTGAAAATAGCCAACCAGCCAGAGCCAGAGCCAACCACAGACAATCGCACGCATTAATTATAAAACGCGTTTATTTAAACGAGCCATTAATATATATGCATAAATTTACACACCAGTGCGGACACATATCCACACACACACACACACACACAAACTCATACTCTTGCCATAATTTATACTAATACACCCGTTGAAAATTGCACAGTTTTATGCGCACAATTTGGCCTGAACAAATTTTTCGTAAATATTTTCTATAATGCACCAAACAACAAAATGCTCGCTCGGAACGTGAGCGTCTCTGTGTGTGTGTGTGTGTGTGTGTGTGTAAGTGAGTGGGTGAGTCTTTGAGTCGATTGCTGTCGACGTCAGTCTCTGCTCGCGGTCGTTGTCTGCCTGCCGCTGCCTGCAACTACAAAAATATGTACAACGGCCGCTTCATGCTCCATTCACCTACTTTTATGCGCTGTGCTCGCTCTTCGTTCGCTGCGACAATGTTTCGTTGTCTGAATTCGAAATGAAGTCATGAGTGGCAGCAGATTGAATGAAAACCAGCAACAGCCAGAAAATAATAATAACAACAACAACAGCAGCAGCACACAGCATATAGAAAAACACAAGAGTCGCATTATTACAGCAAGAAAATGTTCGTATTTGTATACAAAAAGTGAAATTAAGTGTTTAAAAGCGCGCACCTCGTTCGTAAGAAGTGGCGACAAAAACAACATCTGAAACCACGACCAGCATCACGACATGCTCGCGCGTCCGCGTATCGTTTACACAACAACTACAACTAATTGAACATGTTGGCAGATGAGCAAGACGAAAATAATAGTTTCAGAAGGTGAGAGCATAAGAAAGAGAAAAGAGCGAGAGAGAAAGAGAGAGAGTGTGTGTGCATACATACATATGTACATATGTGCGTCAAGTATTGTCTATTGGCAAGATCTGTACACATCACATCCAGAGTACAAGTCGACCGCACAGAATCATAATTACATGCATACATACATATGTATGTATGTATGTATGTGTGTGGGCTCGTTCTCATCCCGAAGCGACTTAGTTGTGAATCACGTTTTGTGAAAACCCACCCAAGTAGCCCATCATCGGGAATGGTGTTTGTGGCCTTCGCTGACTGATGACTTCATCTGCTTATCATTGCAGCATACAGATCGTCCGCTACTAAACGGCTGCTGTTATCATCATGGCCGCAACATCCGCTGGCCAGCAGCAGCAGCAACAGCATAAATTGAATATTGTTGCCAATGCTGAAACTGTTGGTGGCATGTTGCAGATCAACGAAATTCAGGGCCAGCAGCAACATCACCAACAGCTACCCCAGCCCCAGCAAATAAACCTTCAGGAGCGGCATATTTACAAGCAGCAACAGCAAATGTTGCCGATGCAACACCACCAGCAGCAGCAGCAACAACAGCTACAATTCTTTCAGCAACAGCAAACTAAATTTGTATCGCGGGTCGCTACAAATGCCAATAAACAGCAACAACAACAACAACAGCAGCAGCAGATCTTACCAGCTGGCTTGGTAAATGGTAATGGCAACATCATGCATCAGCAGCAGCAGCAGCAGCAACAACGACACACTGCGCAACATGTTTTCGTTTGCCCAACAACAAGCCCGCACTTGCAACAACAACAACAACAGCAACAGCAGCTCAGACAACGTCAAACGCAAATAAAGTTACCATTTAAGTCGCCAATGGCAGCAGCAGCGACAGCAGTAGGAGGAGGAGGAGCAGGAGGAACAACATCATCGATGTCAACTGTTGCTACAACGCATTGCCTGCCACCAACAATCGCATCACGTCAAATGAGCCAGAACAGTCAGCTTTATGTTAAGAATGTTGCAAACGCCAACAATGCCATCAGTAACAACAACGGCAACAACAGCAGCAGCAACAGAAACAACATCATCATCAATGGCAACAGCAGCAGCAGCAGCAACAAAAACAGTAACATAAACAGCAAAAGCTGCAACTACAACTACAATGCAAATTTAGCTCCAGGCTGGCGTCGCCTCACAAACAACAATGAAGTGGCCTACATCAGGTGAGTGTCTTAGTTGTTGTTGTACATGACATTTACAGCGCTTTGGGGGCAGCTAAAAGTCAATCTGGTTATTGTCTCGTAATTGTAGGTTCCCCCAACGCAACAGTAAGCAGAACAGAAACGCATTCGAAACCATAAAAATGTTCTGCATGCCAACCCAAGGCGTCACAAACTGCACTGCAATGGCAGACGCAGTCGACTAGCCTTGTGGCATGCAGGAAATGCTCGCACAGAGCTCTTTTGGGGGGCGGCTGGGGACAGTTACTGTGCTGGCTTATGGGTGCCGGACTAACATATTCAGCAGTCACGTCATCAGTTGTACAAATGTTCCGATTCCGCTGCCGTTCTGCTTATCTGCCATCGGATTTGCTGGCTAACCCTTGTACCGAGTGCCCCATCTTGCCACATGCAACCAACAGCTAAGCATTGTTGTTTCGCTCGGCGATGTGTAAATATTTACCTGGCATTATCTGCGAGTTATCATCGAGCACACATAATTACAAACACAAATAAGTTATTTACCCAAATATGTCGAAAAGCGGCAACCGTCGGCCACAACGCTCGACCCTCCTGCCCCGAGCCTTCGTCTAGTGGATTTAATTGTTCTTCTTCAGCTGTTGCTGCTGCCCAATCGTCAAGTACATGCGCGGCATCTTCTCCACCTCCAGCTATCCACTTCCATCTACGCTCCCAAATCTACTCTTCCAGCCACTTTAGCTTTCGGCCCACTCCTTAACACTCTGCAAATAGTTTGCGGCGTTGTGGTTGCCACCACCTCAGCCCAGATGGGCAATTGTTGATTTTGTAAGTGGCTGCCACCTAGTAGTTGCCAGGCGGGCTACCTGCCTGAGGAGAGACAGTAGCATTGTTTTGCCTTCCATTACGTGCTTTTAAGTCGTTATGTTCTGCATTTCTCCTACAATCTGAGCAGTTTTCAAGATAAGCCGCTCAGAATTTCAGAAATTTTCAGAAACTGCCTGAATACGAATACCAAAATCGAGTATTTGTTGCACGATCAGAGCTCTCCTTTCCATATTCACTTGATTGGTCCGAAATTTGAACAGGGCTTTATTTTTAGCCCACAAAAAATGTTGGATTCTATCATTTTTAAAGACAATATATCCATTATTTTTCTGGTTCTTTATTCAAGTAGTCTTGTTGAAACTTTTCAAGTGAGAAAGCTAATTAAAATCGTCAGACTTGCAGTTAGACAAATGTATATTTTATTAGTTATTTTGGTCCTGCATATAGCAATATATCCAGACTTAAGACGTCAACTTCTAGTTGTATCATTAAGCACAGCTTTTTAGTAGACCGGATTAGATTCAATAGTGATATCCAAAAGAGAAACTTCGGAGTAATACGAAATAGGGAGTTCCGGTTACCATAAACTGTATTTTGTAGGTGCCATAGGAATGATTGGTATAACAACGTCCATTTCAGTTAAATGGCTGAAAATTGTGGGTATTCTTGGGAATTGAAATTGGAAATATCTTCTATAATGAAGTTCGACCTCCAGTTGATGAACGAAGTGTGGTTTTTTGTGAAATAAAGGTTAGTGCCGACACAGATGTATTTCTTCTTGATCCTTCCCATGATATATTGCGTAGGTATTGCAGTTGCCAGGCAGCAGGCAGGATATTCTGTGCTCACTTGTACCCTACCTGCCTCTGTCTCCTTCCCTGTTGCCGTCTCGGCTCCTGCCCGCGCCCCTGTTTCTGCATTATGTCAACCGTTGTCATTGTCAGCTGCCTACAGCTGCTGCCAATTTCCACGTTGCGTGTTATGTTGTCTGCTGCAAATGTTGTTGTTGTTGCTGTTGTTGCTGCTGTTGTTGTTGTGCCCGTTGGTGTCTCTGTGCTGTGCGCCCCTACGGCCAGCGCCTCTAGCTCTTGCTGTCTGTCCAGTCGGCCCCCTTGCAAATTTTTGAGCTTTTATGTCTGGCTGCCTGACTGAGAGATAACCAACGGCAGCAACATGAATACAACTTTTTGTTTCGCTTCCGTTCGTGAGCAGCCGCGGAGCAGTTAGCTCGACTGTTTCTTGGAAGGAATGTTGCAATCGTTGCCCGGCGATTGGTCCCTGGTCTGGGGGGCTGTGTAAATCAATAATTGTTGCGCAAGCGTTTGCTATTGCCATGCTGATTGTTCAATTGCTTAAATGCTGCGGCACGCCGTGACGTCACATGCGACATAAATGTGACACAAGTCCATTAACATTACCGGGTCACCACGGTTGGCCGCCCACTGTGCCGCGGCTGCGTCAGAGAGGCATAAATCATAAATGAGACCGTGTGGCGGGACGGGACCGGCCGGGTCGGGCCGGAACGGGACGAGAGCAGTAAATCGAGTGTTGCGTTCAGTTCACTTGAGCTGAGTTTTGAGTTGAGCGCCCCGCAAGGCCGACATGGATGCGCCGCACAACTTGCTGCCGCAGAAACGAATGCGGAATAGTTAGCTAGCGTCAAGCAGTTTTCAATTTTAGTTACGTGCTTCGGACCATGCCTTTCGATCACGCATCTCGCCTGTCCTTCGGTCCCTGTGTCGACGTCTGTCTATATTTTTCTATATGCCTGACGGCCTTTTACTCGTAGGTTGCAACAGCAGGGACTGCTGTCTGGCCTCCTCCGTTCGCCGCTCGCCGCCCGCTGTCTCATCGCGCTCTCTACCCATGTAATGAGTTTATTTTGCGCACTTTTTGCCATTTGTCGCACATTTTCCTTTTCTTTTACCTAACCCTCCCTCGTACACCCGACAAAATACTTGCTCTTGATATCGACAAGAAAAAAGGAGGTGCTTGTTTAGAAATTTACGAAGAGTGTAAACAATTGCAGATTAAAGAAACAAAACTATATTAAAAACGTATATCGCTTATGCCATAAAGTCCACATTAGTCGTGTGAAAAAGTATAAGTGCTCTAAGAGGGCTTAGAGGAAGTTTGAAGAAATTAAAAGTGCCAAATTATTTTATTTTATTTAAGCAATAAATAGTAATTGTGTTGTACAAATACTTAGCCTTACTTTTTGGAAAACTTTCAAAGTTACAGACTTTTTCGTTTGTTCTAATAACATATAGTAGCTCTAATATTATCAACTTTAGAAAATTTAAAAGCTTTTATCCTGCTTTATATTAACATCAATAGAACCACTAAGTTTTCTTCACTTGAACATCTCATTTCTAGATTTAAGACGTTCATGTTCACTTTTAAAAAACATGCTTGTGCTGGCTTTTTTTTTTCTTAGTTAATATTTAATTGTGAATATGTTACTTCTGTTTCATACGCTTAGGTTTTATCGGGAACGTGGGACTCATTAACTTTTCTTTGTTTACAAACCTCCTCCAGCTCCTTTTGTTCCCAGGATGTTTGTTTTCAGAGGAACTCAGATCTAAGCAGTTCAGTTCAGTCTTCTTGACAAATATCAGAGTGTCGGCAAAGAGGATACTCGTAATTGCATTTAATCTGTGTCCACAAAGCAAGGTTCCTATTTTTAGAAACCTTGGGCCATATATCTTTAAATGGCTTTAATTTGTATGCCCATCATGGACATGCATGGTAGTAATATTTTTAATAAATGCTTTTCTTTTGAATGGTTTCTTGGTTGACCTTTCCTCGTTGGGTGAAAAAATGTGCATTTTTGTGAATTTATTGCAGTGTCGGGTGAACAGCGAGTGGTTGTTTTCTTTCGGCGTTGTCAAGGACACAAGGACAACAGCAACAACAGCAACCATGGCAAAATATCAATGCTGCAACCTTTCTTTTTGTTGGCAATCCGTACAGCTGGGCTCACGTCCTGGGCCCCTGTCCTAGCCAACCGTTTTTGCCGTGCCATAATTTTTTACAGTTTCATGCGCCGCGTCGTTTGGCTCGTTGCCTTTTAGCCTATGAGTCGTTTGAGCTCTGTTGTAGTTGTTGCTGTCGCTGCTGTTGGCTTTGTGTTTGTGTTGCTTGGGATTATTAATTTAGTAATAGGCTGAGTCTGTCTGCATGGCGCGCCATTCTTTCGCAGTCTTCGACTCTTTGACTCTTTGTCGCTCGAGGGTGCACTCAAGGTCGCAGAGGCGTAAAACTTTTCTACCTTTTGCACAGCTCTCGGTGCTTTCTGCTGTAATTTATTAAATTATTTTAACTCGTTAGCTCAACGCCTTTCATGCGGCTAGCAAGTGGCTTCCAGCGGCGGGTGGTGCGCTCTTAAGCAGTCCACTCTAGCCACTCGTCGTTTTATTGGCGCGTTTTGTGCACATAAAAAAAACTTAATGAGCAAAAGACGCAGTCAGAGCGCGGAGCAGCCGTGGATCTTAAGATGTCCGGCAACGCCAGCTGCATACAAATTGAGCCATAAGCTTAAGTGTTGATGGTGTGGCCCCCAACCGCCCCTGCCTCCGCCCGTCCTCCTCTCCCTGGCAATTGGCTAACCATCGATTTATTTAGCACAGCAGCGAGCTCGCTTCCTCAGAATAATGTTGATGTGGATGAGGACGCTGCTGTCGCTCATTGCTCATAACTTAAAGCCGCGACATAGGCCGCCTCAAAGTAGTTAAAAATAATTAATAAAGCAAACCTGTTTCCCCAGTTGCCCAGTTTCCAGTTGTTCTACACCCCAGCTGCCCATTGGCCCAGCTGCCATTGATGGGGAAGCTGCAGCAGCAGCAGCATCAGCAGCCAGTTAGTCAGTCAGTCAGTCAGCTAGTCAGCTAGTCGGGTCGCATCATGTGGCAAGCAAAAAGGGCTCAATTGACAATTCGCATATACTCGTTTAACCCGTACCACTGCCACTGTGTGGTTGTTGTATCTCTGGGCTTGCCTCAATTATATTGTCGTCTTTCGTTGCTGTTGCTGTTGCTGGTGATGTTGATGTTGTTGTTCTCGCTGTCGTCGTTTCACTTAATTCCCTTGCCGCTTTCACACTTCATGCATTATTCAGATTTCTCATACCCATACTCATACGTATATACTTGTATGTATGTATGTACTCGTATGTATTTCCAACAATGGCAAAGGCCTCGACCAGCTTTTTGCAATTGAGCTGTGCGCTTAGCGATGGCGACTGATTTGCTCGGTAGAAGAGACACCGGTACCATTACCTCTACCAGCGGTAGAGGCCCAGATCCAACCAACCTCAAGTGCTGACATCGCTGCTGGCAGAATCAACGGCGGCGTCAACATCAGCGCCCTTGATTTCTTCCTCAACAAGCTCACACTTAACAATTAATAAGCAGCGGCCTTTCATCTCATTCCTTTTTTCTCGCTCTCTTTAATTTTTCACATTTTTTGCCCTGTTTTTTACCCCATCATCGATTTTTGTGCGCACATGCGACAAAAGCATTATGCACACAAACACACCCATTTACACACACACACACACATACATGCATATATGGTGTGTGTGTAAATGTGTATAAAATCTCATTTGGGTTTGCGGTCATGCCCATCCCGCCGTTCATGTGCAGGAGAGACCAAAAAACTGGATTCTTTGGATTCGTTCGTTGCATTCGTTTTTCTGTTCTTCTGTTCTGCGCGCACACATTTTTAAATGCTTTTCAAATTTAAATCAATTTTTTTCGTGCCTTTTCATAATTCCATGCCACATATGCGTCTTTACGCCGCTTTGTTGTAAAACGCGCACAAAGAGAATTAAGCAGCACCCCAGTTAGAACGACAATTTGAATACTCTATGAGTATAGTGGGTCAATGAACAAACAAAAAAAAAAGCAATCAGAAAGTGAGAAAGGAAGCTTACATTATTTCTGTGAATTGTTTCTACAAATTCAACTGACACTTAATGCTCATTAATTTCGTTAATTTTTCGCTGAACATTTTAACGTTCACCCACAAATAAAAAAGCCTTTTCTAGTTGACATTTAAGTATCAATATGAGAGTCTTCTTGGATTAAATACTATGCAAAAAATTGATCTCAGGGTACTTTCTGGGCCATGCACATGAAGCATATTATGTTTATTTTTAGTTGAATAGTTTTCTTATGTATATTATCGATTACAATATAACAAAAATAGGAGTAAATTTACAAGCTTTTCATCTTTATCAGTTTTATCTTAATCTTTTGAGGGATTCTTTCCTTCTTTCCTCTACTCTGATAATACGCCTATTGTTTGTATTCTGATTTAGCAGAAAAAAATCATTTAAATAGTCGAAGTTGAAAGACAAGCCTGAATAGAATACCAGTTTTTTGATAAGCCAGACGGCCATTCCCTCTCGTGTTCGAGGGGAAGCGAACTCCATTAAAAAATCGCACGACCCGCTGCACGTGCGTTAGACAAAAAATAAAGGAATAAATACAAAAAAATTGCAGGCCAGGTCTCAAAGAGAGCGAAAACTAAAACCAGTTTGAATTATGCGAGACACAGAGCGCACTTATTTGACATACGAGTATGTATGTACGATCGAGACGGGCGAGCAATTCTGATTGGATTTAATTTATGTGAGCGACCTGTGCCTGTGCAGCCAAGTGGCGTTTAACATTGTCATGTTAATGCTGCCGTCACTGAACGCGTCACTCGCCCATTATGTTAATGAGCTGTTAATGGAATAGTCGCTGCCATGGCTGCTCTCTGTTATTTTACATACAGCTAATTGCGTTTCATTGTTTAAGAGTCTGTAGGTCGACGGTATTTGTAATTTTAAATTGCCAGCAAATTGTGCGCTTACATTATTGTAAATGCTGCTGTCTTTTAATCAATGCATTTTTCTCCTCATTCACAGTCCCACGGGCAAAACGCTGCGCACTCAATTCCAAATCAAGGACTATTTGCTGGCACAAGGTACCTGCAAGTGCGGCCTGCCTTGTCCACTACGTCCGGAATACTTTTTCGATTTTAATGCACAGGTAAGTCAGGCAGCAGAGCCAACAACAACAACAACAACAACGACAACAACTTGTTTGTCTCATAATTGGCTGTAAATACCAGCGAGCGACGCGCATTGAGTGGCTAAAGAAAGCCGCTCAAGTCGTCTGCAGTCAAAACCAAAACCAAAGCCAAATCTAATTGAATGTGCACCGTGCATGTAACTGGCAGGCGACTGCACAACATTCAGCTGACTTTCACTGAGCTCCTCTCAAACTGCACTCGCAACGCCCCGCCAGCCCACCGAAAGGCCGACCGACCCACTGGGGCCAGCCCAGTGCAAGGCAAAATATTTCCAAAACCAGTTTGACAACAAATCGACTGTGAATGCTGCGCTGCACAGTGCTTCAATTATATCCAAACTTAACAAAAACTCTACACATCAACACACATATGGATATCCCCCATATTCGAGTAACTTCAATATGTAATCAAGTGGAAGACATTCGAATTAGAAGAAGTTCTGAATCGCAGAGCAAAGCCTTCTTACCCTTTGGTCAAAGGTTAAGTGGAGATAATGAAGCAATTCAGTTGTACAGCCTTATCTCGAACAAATGTGGTTTTGTCTTCTTTGTTTTATATTCTGCTTATCGCTCACATCTTCCCTTGTACTTACTTGTACTTAAAATATACATATGCCTAAAAATAGATGCATGTATGTATTCATGAATTTGAATGTATTTAATATGTTCTTTCAAAACCAGGAAATCATATAAGGTTTTTTAAACAGTTCCGCTATATATATAAAGTCGTCAAAGCATAATTTGTTATCAATTGAGGCGCCTGTTCCGGACTTGATAAGTCTGACAAAAGCATGTTTTAATGGCATATACGTATATATTTCAGAAGCAGAGAAGCATTTAGAAGCTAATAATTTGTTAATATTGTAATAATAGCAAACAAGTTGGAATAGCGAATATATTCTTAATTAGCCTGGTTGTCTGTACAGCTGTTAGCCAAGTTTAAGGTTTTTTGGGACAAGGGTATGTCCAATTGTTGGCTATTATTTTAATTACAGAGCATGATTTCGGACATTGATAAGTCTGACAAAAGTATTAAATAATTTTTATAAGAATTTAAAGGCTAATAATTTTTTAATATTGTAATAATAGCAAACCAGTTGGAATATTGAATATATTCTTAATTAGCCTGGTTGTCTGTACAGCTGTTAGCCAAGTGTAAGGTTTATTGGGACAAGGGCATGTCCAATTGTTGACTATTATTTTAATTGTGGGCCACTGTGCGACGATGGCAACGCCACTGACTGCATATTCATTCACAATAGGCGAGTAAGTTGTCCGAACATCTGCTGCCTCGCTCACCGTCTCTTCTCTGTCAGGCTTCACTGTAGTAAAAATCGCAGCCAAATTGGTTCAGCATTGGCAGTATGTGTAATGCCAATAAGATTAATATACAATGCACAATTTGTTAACGGTAAATCACACAGACACCGCACGCACACACACACACACGCACACACTACACTGACTTTGGTGTCACTGCCGGCATGTGGGTCGGGTCTGTCCCATTGGCGCTTCTGTGGCGCATCATCTCGTCTGGCTTTTCAGCATCTGCTGAGAAGTGTAGTCGGTCATTAATTTAAATTTATGGTTGCTCTTTTTGGTTTTGCGTGACGCTCGACACATTCAATGTCCTTTTAATATAGCCACAGACAGATACACACGCATGTGCGTGTGTGTGTGCGTATCTCAATGTGGGTGAGGCGTCTGCTGGTGCGCGTCATCCCCTTAACCCCAGACCCATCAAGCCAGATAGCCATAAAGCGCTGTCGATTGTCGATTGTCTTTGTGTGCTGCTCGTTCAATCGATTTTTCGGTGCATTGCACTTATGTATATTGCCAACGCCCAGGCCCACCCACACGCACAGCTAAGCGCCAATACCAATACCAACGCCAACGCCTTGCTCTTGACTTGACTGATGTTGGAAATTTCGCTCATCAGATTCTCACAACTTTGCGCCGCCACAGCTTTCGACGCTGCTTCTTCATGGCTTTGGCGTTCAGTTTGCCGTCTCCAGCTGACTGCGTATATTCAAAAGTAACCGCAATTTGTTTACTAAACACTTTATTGCATATTTGCCACCTCCTCGCCGCCTCACCCACTTCATTCACCGCTTGACCACAAGTCGACGACTGACTATCTTGTCAGAGCTCCTCCGCTTCCTAAAGATCTTCGTTGGGGCTATGGGAGCTGGCAGTTGAGTTTTTGTGTGTGTTTTCGATGTGTCGACAGCATGTGGCTTTTGGCACATTCAACTCGATAGCGCGGCACCATCCGCTCTGCCCCTGCCCCTGTACCCTGCCCTGTGGCATCGTCAATTGCTGAAATGCGCTGTGTTTCGGATCGGAGCGTTTTGTTTCGTTTCGTTTGGGCAATGATTGATGTGCCACATAATGAAGTCTGCGTTCGTTCGTTTGTTTGCTCACTATCTGGGATTTTTTTTTGTTTTGATTATTGCCATTTTCCTGTCGCTTAACAGCTTTTGAGCGTGCAGCGAGGTGTGGTAGGTTAGGGTTTTCGACTTGGTGAAAGTAGATGGAGACACACACAGACAGTTAGACAGGGAGACAGACAGAAAGGCAGACAGTCCAGCCCAATCGACTATGTGTTGCATTCGATGTGGCTTACTGGCCCCAGCTTGGCTTCTACGGTCCGCAAATGATGGGATAGCTGCTGCACTTCTGACTGCTTTTTGGCATCATTGTTGTGTGTATCTGCAGCTGTGGTTAGAAAGTTTCCATTGTTAAATGCGGTTGTGGCCTAGACATAATCATAATGCCTGCAACTGCACGAACTGGGATGTTGCAAATGATGGGCTTGTTAGGTACAACATGGCGTATAAGTAATGCAAATCTTGCATCTCTATGAAGGAACACATAATGTCACAAATTCATTTAACAGTTTCTGCTTGTTACTTTTTGAAGTTGAGCTTAACTTGTAAAGTTTAAAAGATATTGCAAATCATTGCCTAGAACCGACTCATTGCTTTCAAATTTGTCAATGTCTTCCCAAGAAAATATAAATACCTAAAGAATAGGTGGAGTGGGTATTCAATAGATAGTCATTACTATCAGAGATGGCATTAGAAACTGCTCTGCTTAGTCAATATTTTTAGATCGTTGTCCCAAGAACAATAGTTGTGCTGCTTCATTTATTTTTAATCGCACAGCTCGCTCCTGCTGCGTTGATATGGTGGCATTCACCTGGAGGACAGCTGTCCTTGTGCCTTTCGTTCAGTTCACTCAACCCTCCCTCGGTCATGTCCGCCGACGCTTTGGATGGCAAAACGTGCAACAACTGCTGCTCTCTGCGACGCACACAACATTTAATTTGGACTAATGAAGTTTCTATAAAACAGTCAGTCATTTGGGCAGCAGTGGCAGCAAGAGCGCAGAAGGAACGGCGAGCTTAAATCGTCTTTAGTGACCCCGACTCGATGCGAGACGTGCAACGAACTTCAGCAACAACAAAGGGAATTCAATTTAACAAATAAAAAAAAGCAAACGAAATGAAACTGGGGTGAGCGGCAACGAAAGTGCTTCTTCCTGCTCACATCAAGTGACGTGCAAATTACCCCCAAAACAAAAAAAAAAAAAAGAGAAAAAAAAAACAAACAAAAAAGAGAGACGCACAACTGATAAAACTGCACTTCGCCCTACCTGTCTGCACTCCGCTCTCTCCCCTGCTAATTGTCTTGGTTGTTGTTCCATGAATATGTTAAATTGTCGGCTGCATTTTGTCCGCTTCCACAGACACCCCACTCTGCCCCACCCCCATCCCATCCCATTGCCAATGCGCCACAAGCCGCGCGCCGCACACCGCATGCCGCATGCCTCTGTGTAAATGTTTATAAATGCAAATTGGCCGAAAAGTGCAGCAGCAGCGGCAGCAACGAGGACGGCGTCCACGTAAGCGTCAGTTTTGGACGTGCTTCGATGCACTTTCCTGCCCATGTGTGAGATCGTGCGTCAGAACAGTTCCCGGGCTGGTTAAATGACAACGTCGTGGGGTTGTCCGCCTCTGTCTATGCCCCTCTGTCCTTTGTCTTCTGTCTGAATTAGTTTTTAGTAGTAGTAGTCGTGGCAGTTGCTGCTCATTTGAAACAATGAATTGGGCTTTAATGGGGTGCTTCACTTTCGCTTTCTGTCGTCCAATTTAATGTGTCCGAGCCCGAGCCCGTTCCCGAGCCCTACCCAAAAAATGTGTTGGCGTCGCACTCGCAATCGCAGCCCTCGTCTTCGTCGTCGTCGTCATCGGCTCAACGGCTGGCCCTGACATCTTGACGAGCTTCAGACGGCTCGCAGGGGCAACCTTCACGCATATTGATGCACAAAGCGAACAAACGAACAACGAACTTATTTGCGAGCCAAATACCGACGTAACACAGTGGTTAACCAGCCCTATCCATTAATTTTATTTTTCCACTGAAAACTTGTCTGTACTTGTGAAAATATCGAAATAGTATTTTCCGATTTGTACAAAAGGTTAAGTATTCTCGAACTAATTTGATCATCACTCCATCTCTCCACAAAGCCACACATAATACAAAATCATAATGCCAATGTTCCTCCAGTATAATTTGCTGATTGTCCGTTAGGACAGAAAAAAAACTCCATAACTATACATATTTATTGGAAATCGATCGTACTCTGAACTGACTGGAGTGTGTTTAAGAGGTCTCTCAAATACGTTTTTGTATTGAAATCGGTTAAAGACCATTTCATGATGATTGCTATGAATAGTTTTTGGTTCTTACACAGATCCCATATAAGTTTCAATCGCTTAAATATTTCCGAAAACAATCCAGCTGAACAACAACAGGAAAAACAACCTGAAAGGAAAAAGGAGCCCTAAAATTGAGCAGATGGAACCTTGCCAACTAAAAAAGTTGTAAATAAAATCAAAATATCGAAAGCAGCTTGGTGAAATGGGAAGTCAAGTCAACTATCCAATCTGGATT